ATGGTCGTGTGCGCACAGCCAGCGTGAGCGTGAGGAAGAAGACCTTCATCGCCCCTGATACCCGCCTGACAAGACTTCCAGCCGTTGGCAATGAAAGTGTCCGAGATACCAGGAAGACGACAAAGTTCCAGCCTTATTAGACTCTGGATGAGAACTGTAGTGGCTCCAATGATTTCTACTCCATAAATTTGGTGCCCAAATTTAGGGCGGCTGTCCAAAAGCGTCTCTCCCACCGGAGCGCGCAGTAGCACCCTCTCTTGATATATTCATTATAATTGCACAATCGTTCCATGTTGAATCACATTGCTCCTGACATTCCCCGAAATTCTTTCTGAATATACATATACTCCTAATCGCCCTACCTTAATTATCCAGTTACGAGGTTAATCATAAATATCCCCTGTGTATGGACTACATAAAGTGAGTACATTGTGGTTGATCTAAATATGATATTTGGGGGCGAGTTCTTGGGTTATAATCATTGGGTTTAGGGTGTAATGCCTATCGTCTTGTGTTCATGTCACATTATACATGTGTATACTCACAAGCGTAGAGGGCATATATTTTCGTAGGACTTAATAGGGGTTTCAGGCTTTGGTAAATTTTGAGTCATGTAAACATTGTTTAGGAGTGTTCCTTGTGTGTTTGACATTTATCCAGGTTCATATGAACATGTTTTTCTCGGCCAACTATGGACATGATTACACATAATTTGTTACTATTTATGTTAATGTTTATGATAATATCAAGTGTTATCTCAGTCTGTGCACATGTCTATTACTTCCTTCATGTTCATTCTGTTTTGTTGACCACAGGGTAAATAAACAAACAAGCCCATCACCAATTTGGCTGCCGACTCTTTTCAATCATGTTTGCAGATGGCACACTCGACTACATAATATAGAAATAGACCGACAAAGTCGTGAGTTAGAAGTCCCGACAAGCAGTATTTATATTTTCCGAAGAAATACTGAATCTTGTTTATATCAATCATTTTTCCCCTGAAAAAAAATTGAAAAAAATCCAGGTGGTGTCTAAATTTCTACTGATCAGAAATTTGTTTGTTCAAAGTCAAACTGGTTATGGGGTATGGCTTATAGCCATAGCCCATAACCCGTAGAAATGAAGAAATCTTTAGCAAGACGTAGGCTGGTGTCAAGTACATGTTAATTTTCTTGGAGGCACGCACTCTTGTGAATCGCTCGTATTTGAATTAGTTTCTGTCATTTTATTGAAAAAAAAAAAGCAAATAGAAAAATCTGCATATGTAGGAACTGCTCTCACATAACAAGTATAAGCCCAAAATTCGTTACTCTTTAATTACCCGGCCGATCCCAATATCCGTCCAATTTCTTTTCGAGGTCGTTGATTAAGTTCCCAGTTGTGGTAGATTTGTAACCATCTAGATATTTCTCTGTGGTTCATACCTGCAATTTCCAAGTAGTACTCCCATTCTTCCAGACAATTTGTTTACAATTGTACAACAGGAAGTTTGACCTCAGGTTTAGGAAATTACCACCCATCCTGCACTGTATTATTACCCTCAGAATATTCCATCTTTAAGTCTTCCTTCAATTCAGTCTTCTTCGTTAACTTTATCAGCACCACACTTTTTGTAGAAAGAATGTACGGAAAAGAACAACAGAATAAAGGCCTGCTACTATAATACATTTAACACAAGCATTAAATTTGATGTTGTTATGAGATCATATACCAAACACCAACAAACATACGAATTATCAATTTCCTATACCTTAGTACACAAACTTTCAAGGATGCAGGTTACCACTGAAAAATTGCGGCGGCGACCAAAGGGTACAAATCGGTTTTGTGGTTGTGAAACGGATGGTGCATAGCAAACGCTCCCTGCACCCTGGCTATGGACATAGCAGGCATGCCAGAAAGCGGTAATTGGCCAGACGTCATTAGACCGGGCAGTTCAAACTCCTTCTGTGTCCTTCCTTTTAGTATGCTCAGACCATAGATCTAGAAGTGGTGTATGTACATGTACCATGTCAATTTGTGTGCACTTTCCGGTGTTGTTCTTGGAAAACATAAAATGGCAGCTGGGGGTTCAATAAAAGGTATACTTATTAAAATTGAACAGGTAAAAGAAAGAGGAAGGTAAATATATCAATTTTGTATTGTATGTGTCAAAACTGTTTGTAGGAGTTCTTTGTATACAATGCTTAATAGCATCTCAGCCCACATGGGCAAAGCAACTGACCAAAATCAACACTTTTCTGAATTTGGAAGACCAATTCTCGAACAGAAACAACTTACAATCCTGTGGAATTTTTCCAATTTTGTCATTCCGTCACTGACTCGAAAATGCAACGATGATCAATTAAAAAAATAAATAAAAAGAAAGTGAGAGACTCAAATTCTTTAATGATGTGTTAAGACTCACTGTTGTTATTGTTTCATGCATATCAAACAAGCATTTTTAGTTTCTTAGTACTGATTTCAATTATGGTATACGTAGGTTTTATTTATTTATATTTTGATGTGCAGCGCCCGGGAGCAGCTTAATGGATTGGGCGCTCTATAAATGTCTGTTTTTTTTTTTTGTTGTTGGTTGTTGTTGCGCCGCCTTCGGTGAAGGTGAAGAAATTCAATCATTACAAATCTATGCGCAGCATTGACAATGCGCGAACAGTTTATGCAAAATAAGCACTATTATCACTGTTAGCTTTTCTTTTTTTCCCTTTTTTTGTGTTGGGTAATTTGGTTTCGTTCAAGGGGGTTGAAAAGGTTATGCTTTCAATGGCCGGGTCTTTCATCCTTTAGACGTATGTAGGCCCCTAATTGAGAATGGTAACGAGGGTGTGCCGCGTGTGTGGGGGCGGAGTGATCCCTCCCCGTTAATCCGCGGCTGCCTTATTTTACAAGCCAACGTTGGTAACGTTTACATTGTATGCGCAAGTGCAATACGTCCCTATTGGATTTTGGTCACTGTGGTTACAGTGTTGTGGTTACTGCGGGTCCTGTTGTGCCGCATTACGATTGGGAGGGGCGGTGATCTGGTAGAGGGAAAAATCAGTAATACCGCTTAATGCCTTATCTCACCACAATAAGAAAAGAAAACTCAATGCAATCTATGGGTGTAGCGTTATAAGGTGAGTAATTCATTGACAAATAGTATACAGTTTCTTCAGTGCCAAGGTTACGGTACATCAGCTTCAAGTAGGTCGGTCTGAAATCGCTGGTCTTTATTTGAGTGTCTGCGGTTGTGGGGAAACAGTATTTACATGTGTACTTTATTTAGCAGTTGTCACATTATGAAATGCCAATGTGGTGACGGAATATCAGGCAGTACTCATTAAGAAATTCTGGCTTAATTTTCAAGTCCCTGTGACGGGCCAGCCGTCCCAACGAAAATGAACACATCTCACGAATGAATTTTAGATTTAATTGATATAACTATTTCATGGCATCTGTTAGTCATCTGGTATCACACGCAAGTTTGTGTCTGCAGACACAATAGGACAACTTGCCAGTCGGCAAAATCAATTAACCCAGGAAGTTATTCATCTGTTCAGGAGAAACACCTTAATCGGTCGTACATGAGTACAAATTACATGTACTTCACGAACGATATTATTTTGTTAAATTTCCTCCATGGTCAATAAAACAATATCGCCGGAAATCCAAAGCAGCATAACCCTAGCACTGGCAAAACTGAAATTCGCACTGCAAGACCGGCCGTTAGTCAAAAAAAGAATACCGTGTTATTATATAGGCTTTTTACTCTTGGTTGAAAATTGTCAATGGGACAACTCAAAAGTTTGCAGAATCGTTTTTTACCCAGAATTCTCCGTATTTTTCGGTCGAAAGGGATCGCGAGCTGTTTCTTTCAATTGTATTTTTTACGTCTCTAAAGCGATGGAGTTCTGTATTAGACACTTCCTATCTCGGTATCACAAATATACCACTTTTAGGGAGCTATTCCCAGAAGTCAGTTTCCTTTCCATAATATAGATATAACTGCCCTCAAAATGGTTTCACATCCCTCATCTCTTCCTCTTTGGTACATGTACAGTTGTCCAAAGGGGCAATTTTATGTTGCTGGGATTTGCTCTACTTAACCATTTTTATGGATATGAAGATTTAGACAACGAAAGACAGCACCCGTAGCCTAGGTGCTTTTGTGGGTAACTTTGCAAATTACAACACTGTGTCAAAAAATGACATTTGTGACTTCAGTTGCAGGAAATTATTGTGAACGAATGTTTTCAGTCAACGTTTTTTCTACGCTTCCTGCTCCAACAAGCAGAGGGGCGTTGAAGGAATAGCACCACACAAAACATGCTGGTAGGCAAATTAATTTCACCGATTCAAAATTTGTTCGAAATGTGGTTTCAATGAAATATTTACGAATGTAAATCCCCCTCAACAAAACGGAGAACGGAAAATTGGTCATTGCGAAAACCCATCGGTGTGGTGGCGTTACTTGTAGGCCTACTGAGAATGACTCAGGACTGGTTATTTTCTCTCCCTGTGCTCGAATTGACCCAGCAAATTGTTTTAAACGTTCGACCAGTTATTGCTAGCATCTGTCAATCTGCAAAATGAACGGTTTCAAATGGCCCTATCCAAGAGTGTTGCATACATGTATACTGCATGACCGAATATGCACTCATGCCCATCATAAATGAGACAGCTGTTCAATTAATTCTAAATTCTTCCATCAATGTTGGGTAAAATAGTAAAAATGATCAATTTTAAGAGTTCATGGCCCCATGCAGTTTTTCAGCCTCGATAATTTAAAGCGTTTTCGAAATGGAACATGCAGAGTTAATATTATCACGGATTTGGGATTAAACAGTTATTTTGATGAAATCAGAATGTGACTTTAAAAATAAATAAACGAAAACGAAAGCGTTCACAGGTAATCGACAGATTGGAAAGAAAGGTTGACAAAGACACTGGAAGTTTTGAGCGTTACGGTTGCCTGGCGCAAACGAGTATGAAAGTCAAAATAAAGGAACCGAACCTACCTTGGCCATGGGTCATGCTGGTATGGACGCACAGAACCGTCCAGACCAGAAGGCAGCACTGTTGTACCGCAGACGGCATTTTGTTACCTGATACAGATGCACCCAACTATCAACGGGGTAGTGCCTACGCGTTTTCGCTTAACATAAAAGGCCTTTCGAACAAAGATACCGACGTGACGACGGAATACGACGGGAGTTTTCACCACAAGCTGAGATGCTAACAAATGTACATGTACGTCACAGACTGCACATTGCGATCTATAGGCACGTCATCGTGAACTTTGAACGGTACGATTTGCAATTACTATATCAAAATATAATGATTTTATGTCAATGATTTACTTTCGTTGTGAAGTGGTTAATGTTTATATCATCGATATTTGAACCACAAATAAACAAGATAAATAGCAACGCCCTTTGGACCAACAAAAGGGGGGAAGAGAATAATGAAAACATCTCATGGATTTTTATCAAGTAAATGCAGACATAATTCAGACAGTAGTGGGGGTGTTCATGGGGTTTTGGCTCTCAGCTACAACAATTTTGTAAATGGTGCAAATACTTCACAATATTTCAGTGTGGGGGAAATAACAGAGCAACGGTTGTTAGTGATGTAAGTTTCAGCTGCATATCTCCAAGATTAAACAAAATAACGCCTTTTTTGATCTCTCTTCTGGTGGAAGCTTAGTATATAATACTGTTACACCAACTTTTATTGAACCCCCAAAAAGGAAAACGTTTGCAGTTAGGCCAGACGCGGGGCAAATCGTAACGCAAACTTGTTGCCTGCAAAAATACGTCGAATTTGCAGTATCTATTGTAGGGAACTACATCGAATGCTATACATTCAAGCATTACTGTTCTTCTAATGTATCGGGTCAATACATAGGTTAAGTTCATCATGAGCTTCCACTGGGTACGGTAGGTACGAGTACGTCTATTGCATGGCAATGCGTATGCGTGGAATAGGTGAAGCCCAGTCCTCCAGGTCTAAACAAAAGATTCGCATACAGCCAAGTTCAAACGATTCTACAAGTCGATTGCACAGTGTTTTGTTTTGCTAAGGAAACAAAATCACTTTAAGGTGATTGAGCTCAGCATTGAACCACGATCAGACGTTTATTCATTCGCCACAGGTATCACCTGTTTGCGTTGTGCCCCATCAAACTTTGACGACGACAAGGTAGACCCCGCTGCGTTGTAAAATTCTAAACTGTCGTCTCAACGGGAAGAAACTAGGAAATTAGGGCAAAAATGATTCTTTCAAGATCGTACTAGGTTGTTACTGGCACGTGTATGAAGTTCGGATTACGTTCTCATTACGATTTAACTGAGCGTGTGCCCTGACTCTGCTAAAGGCCCTGTCACACCTTGACGATTTAGCCAGCGTATGCCGACGTATGAAAAATTTGGTGAATACGCTGATGTACGTCGAATAAGTTATGGTTAAGTTTTGTATAAGTTTTGTATGGGTATAAGCTGAAGCAGCTTGGTATACGCCGTAGCACGGCGAGGTCGTCGAAAAATTTTGGGCATGCATTAAATTATCGACGCATGCCAGCGTACGGCTCATACGTCCCGCATACACGGGCCATAAGTTGTAGGTTAGCTATAGGATCGTTGACACAAGTCCACACACGATACTTGTGGAGATAATGTCTAGCGTACCTAAAACTTCGTGCTAACCTATGAGTAACGTGCTTTGAACCTATGCGTAACTTATACCGAACTTATCTCCAATGCATACTGACGTGTGCATACGTATACATATTTGACGTGTTCAGGACGACCACAGAGCTTACTGAACGTGTTTCTATTACCCGTTTATAATTGTCTATAAGCTATCGAAACGTTCTAAAGTGTTAATAATACGTTATGTATACAGTTAAAAACAAAATATTTCATATAGGCCTATACCCCTTATAAATCTTAGGTTTTGTGTTTGCAAGGAATGCAAGGTAGGAAAATAACATTTGGCCAATAATCAAATCTTAATAGCTAGGTTTCAGGTTGGAGGGCCTGCTGGCATGCACCTTGGACTTGAGGGTTTCCCACATCCGCAGGTTTTCGATGGAATTCAGGTCTGAGCTTTGGCTTGGCTATGGTAGCACCTCCACGTTGTTATCCCGGAACCATTTCTTGACTGCCTTTGCGTTTGTTTAGGATCATTGTCCAGTTGGTATGTCCAGTTGGGGCCGAGATGGAGATTTTCTACAGACTGCTTGACATTGTCCTGCTGCATCTGGATGTACTGCTCCATCTTCATATTACTTCTACTTTTATGAGATTGCCAAGTCCACTTGTAGAGAAACAACCCCACAACATGACGCTCCCAAATTCAAACTTAACGGTCGGCACAGTGTTCTTTGGGTTGAACTTGAATGCTTCCCCCCTTCTTGCGCCAAACACCTCCATTTTCAAACAGTTTAAGTATCATAATAATGTTGTATAATGCTTAAGACACGGTGTCCGGTATCTAGGTACAGATGGTAGAGTTTCAAATAAATTTTAAAACACCTTCTGAAATAATTTTGTCCCCCAAAATACGGTCTCCTGAGATTGAAAATCTATATAAGTTCCGGTTGTTGGTTTTGAGTCCTCACTTGGACATGAAGATCTAACATCAACGTACAATCGTAAGCGAGCTTCCTCGCCATTTTTTCGGAAGAAAAGAGGCACTGTAACAAGTTGACGCTGGCCTGTTCCCTCGTCCAAGCCTTAAACTGAAATGCAGATTCCCGTCTTTCTTTTTTATTTTTAAGAGGTAAAACTTATGAGATTTAGAGAAGTTTCTATTCAGGTGTCAAGATTGTGATGACCAGTACAGGAAAGGGTAACCCTGGGCGCCAACATTAATGGCTTTTTTGACGTCTTATATAGGAAAGGCAAAAATTGTGATTCTTCACGAACGTGCTGAAGATCGCCTAGTCTCTCATACGGCTATTTACTGACGCATGTTTTCTATGCGTGCACAGGTCCCAGGCCCACTTCAATACCGAGTCAATTATGCTTTACGGCATAATTTTGTTTACAGATACTTCAGAATTACGTGCAAACAAAGGTTCAAGTTTATGGATATGATGGCGCTATACATGGAACAAATCAATCAAACCTGGACATAAAGGAACAACAGACATCCTTCTGGCTTGAGAGAAAAAAAAATGAATGTAAGGGACAGTTTCAGAATACAGAATATGTGTGCAGGCGTGGCATACACAGTGTGGACCTCTGCACGAAAGAAGTCCACATATACGGTGCGATGGCGCAGGTGTGTTGGGGCGGGGGATTTCGTTTCGTAGTGGGATGATGGCCAGACACACCTTCAGCACCCTGATATTAAAGGTGTTAATTCTAAACCCCATGGTAAGATCGTCGGATGAAAACTAGGCTCAAATGTAAGTCTTCCCCAGCTACGCCACTGAGATGTAAGAAACTTGGACGGCATAACTTTTTCAAAGTAAAACGATGCATTGACCAGACCTATTTAAACCATGTCAGGAATTTTCAAAAATTCACCGAGCTACCTAATTTTTAAAGTCAAAAGAGTACTGCAAACCTTTGATCCTATATCTGTTTATCTTTGTGTTGTTTCCTCCTCGTAATACATTAACTTTGTACCAGTAAGGGTGACATCACCTAGTTCCACCACAGGTTCGCCTATTGTGTAGTCATGACATGCCAGGCTGCGAGCGAATTTTTCATGAGTGTCTGAGACATGGTTTTCGTTTTCAGCACTGAGGGCGTGTGACAATGAGGGACTAAAGTTCAGTTGCTTGTGTGTACCTGCCCCCATTTATCGTGTTTTCGAAACAATGAATACACACCAAGGTGTAGAACAGCGGGCGTTTACATTCAACCCATTTGCATTTATTGTTTGCCTTGAGGAAAATTCATGTCTCCACTGGGCAAGTAAGTTCTGCGCTCTACTGCCAAGTAGGGTTTGTAAATAAGGAAACAAGGAAAAGACCCTGCTATCAAAGCATTGGCGTAATGGTTTCGATTTAGGGATTTCATTATAACATTAAAACGTCCTTACCATGTAATACCCCTTGGAAGTAAAATTTTTGTGTCTCGAATTTCAACACTCGCTATAAAAACTGACCGACGACTACTGATTGAGAAAGATAACCGCGCTGTTTAAGACATTTGAGACCCAATTTTATATGTAACATTTCAGACGTTGAACTCAAGAGTGTTTTCGGGTGGACGGACATAAAACTCACGCTCCGGGTGAACAAAGGCAGCCCTGAGCTTTGAAGTTTTCGAAGGTGAAGGTGAAAAGTTAATAGGTTTGCGTATGTGGGCTCTAAAAGGATTGGAGAATACTCAACGTTTTGGACAGTATGCTGTGTCTGTCGTCAAGACACTGCCTTTGAAGTGTTCTTGGGTCTAAGGGTCTAAGGTCTGCTGTGCGATGGCGTTCTGCTACAAATTCTGCCATTAATTTGTCGCCCAGAGACATCTGCAGTCTCCAGACAATAGACAGCGCGTAGTGTCCGAAAGGCCAAGTACCTTAACTCGGCTCTTTTCGGAACCCAGATCCTCACAAAGATATTTTTGCATTGTGCTACTGCAAACATTTAACTTGTGGCTTCGGAAAAGTTAGCTTTAGTGTGTTGATTTTTTTTCCTCTGCAGTACTTTTGTCATCTTTTCCTCGTTAATGACAAGTTATTTTTCTCCATATAAAGTATTCTAATGTTAAAAGAACCTTCTTTTTGTTTCTAATTTGTAGTTTGGAGGAAATTGGGGATTGTGGGGGTGACTTACCCGGCTATGGAAATTTGAACGGCGACAAATGTTTTACACTCCTACAGAACTTCGCATCAAAACGGCATTTTTAATGACTTTTAAACGATTCTTTTCCTTTTTGAATCGCTGAAGTCCAAATAAAATTCTTCACAAATCTGCCATTTTTTGGGACTTATAGCAAAATGGTGGGGGATGATTTGACAATCCCGCCTCCCTCCGAGATTTACGGCTGTTAATACCAGAATAGAGAAGCATGCCAGTACGCAAGGCCAAGTGACGCCCTCTGTTGATTATTCTACTGGAGCCACACCACAACGCCAATATAAACTGCCCTTACGGTTTACTTATACCACTTAACTGAACCGGCGGCAAAAATTACATTACATATGGAAAGTGCAACCGCATTGACGATGAAAAAGGACGGTCATTAATTACAGACACCTGCATGGATCCGACCCTAGTTTTGTAAGAACGGAGCCAAAGAATACAGCCATTGGGATTGACAGGAAGGCCAAGGGGGAATTGACGCTCTCAGTCTAAGTGCGGGGAGGGGCCTAAATCACCCAACAGCAAACTACTAAACCATCATTCTGAGGTACTTTCATGTATGCATTAGTGATTCTCTCCCCTTTCTTTTCCTTTCCTCAATTTTTCTTTTCCCATTTTTCTAGGGGGCGAGATCAAGCCTTCCCCTCCCTCGCGACAACCAGTGTGAGCCAGTGTTATGGAATAGATGGCACAGTCACCTTTCAGGAACATCAGGAGCAAACACCCAAAACTGACCCGGAAGCTCGGGCATCGAATTATGGACCTTACACTCACTATCGGCCCGCCTCCTTCTTTGTTCGCTATCAACTTCTCAATTTTTTATCACCGTGTTTTTGTTGTGTTATCGTTTTGTTAATACACTTGACTGCACGAACGAGATGACAAGCAAATAGACTCGTGGCAGTGTTTCTACGTCAAAATCTATGAATCATCGCTACACTGTGAAAAAAGCTTAATGAACTACAAAAATTAACACTATTGCAGTGGAGGGTTAATTCGATATTTTCCTCTCACATGGATTCCACAGGTGAATGCATCATTAAGTGAATGCAGTTCGAACTCCAAGACGTGTAGTAAATAAATTGGGGAGCAAGAAGACAGAAGACACACCCACTTCTTGCCTATTAAAGCCTTACAATAGCCCAGGTTGGGCTTACTGCCAAGAAGTAAACATATAGTACTTATAGGCCTACATAAACGCTTGTGCAAGTATCATCCTGCTTTTCCAGAATCTGCATTCCTGCAATTCTTGCAAGTGAAACCAGCATTTTCTCCGTCCCGTATGGTCCAACACTGTACTAACTCTTTGGTATTGACCCATATTCAAGATTTTTTGCACGGCGTCGGTCTACGTTGAAGAGGCAGCATTTGTGGAGGAAAATCTGCCACATTCAATATAGGTTATTCACCAACGTCACTTTGTCACGTGACTTTCGACTCGCCTGCCATATTGCCCAACTCGTGAGAGGCTCATGCACTGCACAGTAACACACAATATAGATTGATGTTAGAGAAGAAAAATGACGAATCCAATGAAAGAAATCGTATTTTCCGACACTGCTAATAATTGGGATGGTGTTCACACGATATATTTCATATGTTTGGCAGTGCTGTGAGACTAAAGTCAATGGAAAGTTTGAACTGCGTTACGTTAGGGGACTGTACTAACAACGTTAATACTATACGGCCTATAGCCACAATGAAGTGAACACTGCAGTCGCATATGTGAGTTTGGAGTCCAGTTGTATAGGAAACCTATAGAAACGCAGATCTTTAGATCTTCACGATTACGGCATCCTACGGCACAGCAAACCTTCACCATTTTACAGCAACAGTGCATCCTATTCCATGAACACGATTCGAGTCTCTGGAATGATGTCTCTGGAATGACATCATTAGGACGGTGAAAATAGCCGTCAGTGGGCTGCTTTAATAAACATTTCAAAGTGGATTTGATCTCCCATTATGTAGCACAGCTTCTCTTTTGTCGTTGTTATACCGCTACGAGCATTTCCCTTTTTTGTCGCTGTTGACTCTTATTCTGACTGGTTGTTTTGGCAGCCACTGCTCATTATTATACTTAGTTCTGTCATTTCGTTTTGTTTGTTAATCTCTGATTGTTGTTTTATGTTTTTGATCCTGGCATGGCGTTATAAGCCCTTGGCTTCTGCCTATGCCACCATATTGCTCTGTACATTATTTACCGCGTTACTAATTTAATTCATTTTCTTTATTTACTTGTGATATAGTTTTATGATCCTTATTCAGACAATGACTTTGTGTAACATATCTCTTGCTTTACTTTCCTTTTGTAACTTTCAGAAACGTGGGAAAAACATGTGTTTATAAGTGAATGAACAAACCGTGCTCGTACGTGCATACATGCACTTGACGGCCAATGTGGCGGCATAAGCGAAACCAAGGACTGTATGACGTCATGTGAATTTCCCATATAGTGTTTACTATCGATAGCACAGACGTTGCCACACTGCAAGAGAGATGATTAATCCAATCCGATTCAACCAAGAGATCCAAATCTAACTGAACCCCACTGAATCCGTTTTACATAGCTCTATGATCTGATCCGACTCAGATCGGGTCGATTCCGCATTCAGAAGTGCACATCTTTATCTCTCCAGTTTTTGCGTTGAGCTGCACACTGCCGCAACTCAGAACACAAGAGTGTCATATCGCACAATGGCGCTAGATAATTACAAGTTGAATGTATTTGACAAACGATTATAGCGTGTGTTCAAAGCTGTGGAAAACTGATAGAAAAGGTCGTCATAAGGAGCAGTTCACCTTTGAGTGACAACACACGCATTGAGTGAACACGAATGACCTCTCTAAATTCTAAAATTTAAATACTGTGTGGTTTCAAAACTGGATAAATCTCTATGACCAGATGTGCAGTTTGTTTCTCCGAAAACTCTTTTTTTGTTTCGTTGCACTCTTTTAAAATCAGAAAACACCTATCTTAGTCCGAATGCTTGCAAAGAAACAAAACACGAAAATAAAATGCACTCTTGGTTGCAAAACCTCCAAGCTTTCAGTATTAAGTTCCAATACATACATGATAGCCCTGTCAAAGTCTAAAATTTATCTCGGTTAACTAATTTCCTGGTGTTTCAATAGCACTTAGGAAATGGTAAGATAACGGTAGGAATTGAAGTACAGGTACTCGTTTCAGGTGCCTCGATTTTCAACATCAATGAGACACCAGCAAACCAGGAATGCAAGTGTTTCTGGTTACTTTTGCAGCTGAGGAACAGGCAGTCAGTTTAATCTAAAGACTTCATTTTGGCATAATCCTGAGTAGATTGGATACATGTATTCGCCTTTAATATAGAAATTCTAAACGGATATTGAACAGTGTGCGTTTTTCTGTTTCTATTTCGGGAATGGATAGAAAACTGAGATTTTAAGTTATTTAACGAGCACAAGTTTCACGAGTAATTATATTCGTGAAACTTGTACTGAGCATACGCGTCATTTCGTTATCGAAATTCATGGCTCGGTGAAGGCCGAACGTCTGTTGTGCATATAAATAAGTCTTTGAGCATTTGGAAAAACTATCTCAATCTACAGCATAAAGCACGTTCGATATTGGTATTTCTTAATGCAATTTTGAAAACATCTGTTTGGGGTGAAGCAAAATGTTTAGTTCAGCAACTGCGTATGCGCAAGCTTGATCTCTTTCGGTGAATGACTGATGACTTGTCAGAGTCTAAGGCTGTTGCGCACTGTTGCGTTCATTGTTGCAGCTGCATTATATGCCAAGTTCGCATTGTTATCTCCGAAAGTTAAACTTTAATAATAATACCACGGCAACGCCAATGGTTCGCAGAGCAATTGGCGCCATCTTGTGGCTGGAACGGGTGTGGTTGCATATCCTGAGTGACCTACCTAAGGGGGTGGACCGTTCCTCGGGCTATTTCAGCGAGTGTGTCGTGATCCTGGGAGTTGCACCACAACCGTTGACGTGCCCTGCTTGGGATTATTAACGTTAGCGATGTTGACCTCAAGGATTGAGATATATGTAGCATGCCTTCGATCTCTGCTGATCTTGTACCTGTGTGTACCTGACATTCTTTGCCAAGGTAAGGCTCTACATTCAGAAAACACCAACGAAGAAAGAAGAAAAAGCACTTTTCATTCCGAAGTCTCAAGCAAGTGAATTTTCTAAACGTCACGTGTGTACGTAAGTTTACAGAGTTTAGCCAGTGAGTTTATTATGATATGGGTACACTTAAAAACAGAGCTTCGCTTATCGTTTGAACAATGTTTTGTATATTACTTCAGAATGAATACCTACTCTCCCCTTGTATTAACAAAAACGACGTACACTGTGATTCCATTATTCGTTAAATATCACTTCAAACCCCACTGTCCTTCGATGTTGAACGAATTGCCCAAACCACACACAGCATCAGCACATGTCAGTCGTATTTCGTAAGGTGTGTGTCGGTGACGGGTGCTATTGAGCTATTGCGTGGATATTTATTTAACTACATTAACTAAGCTACCGCATAAACAATATAGATGTTTTTCACTGGGAAAGAGAGGTGTCGGAAACACGATGTAAAAATTTCGACAAAACTTCCAACGCATTGTTCTAAAAACTCGGTTTTTGTATGTGTATCGTAACTGCTTCAAAATGTCAGGAATGTAAACATAATTATGTGAAAAGCAGGGAAATTGTCATCTGTCGACAAAGGCTCCACGCCCTCTATTCCTGCTAAGTATGTTCCCGAACACCTGCTGGTAGTTTACGACTATTGTGTTGACCCAACGGAGATCTTTTTTGTAGTTTCATTTTAGCAATGTGACATCATGAACTGTAATGCGCCTGCTGGTTTTGCCAAGCAACATGCCGTAATTAAGTCAAAACTTTACATATTGCAAGCTGTGTAGAAAACATTCTGATCACCCTTCTATCAGACACCAATCCAGGAAATAAAGTTATTGAGCTTGAGCTAAAACTCTGAAGGAGTATCATCTCTCTTTTGAGATTTTCTCATACTGAGAGGTAAGCTCTGCTTTTCCACAGAAGGCATGGAACTGCTGCTCCAAAGACACATGAAGTAAGATATGAGACGGTGAGAACCCCCCCTTGTGTTGGTCAATGTTTCATAGGAATATGAGGAATTCTTTTCGGGTATCTAGGGGGAAGTTTTGGGTAACAATAGTCTAGAGTGTGAATAGCGATTGGATATGGGGGGACACCCTGTCTTATTTCTTGCTGGATATATCTAAAGGTCTCAAAGTACAGTGTAATCAACATTATCGGCAAGATGCAAATGCGAGTCGAATAATTATATCTTGCTCTTACAAAATTAATATGCAATATTCAGTATTACATTACATTCATTATTATTGTAGATATCATGATTCCTTTAGGAGCGTGTCAACGTGGGGTATCTCGTAAGTTAGATTTTGGCCAACAGCATACTAAAGAGAATGACCGTAATGGGTTGTCCTATAAATTCAGGGTCCAAAAATGTGACATTTTTGTGTCCCGTTACATTTGAGCTGGGCAATTTGACGTGGACACTAAATTCGATTTCTTATTGTTTGGCAGGTAATTTGCATCAATTCAAAACTCTTGGAAATTAAAAAAAATGTTCTAACTTACAAATCATATGTTAGATGTGACAGAGACAGGGAAAAAATCTAATTTATAGAATGAACCTAATGTTAAGTTTGTATATGACCTGATTAATGTTCCGACAGGGCACATTTGTCACACCGACTATATGCTCTATCTATACATGACCCAGTTACCCAGATATAGCAATGAATAACTGCACGCCAGTAATTATTTTCTACCTGTTAAAGACATCTGTGCGGCGCTGATCAAAGGTCAACAATGATTCATCTATTGTGTTATTGATATTTATTTCATATTTTGCGCGCTGAGGATGGGAGATGACTGAGATAAAGATTGCAGGCCGTGGAAATTCAAACCGTGCGTGTGGACACCACATGATACCAGGGGCGCTGTTCATGATATAGATGTACACACCTTATACTCATTATTATTACTCTTACAATTATTTATTCGACCAAAACAATATCACATAGTTTAATAGTTTACAGAAAAGCAAATCAAAGAAAACAAAATTACAAGGATGGACAAAGAATGCAAAAGAAAACAAACAGGCAGGCGTAGGAACCACGAACAAGCAAATACAACAAGACACGTGACTGTAATGTGGGTCAGGGACTGCAAAAGCGACATTAACTGCTACATGTATTATCTACAGATATGCAGACTCTCATACAAGAAGTAACAAAGACACAACAGATTACAATCACAATGCCCACATGCAAAAAGGACTGGCCCCCACGGAGGTGATCAAAATGACTGACAGAAAAGCAACGGACGGAATTATGCGTTCGGCAACAACACGTGACAAAGTGCGTGTAATATTTATGTTCTGATTGATTCGATTGATATCCATTCATTTGAACAGATGAAAAGAAGCAAACAAATAACTGGTATACATACACAGGGTGATGGACGGAGGATACCTGACAACAGCATGAGCTTATACGGAGCCACGTTCCTTAACAAAAAAGTGAAAAAAATCAATGTTTCTTTTAAATAAATACAAGAAATAATTTGATAAAGGAAGAAATCAAATGGAATGCCATAGCAGGAATACAAAAAACACACTTGCAATTTATTCTAAATACCGATAAACTATTGGGGCATTAATGGATAATGTCATACATTATACCTTTCCAGACATAATAGCTTTTAGAGTAGTTTTTAAAATCGTGCAAGTTTCTGAAATAAGGGACTGGCATTATTTTATTCCGCAGAAGAGGGCCTTGATGGGTTTAAAAAATAAAGTGGTTTTCGCTTTCCCGATATGAAGCTTGGCTGTTACTCTTGTAATGTGAGTGTAAATTTCATTATATCTCAAGAACACAGAACTGGGCACGCAAGGTAAAAGGAATTGTCTTCGAATTTTTATCACAAACGTTCTACGATAATATTTATATTTAAGTAGATTCGAAACAATTAAAAATGCTACACAAACCAAGCCTAGCAATAAACGACAATGATTCCTTAATATGAAATCACCACCATTTTATCCCTATTTTTATTTCCATGTCAAATTTCAGGAATGGACAGCACTGAGTGAGTTAAACCAATGACACTTCTATTTTATATTGTATAAAGTAAGCATAGGATTTTCAAAGCTTTCTCTAAATGCTTCGTAAATTGTATTGCGAACTGAAAATGAAACATTTTCCAGTCTGTGAGCTTATGTTCTCAGATCCCTTTTAGATAACTATTGGGCAACAAAAGTGTTGCATAAAGCCCACTGGGATCCTCTATATTCAGAGACGCAGTCATTAAAACAGAAGCTACTGCCACATTACAAAGTGTCTCTGTAAGTCACTAATATGTGCATGCTGCAATCAATTTGGGATTTATCAGGTAGACTGGTCAATAACAAAAGGAGTCCCTGGCCTTTGGTAACACATTGGTGGGTAATGGCATCCGCCATGCCAGTGGAATTAATGCACAACGGACGGACATCATCTGACAAACTTCTGACCTATCGGAAGCTGGTATTCTAATGAGTGCAAACCTGCACAGAGGATATAGTTATTAAGCATGGCATCGATCCTGCCGTTTATCAATAATGAATATGAGCGATGCACCATTGGATGACTTCTGATGATAATACATGTTTCTTAAACTCTAATAATAGCTGCCATTGACTTTTGAGCGACAATCTTCAATAAAAGAAGTTTGGGGATTAATGATTTTGCGTTTGAATGGATAACGTGAATTCCTGTCTGATAAAAACATTGGAAATTGTCATCATTGGCTTGATTGGAAACCTCTGTGATATTTCTAGCTTTCATTCCTCCACGTTGTCCTTGTTGACACTCAAATATTGAGATTTAATCAGCTTCAATAGCCAAATGTCGACGACCTGCTTCAAGCTTTCATATAAATTTGGCAATGCAAAATTTGATCCCACCTTTGGAGTATTTAAGTGACTCGCTCGTGATCTGTAGACTCGCAAATATTTGGTCCTTGATTTTTTTACACATCCACAAAGATGGTGCTATCTGTGGGTAGGTCATGACCAGGTATGACCAAGCAGAAGTATACGTGTACATCCATGGTTCAACCATTTAACCACTAGTAACTTTGAAGAACAAAAGCCAAGAGCACAAAGCCAAGATTTGAAGCTTTTGGGAAGTTGCTAGATTATGCCCCGGCAAAGATATTTTTTGGATGTGGTCGAAATGCAAAATTTTGCTCATGGTTGTAAATACATACATGTACATATACATACATATTATATGTACACTGGCAAATAATGATTGAAGCTGACAATGTATAGGGCAGTTTCACAGGAAAGGTTGTAAAATGAAAACTTGGATATTGATGCCTTTTTTGATTGGAAAACTTTGCTGAAACTTAATGCTTTTCGTCTCACATGGAGTTTTACCTTGTTGCAATCTCAAAAAAAAGTCAAGGCCTTACGCATTTTGGTTCTCAAGATATGAACTAAAACAGGCGCAAAAACACAAGATTTGGAGTCTGATTCGAATTTTCCCCAAACTGCAATTGATGTGAAATAAAATCAAATGGTATGGTAAAACTGCCTGCTTTCGCGTAGACGTTGAGATGTGTTCCAATAAAGTGTATACCAAATTTCATTGGAATTGGTTGACCAGTTTTTTTTTACACTGTTTTGAGTGACACTTTGGTTTGTTAGTTAAATGTTTTTACAAAATGTCCTCTCCTGAACATGGTATTTCTTCCGGAATGGAAAGAAATGTAATGTAACTCATTAGCCGTCAACACAACACTACACACTCTAGTCACTTAATATAAAAACATTGCACTACAGTGATCACAAGTAAATAAGATATAAATGCTCATGAATATGTCATGCAAATGTTATTTAAAAACGTCCTTTCCTGAACACGGCATCCCATGATCTGCAGAAAGTCAGATTTTTTGGGGGGAGGGGCATTAACTGGTAGCTTGGCATAGACTTACAAGAACAAACAGACTATAGAAAAAATCGGACTTGAACCGTGCTTGCTGTCACGGCATTGTCGTTGTTAAACTTCATTGTCCTTTCCTGAATATTAAGTTTAACAGAGCACCCAGTTAAGCCACTGTTGCTTAAATTTGATGAAGTGTATACTTATATTGTCTGTAGAGTTTGTGCTTTAAAATTAAAACCAATTAATTGGACAAAAAATGCTGGTATTTTGTTTTGGGGGTCATTTACTTGAGCATTATGTCCACATAATATGCGTACTATATGCCCATATCAATTATCCATCTAATTCACACTTAATCAAATATTTATCAGAAATTGGCTGATTTACAGTTTCATGCAGGCAAATTCACAAAATTAATGCATCAGTTTGTCCTAATTTCAGTAAGATTTACTGTTTTAGACAAGTTTTGGGGTATCAGAGTGTTCAGGAAAGGACACTTGTTAACAACTTCAAAACCATCTACCAACACGAGTTTTTAACATTACACTCTGTGTTAACAGCCATTTCATTGGTTTTACCATAGAGCTCTGTGGTTTTGCCTATGAAAAATGGAACAATTCAGCTTATCATGCATTGATCATGTGCTGATCACTCTTCTGTTATTTTAATTGCATACATTTCTAAAGCATCCTTCAGTATAGCTTTCACCATGTATGCATAGACTCATGGAGCCACGTTTTCAAATGGTTTTAATTCCTGCCTGAACTCATACCCACTGTAGACACCGAATGTACAGTACATGTATAGTGCACTGTTAATTAAACAAGCAACCTTAACAAGGCAGAGAAACTACAAAATAAAATTAAACTGGGACCTCAGGAAGAGAAAGAAATGTCTGACTTGTCTGAAGAAGGGGCCTTGCAGGACAACTGTGTATTTAAACAAACTGAAGGAAAAAACCCAGTGATGTATGAGGAATACAAAGCAAAGGAGAGAAAGAGAAAGGCAAAATGCTATGAAAGTTTATGGCAGAAGTAAACTTGCTGAGGTCGATATTCTTTAAAATGATAAGCGCAAATAATTTGTTCCTGTACAGTTTGTATGTATTCATGCGTATGCATTTCTTTGTAGGGGCTACCATAGGCCAACATCAGTACTTGTGTCACTCTCACAGCCCATAGCAGGGTTTTTAGGAAAATACCAGAAGGGATTTCCCCTTACGTCATTGTGAAGGCATGTTTACAATAAATTATTCCTTTGCAATCAGCTGCTGATTTGTGAGAAATATGTTTCTTAGGTCTTTACTTACTTGTTTAAAATTGTAAAATAGTGCAAAACTGCAACTTTGTAAGCTTGAAATATGATGAAACTGGTACATTTTTAGCAATATTTCATTAATTTTTTGGAAAATCCGTGCTGGGTGGTACAGCCAATTTGAACCCGAGAGTTGGGCGGAAATTTACAGTCCTAGGTGGCACTGCCTGGCGCCACCCACCGTGGCTAGAACGCTGGCGTAGTAGCATAATTATATGGACCACATCACCCATGTTTACCAGTTTTATTTTGCACTTTCACAGCAAAACATGTTAAAGTGATTATACTGGTTCTGTCTGTCCTTCTTATTAGCTTTATGATAAAATTTCTCAAAATGTTGCTTTATAAGATCAAACTTGATGGAAGGTAGCATTATGTTAAATTTTGTCCTTTCCTGAACAAAATGAACTGTTTTCATAGCATTAAGAGAGGCCACCATAACTCTTGAATGCAGTAACCCTGGAAAACAGTTATTTGACAGCTGTTCTCCCAAATATGTAGCCCTTGGACAAAGGAGAACATACTGAGCAGGGTGCATGATTTTCGGAATTACATGTAGTTGAAATGACGGGTGGTGTTTTAAGAAAAAAAGAGAGTAAAAAAATTAATTTTCCCAAAATATCAGAAAATATGCATTGTTTTTAACAGCATAACTTGCATTAGCGTTGAAGACGTGAATTGTGGTGGCTGTCAACCAATTTAAAGCAACCCCAAACATGTCTGGAATGTGGAAATAGCTGTTTATGATATATACCTTCAGTTGACAAAGTTAATTATGACATGCCAAATGGAAAGTGTCTTGAAATTAAAACAGGAAAAGGTTTAAGCCTTGAAATTTACGTTTTCTGTTACCTTTATTCATACACTTACAATAGCCAAACACGGTTTATTGATATAACAAGTTTCATTTTTGACCACTTGTGAGACTTTTTTGCAACCTTTCCCGTGAAACTGCCCTATAAAAAGTTAAATTATTACAAACATGGCAAAGGGTGGTGGGCCTTGTGTCAATCATCATACCTGGTGAAGATTGCATGCATAATACTGAACAATCCATACAAGACAGCTGGCATGGCTCCCTAATATAGACATACAAACTTTGAAGTCCACAGCCGGCAATCAGATAAAGGAAAATGAAACACAAGAGCACCGATGAGATGCATCACAAATATGGTTAAGCCTGTGGAATACGAGCATCCATTTAAAGGTACAGCACACTTACATGTATATACCTAACACAGTTTATAGAAAATGATCCATTTGAAAAGTTTGTCAAACGGCAAAATATGACGAAACAGACAGCAGAACACAGCTAAACCCATGCAATAAAAAGTGAGAGATGATGTACAAAAGAAATGAGATTTCAAGAGATTGAATTAACAGGCAGCAGGTCAACAGCGCCCTTTATCAAGGGACCCTGCTTAAATGAACCAAATTAACGGATTGGCTCAGCTGGTCAAAAAAGCCAGAGGAAGCTTGATGGACATAATGGAGAGAGCCCCAGTTTGTGGTTTATCATCTTTTGAGGTCTCAACTTCCCGGCATTTCACTGAGTGTTTCATCCAGTGCCACTGTGAAAAATCCCAAGTTAGTGGCGCAAATTGGAGGAATGAAAAGTACTTACCATGGTTACACTACATGTAAGTTGTGCATGGCTGAAATGACAGTTATATTAACGATGAATTGAAAAACCCAAACCTGCAGCTGTCCCTCTTGTCTGGGCCACCAACTGTTGCCAAGGGGATTCGCCCTAGGTTAACCAAATAAATATATACCAATATGATAAAGACTCACCCCCGCACATTTTCTTGAAAAAGGGGTTCCTTGCTCTATGCTAAAAACGAAGTAGTCCGAACGGTGGACCTCTGACAAAACACATTGGGTTAAAATTGGCTGCTGGCCCGGGCGAGCTGACCATGCGCGCCCTGGCCTTGCTGGTAGTGGTGAGTGACCGGCAGATAAATTAAATGTCTCCTTTCTTTGAGACGGGTCAATCAAAAACCGTCCTTGCACTGTTGTTAAAAAAAACCTGAATGAAAACTGTAAAAATTGTCTTGACTTCTGAGAACAGGATGTAAATGTGGAAAGAGATGAAAGTTGTCAAGCGATTTCACACTTGTGCGCGGTTGTTGCGTGCGAAGGTAGAAAAAATGGCTGAAGGAGAGGGTTATTTGCATATGAAGAACTTGAGAGGTCTAAGGTCACAACATCTTCCACGTGGTACGCATACTGCCTCCCTGCCCGGGCCGGTGCTTCGATCGAGGCCTCCCTTAAAATTACTGATCAATCGAAGCATGCAATGCATGCATGGAGAGAGACTCTGGCGCAGAATCTGAGACTGTTTCCAAACTTCCTGCCCTAGAATCTTGCAGGATGGGTCCCTGAGCACAACCTACCGCGGGACTCAAACAACGGCAACTTCTTGCGGTTTGCTGGTTCTTTCAGTAACAAGGCAGACCGTTCAACCAGCGTACAAGTTGTAGGTCATGTACTGTACTGCACGTGTACGTTGGACCATGTTTACGAGTCTAACATCATGTATGTGCAGCTTATCAAGCCTATGAAATGTATGATCAAAGGAAGAATTAGTTCAGGAGGCAGAGGGAAATGATACTAGGCCTATACTGGTTGCCCTCCACGCGCTCCGTAATGACGTAGTTATTGAATTGTATTTTGCCTAGTGAAATTATTGTTTTCTACATATAAAAATGACAGAAAATAGTTTTGCATAAATGAGTCAGTATTTTCCCTCCTAAAGTAATACTTTTCTGGACATGTTTTTGCTCTGTGACCCCCTGCATATGACCTCACGTTATAATATATGGCATTTCTTTCTTCCTCTAGGATAGACTTGAGTAAAACCTTTTATGCATTCATTGTAATCAAATTAAAATAACAAAGAATAGCCTCTGACTCCGCCTTTACACAAAGGGTCTATTCTACAGGTCATTGTAGGGAGTATCTACCAACATCCGTAAATGGAACTCTTTCCCGTATGTGAATATATTTACAGTATAATGTTGTTAGGAAGTGTGATTACCAAATACTTTGCAACACGAGCTAACAACTCATCCATGCAGGGACTCTGCAGGACTCCCATTTAGAACTGAATATATCAGTTGGGTTTATTTTGTGCAGGGCCAAGCTTGGTCTGTCCCAATATCTTCACCCCGCCAGATGCCAATGAGAACTATGCTACTGTGTACTGGCCAATCCCGCGTTCGATGGATGTGGATGGTGACCCCGCAGCCGTTACCTGCAACCTACCTCGGGGAGGCAAATTCGAGGGGCAGATCAGCATTGTGCAGTGCACGGCCGTGGATACGTCCAATCGTGAAAGGACTACCACGTGCCAGTTGTTAATTGCCGTGAGTAAGTACATGTACACGTACCTCTTGCCAGGGACAACCTTAGTTTAAACATAATGAAGGTACTTATATACATAGATGAAAGGCAGTGTAAGAATGATTGAAATCCCTCTACAAGTAGTTTGGCAATCTTTACTTTTAGTACCCTTTCCCATTGTAACATTGGATTCCTCACCCCTCCTCAGCCGTCAAGAATGATCAGAATTCCAGATTTTCTCACAAATTTGACACTATATCCACAAGATAATTAAATACAGCTGTAAGAATCCAATTAAGGCTATACACTGGGAACACAGGGTAATTTCGGAACAATAAACAAGTTTTAAGAATTAATTTTAGATTTTTGCCCTGCCCGACGTGTATTATCACAATGTAGATTCAGTCTTTGCCCCCGAAGGTTTGTGAAAAACAATAAGTGCACTCGGGTGGGACTTGAACCTACGACTTCCTGCTTACCAGTGCAGGCGTCTTAACCACTCGACCACCGAGCTTACCAGTGTTGGCTGGCTGGTTCATCGGGCAGGGCAAAATTCTTCTGAAAATAATTAACATCTCCTGGCCCAAATTCATCCTTGGAATGAATTCAGGAATACTATAGCCTGGAGTCCTAGCTGTAAGTATGGACTTATTGTTTTCAGTTTCAAAGCATTTAGACAAAACGTACTTTTATTGGAAATCAATCTGAGCAGGATGTTATCGCCCTCTTTTTAACATTCAATATTGAAGTTATTAACAGACTGACATTTGCCAGATCAACCTACATTGCTGACTGAATTTTAAGTCAAACTGAAATACCAGTAATATCTAGTCTCACTGGCTGTTGAAAATTCGTGTCAAAATCTGTCCAGCTCCAAGATTCAACAGAGGCTGCCCACCGGACATTTCTCAGGAGAATTCTATGGTTACTTTTGCCAAGCCCATCGGTGAGCAGAATTTCGCTGGGGGTGATCTCTCCCCAGTTGAATGCAGCCATGAAAGCGGTGATGTGTTTGAGCCGGGGTTGACTTTGGTCAACTGCACTGCAATAGACACATCGATTAATCTGGAGGCCACCTGCTCTTTCAAAGTCTCCATTGGGACTTGTAAGTCAACAGTTATTCTTGTAGCCATTCTTCGGAATTGAGCTAAAATGAAAACCTATTTACTAAACCCTGTTTGCCTTTGGCCCAAATAAAAAGACACATGAAGGCAATTACATTTCCAGCATGTGGTACGATGAGTATCTAAACCTGTGAATAGTGTTCCTAGGAAATTTCTTGAATTTCATTTGATTTCTTGTAATTTTGAATTCAGTTGAAATCAAATTCTCTACGTTCATAGCATATTTGAGGCACATGCATCATCTTGAAATGATGTAGATCCCCTTGAAAATGGTACCAGTATCGCAGTCCTCCATCAAAAGTATTTGACTGCAGTCTGGTGAGCTGTTATTGAACTTTTTGGCTCTGGCCAGTTCGATCAAGCCATTTGAAAAGGATTTAGGTTTTTTTTCTTTTCAGTGCCCAAATTTGCCAATCTTGGTTCTTGTGGTGATGCTGCCATTGTCAACACGGCACCTGATGATGGTCAGAACACGGCCACTGCCATCACCGGCCGGTGGACGCGGCCAACCAAGGACGGTGGGGGCGACGTCGTCTGTGACCCTGATCCAGACACCCATACCTTTGTCGCGGGGGTTACCACGGTGACGTGCATGGTAGCCGACTCCAATGTACCCTCTCTTATCGACACCTGTTCCTTTAAAGTTCGTGTCTGTAAGTGGTATTGATGTTCTGAACTCAATAATTACTGTCCCTGTCAAATTTATTTCTAGATTTAATATATGAGTCCACATGTATATTGCCCTCTTTCTGGTCATACATTAAAGAAAATCTGGTAGGCGTAGCGAGTAAAAGCCATTCATCTCATGAATGTTTATCACTTACCATACTTGTACACTTTAGGACATGACTATATAAAAATTTGAATATTTAATTAATTTCACTCCAGATACCTATAATTTTTATGCATTTCCTTAAGATTTGACTTCGTGTGATTTTTGTTTTTTAAATTTGGAAAGCCATGCCAAGAACATGTACTTGTAAAATCAAAAAGATGTTTGTCCTCAGTGAGTAACTTTATCAGTCTTATATTTCAACTTGAGATTTGACTTTCCACCACAGTTCCTACATTCCCAAATGGGTGTCCGGAAACAATCATATCAGCCAACGGCATGGATGTTGACTTTACCCCACCTAATGCGATAGACTCAGTTAGTTCCACAATACCCGGTACTTGTGACAAGGCCAGCAACGACACATTTGAAAGTGGCGAAACAACTGTACGGTGCTCTGCGATGGACAGTGTTGAGACTACGCAGACCGTTACGTGCAGCTTTGTAGTGGCTGTTGGCACCCGTGAGTTACAAAGTGTGGAAAATTATATGTACCTATCCAAATTTCCTGCAAATGAGGGACAGGTAATAATCAGAATGCAGTTTCATACATGCAGTTTGGGTTGGTTACAAATCTGTTTGTTGTATCACAAGGTAAAATAATCACGTCTAACTGAAAAAAAAATCATCATCACTTCAGCTTTCCAAGAATGTATTAATAAACAAAGATGCCAAAATGAAGAGCCCAAAACTATCAAATAGCCCAAATAACAAAAAACAGTTCATTTTAGGTCCATCATTTTCCACTAAAGTCATACAGAGAATAATCCGTGGAAACTGTATGTATCGTGTGTAGGAAAAGACTTGTATAATTCATTCTTGAACAGTCTACCTTTAATCGTCACATCCTTTTTTTCTTTCCTCAAGCGCCTGATTTTGATTCCCGTGGCTCTTGCGACTCTAGTCCAGTCAACGTCCCTCCAGACGAGGGCAAGATGACGGCAACAGGGATTGTTGGGCAGTGGACCCGACCGACCCGGGCTGGAGGGGGCCAGGCCACCTGCAGCCCTGACCCGGACACAACGACCTTTGTGGGAGACAGAACTGAAGTTGCGTGCACCATACAGAATGATCAAGCACCGTCCATCACGACCACTTGCACTTTTGATGTCGGTGTATGTAAGTCAAAAGTCTTTTGTTTTCGTCAATGTGACATCACAGAAGTCTCATCAGAACAAAGCTGCCTAGAAATAAGACTGATTTGGTGCATGCAACTAATTAGATTGTTTTGCAAGATCCCAGTAAAATGACTAAAAACGGTGGATACTTTATTCCAGTGTTGGAAATTTTTAACCTGTAATATCCATGAAATTTCAACAAGCTGTATATATTTGTGTTTTCCTTTGCTTTTGCAATATGTCGAAACCTCATTAGATTTCTTGTTTATTCATAAATCAGATCAGCTATAGCTAGCTTGTCCACATTGTATATTTTTTTCAAGGACTTGACTCTAAGTGATAATGAGAAAAATGAAATTTTTATAGTATCATGGAAGACATCTCTTTTTGACTTGCTCAGTTCCAGCTTTTGAAAAGGACACATTGCTAGGAAACCCATTTCGGTCTCCAGACCCTGGGGCCAACTATGCAACCTACGCCTATCTCGATCCCCTGGCTAAGGATAGCAATGGTGCATCTCTGCCCGTGGTCTGCAGTCCTATGTCGGGTGCCCAGTTTGGCGGGGGAACACATGAAATACAGTGCATAGCCACTGATGCTTCTGCCAATCAAGATTCCACTTACACATTCAACTTGACCGTCGGTGAGCATTTCTGTTTCCAACTTACCCCGAGATCAATGGGTTCCTGTTCTACAGGGATGTCAGTGGCCCTCTTTGATTATGAGCACATTAAAGTTTTGCAGATAAGACAGATATTGGTGCATTGGTGGACACCCCTTGTATTAAGGGTTGCGGTCAAAATAATGATTTTTAATTAGTCAGTTTGTAATATGGGATCGGCAATTAGAGGGTTACTCTATCTGTGTATCTTGTTTCAGCAATACAGTTTGAAAAATGATATCTTTATGTAGACTGGATTAATTATGAATTAAAACATCATTCTCTCCAAGAAACGTGTGATCATGCTTTAGCTTATGCATAGATATGGGGAAACATGTTAATAACATTGAAATTTTGTTAAATCAAACCTTTTATGTTTTCCTTGTCTTGTCTATGTACATGTATGAACACAAAGCACCCGTCTTCAAGACCCTTTGTCCGAATGACATAATCCAGGCAACCAATCCAGTCAGCTTTCCGGTGCCAATAGGAGGCGATGATCCTAGAGGAAAGCCATTTCCTGTCACCTGCACAAAGAATGACCGGGACGTTTTCAATCCAGGCACAACTGTTGTCATCTGCACAGTCACAGATCCTGTGACCAAGCTGGTGGCCACCTGCTCCTTCACGGTCACAATCGTTGTTGGTGAGTAAAAAAGAATTGAACACCTCGAGAGATCAATTTCACCAATTTTGATAAATCTTTGGAAGATTGTCCGATAGGGCTGAAGTCCAAATGAAGGTTTTTCCGAAGACCCATAATTACACAAGAAAGTGGCTGGTTGAACAGTGACAAAGGAATGCTTTTTTGGCATGTATAAAAGTCTACAATGTAATGGGCCTTACTTTCATGTATGCAAACTTTCAGGAGTTGGACAATTTCGTCTTTCTTAATCATTCAGAGCACAGCTCCTTTTACTTGAAATTTTGATGCCATATGAAACTTTTTAATTTGAAGAAGCAAGAACACATGGATCAAGACAAGTTCTTGTAATTGTGTTGATAAAAAGGTAAGGGTAAAGTGTTAAAATTCAGTTTAGGTGACTTAATTTGGGTTGTATCAGGGTCCAATCTATTGTTGATGCAGCCGAGTCTATCACAAGCCCTTCCACATGACCAGTTATAAGTATTAAGGGTGAACAATGAAAAAGGAATCTTTTCACAGTTTGTTTGAATAGCTGTGACTTGACTTTAGATTGAAATCAATGTGATGAACTTGAAGGGACTTGTGATGAACTCTAGTACAACACCATAGTCTGTGATTATTTGGTTTGTAATATTCTGTTGACAATGTTATGCTTCTTAATCATGGTTTACAGCACCTACGTTTGATGCTTCTCCTGCTTGCGATGAAGACTACAACACCGAACCAGCCCCGGGAGAGAACAGGGCTATCGCAGTGACCTGGCCAGAGCGCGCAGCTACACAGGCCGATGGGAACCCGGCAAATGTGACCTGCGAGCCAGTTCCTGGCTCGGACTTTGAGGCCGGAGACACCAACGTGACGTGCACGGCAGCAGACACCCGCTTACCACCCTCAATTACCCCTACCACAGACTGTGTCTTCAGAGTTCGTGTGTGTAAGTTAAATGGGAAGAATAAGAATTGTGAACTTTTTTTCAAAATTCCAGTTCTACCTCTATGTTTGCATTGTCAAACCAAAAGCCTTTTTTTTTCAAACCAATGGCCATTATTGCCATATCCCCGGTTTCAAGATTTTAAAGATACTCTAGAACAGATTGAGGTTGTTCAGCTCAATGTGCAAAGAGCACGTCACTTAAAAGATGGTTAATTTACCCTCACAGACCCAACATTTGTTGAGGGATGTCCGAACAACATAATTCAAATTCCGGATGACTCTGGACCATCTACCATTGTTAACTTTGAAATACCGGAGGCCGCCATCGACTCTGGTGGCAAACAGGCAGCCAATGTGACCTGTGACCCCACTAGTGGTTCTGCCTTCCGAAATGACAATGAGACGGTTGTCACCTGCACAGCGATAGATTCAGTGACATTAGGTGAAGCTACCTGTTCCTTCACCATCAGGTTCTTGGCAGGTAAGCCTTTAAATACGGGTGGAGTTGAGACACATAGTCCTGCTTTTGGTGGAATTTTCATGACTTTGTTTTATCAGCAGGTCTTAATTATTACTATGCATTATACCCCAAAGCATAGTAAAATAGCAAGCAAAGGTTAGAGCCACTCAAAATGTAACATTATGTTCAAAGTATAGTTTGTTCATAATGTTCACATTTTCCCGTTTAAATAATTATGGTTTGAAGTTAAATCTGTGACGTTGTCAATTTTTGGTTTATCTTGCCAAGTAAAGGACAAGGGTGTTGCCAACCTGAAATATTTTTAGAATTTTTGTGTTATTGTAGCAAGCAACATTTTTACTTCTGAGCTGTACTAAGTTTTGTGTGTTGTTGACTATTAAGGAATGGTATATTTTGCAGCACCCACATTCAATGCCACTCCACCCTGCGACGAGAATGTCAATGTGCCCCCAGCTGCTGGAGAAAACATGGCTGTGGCAGTGACATGGCCGAAGCGTGCAGCCACCCAGGAGGATGGCAACCCGGCAATGGTGACCTGTGAGCCGTCTCGTGGCTCCAACTTCCCAGGAGGCAATAATACAGTCACTTGCATGGCAGTAGATGAGCGCGCACCGGACACCCTGCAAACCACCTGTGACTTCCAAGTTCGCGTCTGTAAGATCATATCTCACTTGGTGTCCAAACGTCAGCTATGCTGAATCACGTTAGTTAAAATAGGCATCATTTTAAAGAGGAACAAAGCAGAACAAGTTTTGCCCAAAATTCACATTTGAACCTAAGCACAGCAAGCTTGTTGAACCTGGATGATAAAAGGCAGTAAACAGTACATGTTATGCTAAGGTCTCTTACCAATCTTCAACTGCCTTTAAGAGCAGTTGTGCATAACTGCATGAGATATTTTATCAGAACTCTCTTTAATTACTAGACAACACATGCCCTCTTCAGAATTTCGTCTAAATATGTCTTTAGAATCAGTCCAATCCTGGAGTGTCATGCACAGATTATACACCAGTTGTTTGCGAAACAGATCCCACCTTCGTCACCGGATGCCCAGCCGATATCGTTGAAGCCCCAGAGTCAGGAGGGACAACGCTGGTGGAATTCCAGATCCCAGAGGGTGCCCCAGACTCCACCGGTGCAGCTGCAAATGTTACCTGTGAGCCACCCTCTGGATCCTCCTTTGCAAACAATGTCGCGACCGAAGTCACTTGCACTGCCATCGACTCGGACAATGCAACTTTTCCTAGCCCGGCCACCTGCACTTTCAAAGTCATCGTTGGCATAGGTGAGACCTCTCAGAGTGAATGTAGTTCATCGGGTTCACAGAATATCTCTTATTTTGGAACATACATTTTGAGTGGCGTAATTATACAGGCTTTAATTTGCAGTGGGCATTTGGAGTTACTAAGACCTGGAGTTGATTGCTCAATTTCAACAGGGTTGGTAATTGTTACTAGCAACGCAAAGCTTTTTTATGCACTAAAATGTGATTGGAGCATAAGGGGTATCAGAAGGTTTTCAGGGTGGAGGTCCATTTTAAGATAGTAATATGGTGAGGAATTGTCTTAATACAAGTAAGCATGTTATATGTACTGTGAAAATGAAGTAAGGTTGAAGCTTTGCATGGTTAAGTAAAATTATAAGTTTTGAGGTAGCACGCGTAAAGATAATATAAGCCCCAAACAGTCAAATAAACCATCATTTTATCATTGGAGAAAGTTATCCACACAACAAGCCACAGACTGATTGTTTTGAGGGAAACTTGGCTCCATCACTTGTTCTATGATAAACATTCTATGTACAGCCCCAACTTTTGCCAAAGGCTGTCCGGCAGACATCGTTGTTGCGCCAGATGAGAATGGACAAGCCACAGTGACCTGGGATGAGATCACAGGCAATGAGGATTCCACCGGCCAGCCGGCTGAGGTTAATTGTGACCACAAGAGTGGAAACACTTTCAACCAAACTGAAACTTTGGTGACTTGTATAGCCACTGATGCTGGAACCACACTGACCGCAAATTGTACATTTAGGGTTATACTTGGTAAGAGTTAAATTTACTAAATACAGTAAAAGAAAATGAAATCTCAGAGGAGTGACATGGCAAACGACAATCAGTCAAATGTGTGGCAAATAAAAAGGATATCTAATCTCCAATCAATGTCTTGTCTCTTAGTGACTAAAATTGTGAGTATGAAATTTGCAGGTTATAACCAATCCAAACGAATTGGACTTCACACAAAAATACAAACCCTCTATTGTTAGAAATGAAGCATGATGGAAACCGATTTATAACTAACTGTAAATCACCTTTGTTGATGATGAGGATTATAGTGATTTTAACGATGAGAACAGTAGAATAATGATAGTTTGAGTGAAAACGATGTACAAAACTCTTTTCTTTAGTGGATTTGGGTTGCAATGAGGGCTGAGGCTCTCCAAACATTGAGCAAAAATTTTTGTTGATACGTAATGTGAGAAAGGCTTTTTCTTGGGCCTGTTTCATTTCTCTCCCTTCCAAGAGCATACACATTTACAGTTAGAAGGCCCAACAGATCTTACCCCTCAGTAAGGCTTTAAAGTTACAAAAGGACATTTCCTAATTTTTGGCCCCCCTTCCAAAAAATAAATCTTAGTTCCATGAAACATTAATTAATGTTAGATCCACCCTTGAACTCTTTCAGTGCCCAACATTTTTGAGTTCCTCATGCTTGTATGTTTGAGATGGAACAAAGACTTGTTTCTTTGTGTTGCTTCCGAGATTCTGAGCCACCCATTCTGGATTGCCCAAACAATTTCAACATTACTGCCAACCCTGGCACGAATACGGCGAACGTCACATGGGATACCCCTGTAGTCACCGACAACTACACACCACAACCGGACATACGAGTTGCATGCATACCGGAAACTGCCACATTCTTTCCCTATGGTGTGACACGAGTGGTCTGCTATGCTGCCGACTCTCTTAACAATGTTGGAACATGCTCTTTTGAAGTGGAAATAACAGGTAGTACACATTAATTAAAATATTCATAATCATTGCATGTGTGAGAACTAACATAATTTCAGAAGCTTCAAAGGTGCACTCTGTGTTATACGCAGACATGACAAAGTCAGGTCAGGTCTTCAGCTGAAACTCTTCATCTGCATACATTCACTTAATCGTCTATGAGTACTTTTTTTAATCCCACTGTTTTTCATTTATTAAAGTTGACCAGGTTGATCCATTGTTATTTGTCCTTCCTGTTTACCCGTGTTCCTGATGATTGACTGTGTCCAGGTGCAAACTGTGTTGAGACATGCCCAGGCAATTCAGTCTGCATGCTACAAGAGGATGGCGAGTCTGTGTGCGTTTGCAACCAAGGATACACTGGGCCAGAATGCACAAGTAGGTTTCCACCACTGGAAAAAAGACTTCATTCATCTTTCCAAGATAAAACTTACTAACAATTTAGTTGTTTTTATTTTTTTTGCTGGGCCACAACTGTTTTCGACAGATACCCTGCCCAGCTGATTGTCCACTCAACTGTAAACCATTTGCACCATCATGAGTGCATGATATTGTTAATTTTGGGTCAAATCTGTGGATATATAAACCACAGGTGATAAAAATTATCCTTTGTTTCAGTCTTCAGGTAACGTTCACCACCTGTGGTGAAAAAGAGAGCAATATTAAAACTGCTTCTGAGGCATATATATTTAGATTTATCTTTCAAAGGACAAACGGAATGCATAAAGTGGCAAAGTGGGTGAAATGTCTTTCACAATAGTGGTATATAGCATAGCCGGGGGAGTGCAGAGTGGCACATTGTAGTAGGATGGGAGATTTTCAAAACAAAGTTGGAATGCTGAACTGGGGTTGTAAAAATGATGAAGAGTATGTTTTGCAACAGGGGAACTTAAATATAGCCTTGGCTACCCACCTGCAAACGTGTGAAAACTCAACTTTTTAGCTGATTTCAGCTCTTTTGGTTTAGATGCTGACCTTGAATTTCAGTTGTTTGTGTACCTGCTGTGTACAAACATATGGGGACTTTTTACATTTCAGCTTTTTGCAAGCTCCTTTCAGCTTTAATTTCAGGTGGCCACTCAAGACCCGTGCACCTGTGAGATAGCACAGTGCTCTTCATTGCTTGTGCAAGGAGTAGATATCAAAATGCAGTTTTGTGAATTTATTAGAAATGTCACAACTGAGATTTGTTTACGAACAGATGTGGATGAATGTGCCTCCAGCCCGTGTCATTCAAATGCCATCTGCAGCGACCTCGCCCCGCCTGATTTCTACAGTTGCGAATGCCAAGAGGGCTTCTATGGGGATGGGACCTACAGTTGCGAACGTGCGTTTCACTTGTCTGACTAAATTTGATTGTGAATTTTTGAGTCCTCTCTCATGCAGGACTTGTACAGTCCTTGAAAATCCTAGAATTTTAAACTCTGTTTGTCAAGGCTGTGAAGGGAAAAGTGTCCTTAGAAATTCATCTTTAATTTTGTAACAAAAGTATTAATTCATGCACAGTGATAATGAGACAATAAGGGTTTCAAAATACTCCATTAGCTGGTGAAATCGACACCAGTTACTTGGATGGGTTGAAAATACCACCGTCAGTAGTGGATCTATGTCCCACAAAACTAGCAGTAATGAGCAGCTGATAAGTGCCAGCAATGTGCTGTGCGTCTTACATACATTTATGCCAATCGGCATTGGCAAGCCATGTAAGATGAAAATTTTGTTTGTAATTATTTGTCCTAGGTTACTTCCCTCCTGAGTATCCAGACATACTGCTACCAGGTTAGTAGAAATTTGAAAGACTTACATGTATATGTATGGAAGGGCTGAGGTCACACACCCTTAATGGAAACCAGTTTTAGAGGCATTTTAAGGTTAGGGTTATTTGTAGCAAAGGGAGGAGGAATAGTTAAGGAAACCATCAACAAAAATAAAGCTTCAAAGAGTGTTCATATTGCAAGAAAAGTCAATACTCTCAAGACAGGTTCTTATTGAAGTGTACCAAAACAAAGGAATGTCCTCATAAATAATGTTTGTTCCCATGTGCTACCCTTGCAGGAAATACTCGGCACTACTCTATCAGTGAACAAAAATATTGCATGTTCAGATCACATAATATGATGTCAGTCAACAGCCAACAGTCAACAGCTGCCCTTCTGCCATCTTGAAATAATTCATGCATGTGACATGTGCGATAGAAGGATATAAACCCGATGTGGTTGAGAGTACGCTGTCATACTCCTGCTGTCTGTGTGATCAGAAATCTTAGTGTACTCGTTTTCCTGTATTTTTCTGTATCAGGCGGAGCTTATGATCTGAAGAAATTGTTCTTGGTTGTCCTTGCAATTGCCGATCCATCCACCAGTGACTGCAACCCTGATGTCGATACAATGTCATTTGAGTGCTCCACACTTGTGAGAACCTTCAAGGAGCTTGTAAGTTCTATGATGTGTCAGGATCCTGCTGGATATAAATTCAAAGAAGCTGAACATGAAAAAAGTACACCATTCTGTATAGACCCCTTGCAGTTGGTACTCAGTGACAGTTCCTTTAACATGGCTAGGAATCATTAAAAAATGTGAAGTGCAAGCCCTCCATTAACGTGGAAGAAGATTTTTTCCTGGACATTTCAAGACTGAAAATTGAGGCAGAGTAAGGGCGTTATCTACACAAATAATTTTTGTGGGCACTTTTTACTCTGGTCCATTGATACTTCAGTACAGTGAAGAATTTACCATAAAATATACATGCATTCTGAAAAGAAAGGTGCAAAATGGTCATGCGAATTTATTGTGGAGGAAAACTGGCCCATATTTTGTTATGTTTTGATTGTCTGTGATAAGGTGTTACCTCTGTATAAGAAGGTATCAAAGGGTGGCTTTTTGGATATCAAGATAAACCAAACAGATTTAAGGTGAGAACCCCTTTATGTAATTTTTTCACTGGCTACAGTTTTTTAATAAGCTTTTTAGGAAAAGCAGTCTTTCCTAGAAGAAGAAAGAATTCTATGATGATGCGATCTGTCAGAGCTTTACTTACATGCAAGAATTGTATTCATTCACCAAGAGTACAGACCAAATGTGTGACCGACATTCCATCTTTCAAGAGAGGGCAAGTCTGTAACAACTGTAGAGCATGAAAAAATTATCACCCTTGATGTACTTTTTGAAAATTGTACATTCATCCTGTAAAATGTTTATGGCAGATGCAGCATTTATTAAAGGGAGGGGCTGGGGTATTCATGAAAATGGGGTACCCCGAATGGAGATAAACCCAAACACGTACTGACATTTATTAAAGATAATAATTCCTGTCTATAAACTGATTGAATCACAGCACTCAATTTCACAGGTTGTTGAGCAAATGATTTTCTGCTAACAAAACGGCTATCCACTTCATTAACACCATAAGCAGTAAGCACATGAGAAAGCTCGGTAACTTCAGTGGCAGAATTTGCTTAAAATAATGACGTAACAACAGAAATTTCCATTTACACAGATCTAGAGTGACTGCAAAATAGTGCTTAGGCTAGTAAAGTTTTTCTGCAAGTTAGCACAACCTGTCAACATCAGTTGGGGATTTCCTTTTGATCACAGGAAAGGCAGTGTTCTCATTCCACACACTGTGTCCTACAACTACTCGGATGCAGCCATCCGAGAAATGCAGCCAGCCGTGTTTTACGCGAGGTCGGTGCAGCCAGATGTGGAAGCCGGCAGAGTAGGCAGCTTGCAACTGGATAAAAGCTGCAAGGAATGCACGAGTCCAAAAGGCAAGCATCTTCGTCCATGCGCATGACATGCTTGAGCAAGATACGGTGTATGTTTTTTTACATAAAGAAACGATGCCCTTTTGGGGGCAGACTGCTGAGCAAGTTTGACAGTTATCTTTTGTAGCGTACAATTTTCTCATGTGCACTGTATGTGAATCTCATCAGAGTGGATAGTGGAAATTATAGAAACAACACTGGAATCTGATGAAATGGTTGAAGCAAGTGGTCAAAGAGACATACCTTGTACACTACCCTTTTGGCTGTTGTAATAAGCCATTTGGAAAATTTGAATAAAATCTGGTGCACTGAGTTATCTGATTGCACATAAACATAACAATTTGAATTCCCTAGACTGAAGACACTGTTGCTATACCTCGTGATTTGGGGCAGGCCTTTGCATAGCGACCACCATCTCTCGAATGGTCTGTGTCCTTTGTGCCCTGCTTATCAGTTGAGAACAGTGTATTATTGCAATGTGTCTCTTATGTATCCAAGCAAAAGCTTGCCCCAAATCGTGAGGTATGGCAACAGCGGTTTTATTATGGAATATTCAAATTGTTATGTTCACGTAAATTTAAAGAACTCAGTGTACCAGATTTTAGTCATCTTTAACTCGCCAAAGGCTTATTATGAGAGAGTTGTAAAGACCAATCCTGTGACAAATCCACAGGATACTACATTGTACTATGAACTGTCAGCATAATGCCAGTTTCATTTATACAAGTAAGGGCATGCCAGATGAATGTGACACAGAGCTTACAATTTCTAGCCTTTTATTTGCCCATATGATATCTCTGAAATGTGTTGGAATTGTCACCTTTGCACAAATATTTAAAAAATATTCATCATTCTCCTGTTTGTCCAGATATTACCAGTGTCTGTGTTGGTGTGGACGAGGAGACTATAGTGTGTCCAGACAAAAGTGTCCTGACGAAGGAATCTGATGCCAGTAGTGGGCTGTGCATTTATAAATGCGTGTCCATCTGTGAGGAAGATTCCAGTTACTGCAATGGAGGTGTGTGCTCACAGAAGAATAACGAGGATGCAGAATGCAGGTTAGTCCTCAGATTTTCCATATGTAGACCAGACTTGAGACAGCCGGCTTAATATGTTTCTGATGAAGGCTGCCTAAGACAAACGTGTGAAATGCTCTTTAATAACATGCAGTAGAATTTGTCTGTGTTGTTTCCCTACATAATGACTCTGTTTAATAACTGTTATGAAACAGAGAGACAGAGTTGTGGTTGTAAAGGCCAATGGTTTAAACAAGCATCCTTTCCCTTACCAAACTGGACTGCATTCATTTAGCATGCACATGGCATTCAAAAACCTTATGAGGACTACCTTCCAATAGCATTCTCAAGAGATGCATTTCTAGTAGCATTCACATGCAAACAGCATGATGAAATGAATCAATGGGGGGGTTGCAACCCCCCACCCCCTCCCTCTAGCTCCGCCTCTGGCATTCCTTCTGACTTAAAGGTAATCAAAGAGCAACTATAGCATTCAATGACTGCATGCATTTGTCAACTCTAGAAATGCTATACTTTGACAAAATTCACTGCCTTGACCCTCTAAATTTCTAGACATAAGTTTATCTGTATAGCATTCATGCTCCACGCTAGGAATGCTATTCAGATGATTTCCACTTGAGGAATGCTATATTTTTCAGACCATACTCTGGTTTGAATGCTATGAAGGCTGATGAATGCTACGGCAATTTTTGAATGCTATCATGGCTATGGTTGTTCAGGAATGCTATCAGGAATCCTATCTGGACTGCTATCATCAATTCGAACAATTCGTTCAATCCTTTACATGCTACGGTGAATGCTACAGTTGTAATTACATGCTGTCAGAATGCTATTGTAATTGCTGTTAAACTGCTACAATAGCAGTCAAGTTTGGTAAAGGGTCCCCCATTTTGTTTCTGTTAAGATTACCATTAGGTGATTGCCAAAGAGCACCACAGGGTATACATGTACATGTAGTTGAAAATGGCCGTGCAGAGTTGCGAAAGGTTTGAACCACTAGTATACTGTCATTTGAACCAACTTGGGTCTTTTTTCTCTACAGTGAGTGTCCAGAGGGTACAACAGGGCCCAGATGTACCCCTGTAGGGCCAACTGAAGTACCTCCAGATGAGCCTAACATACCACTCATTGTTGGGCTATCTGTAGGTATTGGCGGGATACTCTTGCTGATAGTAATTCTGAATATGCTGTACTGTGCCCTCCGCGGTCGGTGCTCCAAGAAGAATCTTCAGGCTGGTGAGGAGAACGGGATTGAGGCCAAGTAAGTAATCCTTTACTGTGTAGATGTGATACTAAAGGCCGGTTCGTGAGTGCAGGCGAATTTAAAAGGGATCCAAGCAAATTTGATGTCAGATAACATTCAGAAAGAGATTCGTTGGAGTTGAAGTGGTTTCAAATCTTTGCAAATTTGCAGCATGAAGACGCAATCATATTCATTTTCAAGTGCAAAGCAGCTATTTAGGGGTTAATGTAGACTCAGGGAAATGGCATGCAGGAATCAAGAAATTGTCTCAAAAAGAAAGAGTTTTGAAGACGTATAGCTCATATGACGTGTAAAAGTGTGTACCTCCTCTGTAATATCGTCTTTCAGATCAATAACATGACCTTAATCTTACAAAATAGCATGTATGACTACCTCTTTGAACTGTGCGAGGAATAATTTGTTGACCCCCAAGAAATTCATTATGACCTGGCAACTGCAACAAAGATATTTCTGATGACTGCTGTACTTGTAGCCAATAGCCTCGTGTCAATTTCTTTGTCTTTCACTTTTCAGGGGCGTCGATAATTTCCAGAGCATTTCAATGGACGAGCGCTAGGGATCAAGCCATATTTTCATATTTAAAGGCTGTAATTTTGGAATGATTGTTTTTAAAATGTTATTCATTTTTGCACTTTTTAAGAAAGACCAAAAGCCAGCAACACATCTGCTTGGGTAAGTTAGGTGGTCAGTTACAAATTCAGTCATGTTGCGTTTTAGCCAGGAAAGAATGACATGCCATGCTCATCATGATAGATTCTTGACTTGAGTCGTAAAAGACAGCTGGTCATATTAATTACATACATATTCATATATACCTGGGACAATTTTTCTACTTGTATTGGTCAAAACATGTCACATGACTGAGTATTAACATTTAACACGCGTGCCAAGTTCACTGAAGGGCATTCCATTGGACAACTTTCAAAAGGACTATACCAAAAAATGGACAGGAGGGGGTGTTCGGGAAAATGAAAGGAACAAAGTTGTTCGAAATCCATCATATGATGACTTCTATTGACTCTCTGAATAGAAAGGTGTATAAAAGGTGGATAAATACATGTATGTGCTTGACTGGTCTTAAACTGATGTTTAAGACCGTGCTCAGGAGAACGAACGCTGATAATTGCAGCTTGGGCATTAGTCTCGTCCATTCTCCTGAGCCGGTCTGGAATGTACATTTAAGACCAAAGCACATACATATATTTATTCCCTTCTTTACACTGTGTACATCGGAAATACGTGGATGGCAATAATTAAGCCAAAACCCAGCTCATTTGCATTAAGAAGTCAAAGAATTTTGGATCTCAAAAGCTTGCTATGGTTGCATGGTGGGGCCAGCCCACAATGAATGGGTGTACTTATGATTGAGAGCAGTCCAGCAGTCAGAATATTCAGGACTGTATGGGCAAAAACTATTCATGTGGCAAATCTACCTTGAAGTTTTAAAAAAAAATCAGATTGAAATTCCAAAAGTGCTCCAAAAAATAAGCAGAAATGGTCAGTTTGGTATCGAAGACCTTTCACCTTGTTTGTCTTTGTTACAAATTTAATGTGCAAGCTTGTTCCATTCGTCCATCACATGACTCCTTCATAGCTACAGAAATGAATAAAAAATAGATCGTGTACACTTTTTGCTTTCATTTTATTCAAACATCTGTTGCCATTACCGTATGATGGCCATTTACATACTAGATTGCAATGTTTTTAGACCGTATTGACTACCTGACCTGCAATTTTATCACAGTTGTGATAGTAGTGTAAAAACTGCAGTGTAAAATTGACACCTTCACCATCCACATAGAGAATAACATTAGACTAGTATTTTTCATATTTGGGCACTCAGGGTGTCAAATTAACACCATAGATTTTTCGCAGAGTTGGGTTGTCAGGAGATCCAACAATTGTTAAATTTAATATCACACTATGCATTATCAAAGACACCGATAACTTTGTATTTACAGGTAGGTCTTACCCATAATGCACTGCTTGAGGAATACATTGACTTTGTTTATAACACAAACAGCATTAGCATGCATTTTGCCACCGTTGGAAAACTTAATTTTTGTGCAGCCACAACTTGGGGTAGACCATTGGCCGTGTAAATTTGCAAGTTTTATTACACAGTACAAATTTAGTGTACAGATCGGTGCACTGAAATGTGTTTTTGAGAATAAAAGCTGCAGTCCCATTTCAGCATTCATTGTGAATGTGAAATATTCAGGATCTGTGTCACTGGCGACCCTGGAAACTTGCTCCAGTTTTTGTGCATATATGCCAGCTGTTCCATTCACAAGCTACTATCTTGCCACAGCAAGCCACTATTACACCGTGGCAAGATAACAATTTGAAGGGAAAAACAAATGTTATTGTTGCTCTACTATGCTTGTGAATTTCAGAATTTTCTCTGCCAAGCAAATACATATATTGAACTAGTTACGAGGGGACAAAGTTGAAGTACATTGGCATTTAACAGTTTAAATGCCCAATAATGCCGATAAGTTAATACTGCTGTTAAATTCTTAATGAAAATTCCCTCCCCCCTTCAACATGATGGCGTAAACTTTCTGCAAAATATGGCTGCCCTTACAAATAGCAAGTAAAAAGAAAAACATCTTTAGCAGACAGATGTCATGCAGAATTCTGGTTGTGCTCACAAGTGACTGTCACGCCTTCCCAGACTGTTGAACCTTCCCAAATAAAATAACGCCATGATTTGAATGGAATGTTGTGCAGTGTCGTCCTAAATCATTGATAGCGTATCATTTTCATTAACTTTTTAGTGGTGTAGACATGAAGGAAAAATGGCACTATAAAAATTTCAACAATCACTCATCCGCACTGCATACATATGGTACAATCTGACAATGTGAGGGAAAACAATTTATCCAAAATATATTACAGATTTATGAGAAGAAGTGTCTCCTTTTCTCTTCCAACAGAAAAGTTTTTCCCAAATGCATAATCTGAACTAACATGATTGGCTCAAAAAGTGATTAATAAGAATCCACAGGCCTGGATTTGGTGCCCACATATTCACAAGAATGGTTGATTGTGACTTCAAGCAACTGTGAAATTAAATTTGGTGGAATTGAATCTTGAAGACTAGCTTTATGTACAGAGCATTTCAAATAATTTTATAGTTACAAACTACAATTTCTACATCCGATTATAGGAGGGCATTCATAAATAAGGCCATGTGTAAACATGTATTTAAAGGTGTTCGAAATATACAAAAGAAACATGTAAAATTGCAATAGAATGAAAGTTGTATCACACACAGTATTAAATGTTATACAATGTGCTGAATAAATCTGCGTCATTTGAATTAGTTGACCTAATGGATGGTGCAGACGCACTGCAAAGACAGAAGTTCTATTCCATTAGCAAATTAATGTTCCAATTTGGATGTCGAACTGAATTTCTGACAGGTATTTTATTAGGTGGGACAGATTACACGGATATATTCAGGCATTGTATAAAACCAACAATGAACATGTAAGTCCAATGGAAACAGCAATTCCATGAGTTGGCAGATGGAATGTTCCATTCCACAGGGCAACTCCAATTGGAATAAACAGTATATGTACATGTATACCATAATATTTCAGCACCTGCACATGCATCGCTACATCTAACTACAGTCGAACTTGTTAATAAGAGCACTGTTAATGCAAGATTCTGCTTATAACAAGGACAAATTTAGGTCCTAATCTTTTGTTTTTCGTTGTTTTCATTGCTGATAAGACAAGGGTTCTTGTTATAACAAAGAAATTTGCCATGTCCAAAGGACCTCTTATTAACGAGATTCGACTGTATATACACATACATTGCGCACCCCTGCATTAAACACTGTAGCTTTGTGTAAACCGACTGCAATCAAATACTGTAAACTACCGGATAAGCTGTAAAAATTAAGAACACTTATTAAATGCTGCATGCAAATCACATTTGACATTTAGAGTTACCACTACATATGTGGTGTGGATGAAGGCACATAAGAAATGCACTCTAGTGCTAATCTGAAGACCCAACTTAACATGGGGGGGGGGTGTTGGGTCTTGGAGAACCCCTCAAACAGCTGGGTGGGATTGTTAGGGGCATACTGAAGGACGTAATCGAGCACTCTGGAGGCATGGATGACTCCCAATACCAGTCTCTACATATGTACCAAGCTCACTGGTTCAATAGCCTTAGTTCTACCAAATAAGTCATCCATCACATGCCTGATGTTCACTCCTGAGCCTTCAATGGACTAATCTGATTAGACGTAATTAACTGCAGTGCCACCGCACTCACACGCACGTTCTTCAGCTAGACGCGTTTGGCAAATCACGACACCCTATCGGACGAAGGGGCATGTAATGTGCGCGTACCACCTGTCCAAGAGCGTTGTGTCACCGCAGTAATGGCTTCCAATTCTGGTGGTCAAATTACACTATAAGCAAGACAAACCCAGAGGCTGCTTACATAAGTTTGGTGCAGAAGCATCACCAAGCTGTGCCTGTGGAGAGAAACTGACTTCAGAGCGTATCATGGACTGCCCTATGTATGAGTCTCCCCACAGTGGCCCTGGCCTTATGGAGCTTGATGACGATACCATCAGCCGTTTACACTGTGACCTACCAGTTTAAGATGTACTGCTGATGGGGAATCATACACACACGAATGAGTGCTGCTTTGATGAGAACACCGACTCTTATAAGATTTCACACGGTCAAGGGAATTAGGGTTAAAAACAAACCTGCATTAAAAGCAGCAATTTTCACAAAATACAGTGGATAAAAGGAAATCAAAAATGTTAAAAACAAATGATAAATTGAATTTAAATATTCCTCTGTGAGAGAACCTTCTATATACATCTAGTCTCAGAAATCAAAACGCAACTCGAAAAATAGATTTCCGCGTGCAAGATGGTGAACTGCGTGTATGCACTTCCTGAATGATCACATCTGTTGTTGATCAACTGTTGTTTACCTCAACAAACGTTGTGTAAACATGAAAGACTGGTATTACTGAGTTAGATGCTGTCCTGGGAAGTTCACATATTGCTAACGATTCTTCCCTTATTCTCTTTAAAAACATTTTCAGTTAATAAAATTTCAAGGGACAAGTAACAGAATTACATGTACCAAAAACCACTGCGAAGTGGGGACTTCCAGGGCCACGTGCAGGTTTGGAGGAGGGACGTGACAAACATCTATCACTTTTTTCCTGTAGTTGTCCTGCATCGAGCACTGGCAGTTCAAGAGGGGCGTATGACCCCCCTTTTTGCACCAATGGCACTTTAACCCCACCCCCTCAGTAAACTGGCCAAAACTTTAGCATGACACCCCAGGAACCATTGAATTACCTCAGGCTGAAGAACTGTTTGATCCCCCTCCCCAAAAAACATTTACTGTGGATCTTTCCTCGATATACATGTAGATTCGCCGACATATAGATCCCCCATGGAGGGGATAGTACGTCACATTTTTAAGTGGTTCTCTGCCATGTTAAGGGACTATTACTGAGTACCAACTGGAAGGGGTCTATATGGTCCCTGTGTTTGGCTATACTCATTCCATCACATATCCCAGTGCTTGACTTTATTGGATTCAATGGTTAGGGACTACGGTAATCAATGGATGTAAAGAGTTGAAAATGTCTGCAGCCCTGATTTTTTTCAACCCTGATTTTATCCTTATTGGTATTTCCACACGAGATCTCAATGTAATACTTTCCTTCTTATTTCATGTGAATACACCAACAATGAGAGGCTACACCACAGTATAAAAAGGGTGAAATCTTGCTGGTCTTCCAATCATGGCCACTCCGGAAAACCGCGCTCTTCAGACTAAGATACCAAGGTGCATCCATGAGAAAAATCCTATCTACACTGTGAGTGACAAGGAGATGATGTGCCTTATTACGGCAACGGTGTCCCTTTGGTGAGAGCACATTGTGTGCCTGCAAGGGTTCAAGTGCACTCGACAAGAGCTGCGCAGGGGGGACGCGGAAATGGTTTCGGCTGGAATGTACAGTGGTTGCATGCGCCCAGGGTGCCTGGTTGAAACACTCCATGCCAGCTTCTCTCTCCTCTGCTGACGATGGGGTAGTTCGGCACAGGGCTGAGGATGGCGCAGACGCCAATGGCCTGATCCATGAATGTATCTCTCCATCCGCAAATAATCTAGTCAACGTTACAGTTCCAGTTTTGTCCACAGCAGCCAGTACAAATGCATATTGGGCAAAGTATCAGACATTATTTTGAAGGTGAGTCTGGTTGAACAAATGGAATCAAACATCAAACACTGTTGTTCCAATCCACCTCATTCCGGTGTTGTCTGACCGTCCTATGGACCATGGACTGGAGAGCATCCAGGTTGAACATTTTAAACATGATCCTCTCATAGGGACCATCTATGCCACCTTCGAAGAGAAGGGCAAAGTTCTGCAGTTTCAGTCCCGTGTCTGGGTCCTCTATCTCAAAGTATGTCAGGTCCGAGTAGGCGGAAGGACCCTGGTATATCGTCCAGGGGCTGGAGTATGTCTTGCCGCCGTCTCGGCTTAGCCGGACCGACATGCGTTCACGGTACATGGATGCCGGATTTGAGAAAGCTAACCAGGTGTTTGGTATACTTGCAGAGTTAGGTGCAGGGAAGCCAATGAGACTAGCCTGTATGGAACAGAAAAAAAGGAGTGGTAATGAAGTTAAAACCTATTTCTTAGAACTTATTCTTAGATATATCAAGTCCTGCCTTTTATTTGAATATCCGTGGTATACATGTGCCTCATGGCAAACGACATGCAGACAATTTATTATAGCATGCTCCTGGTACAAACAACAGGTGACGTTTATTAAAAGAAATGCTACCCAACCTCTTTTTGTTAGATGTACTTGTAGATGTATGTAATGTATTTTTGTATTACAGGGATACCAAGTCCTAATCATACACATAAACATAGTTGGAAACAAGACCGTACGCTCACTGTTACTAAAATGCGAATCAACAAAGTTTGTGTGAATGAGAGTCAACTGTAATCGAACTGGAACTAAAATTCTATCAATGTACTCCAAATATGTCAGCAGACCCAACAAAATGGGTTTCAAGGCAACTTCTTTCAGTCATTTTGCATGCATTTTCACACAAAAAGAGCAAACTGATGTCCTTGTTTTGACGTGCCACTCAACCTAGCACTCTGGTGAATACTGACATTATGTGAGAGAAACATATTGTGGGTTCCTATCGATTCACATAGAACAAGATTCCTAAAGTAGTGTCTAAAGTAGTTCAACTCCAAAGTAACTCTGTACACTTCCAACTCATGTTTCAGGTGGGGTCACATGGGCACTTTTGGTAACGAGCTCCTTTTGCAAATTATACCTGGCACCCTCCTATTCTGGAGGCCAGCGACTGGTTGTCAACCACTTTGTATCCTGGCTCGATGAGCTCGGGTACAAGATTTCCTGCAAAGAAGGAATAACCCTCATTGTTGCTTCGGGATTGCACACGAGGTTGGTCTGGATGCAAGGTTCTGCTATTCAGCATTAGAACCCCTTCTTTAAGCTCGACCACCTGAAATTTTGGAGAAAACATGGAGAAAGAGATGAGTGTATTTCCAAAATACGATACATGTATATTCATTTTAAAAAATAAAATATGAAATTTGAACAAATACAAACAGAACACTGGGTGCGCTTGAACTCAACTTGTTTCTGCACAGGCTTTACAAGTTGTGCTCTTTATACACCAATTCCCTGATGCCCTTACTGCGGTGTCTTGGTCACTCAGGTGCGCGCAAGGTAAGCTTGATGAGCACATGCTTTTGATTAGCAGTGCACTCCCATTGGCTGCTGAGGAAGCATTCAATGTGCATCTCTTTTGTTCAAACATGTGGGGACACCGCAGTAATGGCTCCTGATTCCAGTCACCAGATCGGTCTATATACATTGTAAACCCCTCGAAACTTACCTGGGCAGCCAAAAGGTGGGATTTCAAAAGGTATGAAAAATTATTGCTTTTTTGATAAAAAAAACCCTTTCAAAATATTTCCATGCATACAATATTCCTTCCACTATCCTGTTTGTAACAAAATCCTATGCAGGATGAGCTATGCTTTTTGCAAAAAAAAAAAACCAAACAAAAACAAAAACTGTTTATATGCCGACTGTAATCGAAAGCTGTAATGCTTTATAACAATGACAAACTGCCAAAATGCAAAACCAATCACACACTACTAGCTGAAGTCAAGTCCCAACAAGTCTCTGAAAGCCCACCACAAGAAATACAGTACATGAACACTGACAAAAAACCCTCCTGTACCATCCGTTCACCCTGCTGCTCATGTACATGTAGACTTGTTATGGACTCCATTGCAACCTTGCCAACGACTGACACAAGTACTGGCCGTGAATGCTAAAAACACATCAAAGGTCATGCATATTTTTCATTTAATTACAAGCAAACAAACAAAAAATAAATAACTTAGCTTCAAAGACCAAAAAGAAGAGGAAGGCTTTCATGATGAAACCACAACTGAAGGGATTTTAATACACACAGTGATAGGTGCTGAAGGGACAGATGAGGAAATGTGCATTGCATGAGAGGTTTTTCACATTCCAGAAGAGGTCAGAAGAGGATGGAGCTTGCCATGAAAAAACAGAAAGCATGAACACAGGACAGACACATGGTGGTTCATTTCTTTTCTCAATCTAATTTCACTTGACGCAAACGCATTCCACAGAATTCCGCTCATCAGGAGAAGTGGCAGATTTTGTCTGTGTTAAATTGCAAACCAGTTGGGATGGCAGGAGAATACCATAATTTGGAAGCTTTCTAACCGACAAACGCCAGCTCCAATTTCAAGTAGTGCTCTAACTGCAAAAAGTGCTGCACAAGTGGTTAATTTCTGTTTGTATGTTTGGTCCTTTAATTGCTGGTGCGTGTCCAGGTTTAAACGGCCACTCAATCTTTCCCTTCTTTAATGATGGGGGGGGGGGTTACTACTAATAAGTCTTGATTTTTTATCTATTCAGAATGCATGTGGGAGACATACATCATGGGAGACATACGCCTTTTGGCGACAGTTTATTTTTAAACTTTATGTTCTCCTGGGCGGCCCACTGTGTCTTGTGATTGTCTTGTTGCATGTTCAATTGCCCCAAATAAATATTATTATTACACACCTGTAAGGAACCACATAGCAAAGACTCTGGGAACAATTGGGAAGTTGCCAGAATACAGCTGGATAGCTACACACACACTGAAGCTAAATACATGTAGCTAATGCGGACATTCCTGTTTTCTTGCATAGTTAAGAAAAGGTCTACTGAAGTACACATTGCTTTGAACTGCACACATTGTTTTAAGTTGGGTGTTTGTTGATAGTTTTTTTGACTACCCCATAATCCTTACTCCAAAATGCCTCTAAACCTGTTTTTTTTTTCAGAGGTGAAAACCTTTGCGGACCTGGCTTAGTCCACACAAGGTTCAAACAACCTCCACTGTGTGGACCTGTACTGTTCTGCAGTCCACACAAGGATGGCAAAGTTGGCACTCTAGTTCTGGAGCAGTCAATTTCATTTGTTTGATATTTAAAACACTTCAAAACTGAACGTGAGTTCCTTCTTGCAGTGTCTTTAGGAAATCGTTTCTGATTGTAATAATGTATGCAACATGCAGGAACTTGACGGAACACCTTCAGCGCCCAGAGAGAATAAAATTATACATAGTTAGTTTTGAGCAAGCTGAGTTACAGCATCCTACCATGGCCTCATTACTGTGAACGGTCCAACCAGACAAGTCCGTTCCGTAGGGTATACTGCCCCCTAGGCTCCACGAGATGCCACCGTCCATGCTGATTAATACGTTGGCGTAATTGGCGCTGTCATGGATATTTTCTTCAAATTCTGTCCAGCAACGCATAGAGGGGGATTTGGGGAGGGGTTTGGAAGGAGAGGTTGGAGGAGGGAAATGTGAAAAGCCAACAAGACCCAGGACGGTGTGGGGTAGAGAATAGACATTACAGAGGAAGGAACAGATATAGAAAGGTACAGATATGTGTATGTGGGGGTGGGGAGGGGAGAAGATAGAAACAAACAGGAATACCAAGAGATGTTTTACATTACAATTATTTAGTTGTTAAATAGATGTTCATGGCATTGCAGCAATCTTGGAGTCAAGGTTCCATTTAACGAGTCTCTGGACTGTCTCTGTTTACAATGACTGCTCTGTCAATGATTGGCTTTTAACGCCCAACAAATCGGATATCAACTCTGGCCACTTTGCCATTCAGGGATACTGTATATGTGCAAGGAGGCAGAAACTTCAGTTTCCAAAACTGATGTGAAACTGATGTAAAATGGGAGAGGGGGTTTAAATTATAGTGATCTCACTGGCTGAAAGGCCAACCTTGCAATATGTAATTCTCAACATATTGAGGACTTTCACGTGTGCATTCCACGTTAGACAGCATGTGAAGGTCAAAATCAACACCAAAATGGCTGCAATGCCGCAAAGATCTATCCGGCTGTCCGTTTCTTTTTAGGTGTTGTGCCACATTCCTCCCCCTATCATTGGCTCAGAGGTGTGGATGGGGCGACTGGTCTTGTCAAGCTCAAAGGGCAAGCTCCCGCCCAGGTGCCACGACTGGCCGTGGTCCGAACTGATTATGACATTGGCATAGTTTGTGTTGTTGTCAAAGGTATGGTTACTTTCTGCATGCATCAAAACAAGAGCAAAATGCTACACGCAGTAACAGGAGTAATGATAGTCTGTGCATAAGTGTGCAATTCCTTGAATAAATTATCTGGTTGGTAAGTTGCACTTCCATGAAATGCCACTGCTTCAACTCCAAACACTTGTTGCTCTGGCACTGGCTACTGTGCACATGTAATTTTTGTGTTAATCTGCATGTACATGTATTAACCCCTTTGCGCCAGGCACGGCTAGACACGCCGTAAAAAGTGAGATCCTCAGCCCGCTTTTCAGCTATTATTCTCGGCCCACGCTCGAACGAACACGGTGAAAGAAGGCAGACCCTGGCTCTTGTATATATGGGAATTGGCCTTTGTGTGTAGGCTAGAAATGAAAAGACCGAATTTGCATCATAATCACCAGCTTCACAACAGTGAAGCTGGTGTCACAAATGCCACCAAACAATCGGCCTTTTCACCGTGTAATTCAAAGCGTGCAGAGCACACAGGGCCAAAAACCGAGAATTTGCAGTTTGGCAGGTGGCCGTCATGGCCAAACGAGGCTGGAATTCTTGGAGTCGGCTTTCGGTAAGAAATTCCCAGTGCGAAGGGGTTAACTGAGCATTTCATATTAATCTGATAAACGATTAATTTTTGTTTGATTTGGACCAGCCAAGCTGACAGCATGCAAATATACTTACTGAGCGCTGAGCCATAGGTGTCTTTTACAAAATAGTTGCCTGGAACGATGAGTTTCCCTGAGGATGTTTGTATACCGTGGCCAGGACCTGTTGGGAGTAAAGCAGAGTCATTAACCACTTCATGCCGGGACATTTTTCAATGATGATGATGTTGGACTATCATTTTTTCCGTTTTCAAAATCCTTCAAAAATTCATCATTTCATTTAACGGTCGTTTATAGCGGCACCAAGTAATCTTTAGGCACTATTCTAAGTTGACNAGATTGTGCGGTGTTGTATAACTGTCTTTTGTTCGTGAACCTGGCTTAGTGCACTGCTGACCTCTTTTCAATAGGGGCCAGACTGGCGTGCAGCGGTGCTGTGTGGCTCATCGCTGCGGTGGTGGAGCGCTTTTGTCCCCGGTGGTAATCCGCTTGCTCTAAATGCCCCAAACCCTGGTATACAGTTTCAAAACAAGGCTGGATTATCACCACTTTTGAGAGTGAAAAATGTCGGTAATGCCCAGCAGCCTGGTCTTTTGTTCGGAGTACGGTCTTTTGTTACAGGGCCCTGTTTCCTTTGTCCGAGTTCGGAGACACCGGCCACCCATACAAACCATACGTCTCCGATCCCGGAGTCCCCGGTAGGAAGTGGTTAATAGGGAAAACTCATTTTATCACTCTGGAGATCTGAGGAAAGTCACAGTGACAGCTGCAGCGCTCCCCATGTGCTGAAAGTCTGGCTTCAGCTCATTGTCATGGATTTTTTTTAAAAAGATTATTTCATTCAAACTTGACTCTAGTCTTGCCACTCATTTTGTTAAAGACGGGTCACAGACGAAGATTTTCTGTTCAGCAACCAAGTTAGACTTGACTCAAGATGGGATCTTCCATGACATTGTCTGCGTTTATGCCTTGGATATGGAGCTGCGCGTCGTTACATGTACTTGCTTAGTGCCCTCGTGTCCACTTGTTACTGTGAGTTCTGAAATCCTGACTTGACGAATCTGCCAGCCGTTTGTACACAGTGAATGGGCTCCTCTACCAAAACTGGTAGCAGCCAATCAAATTGCTGGACTTATTTTACATCGTTCATACCTCTATTATAATGAATGAATCTACAAGTCTGACAACTTTGATTGGTGGAAATTCCAAGTCTGACTACTTTGATTGGTGGAAATTTCGTATACATTATGCAATATCATATCATTCTTAAGCAATTACGAATAACTGCACATCACTGATGGGGGGGGGTCTTGTTGGCTTATCCGTCAAGTTGGACTTACTGACTGGTGATGTATGACACATGTTGATGCCGGACATCGCAGAAAACTATGAAATAGGGCGTCTTATAAGAATTTATGTGAGCGGCTGAGCGCGACGACTGTGTACAGTGTATGTGAAAGGATGGCTGACTGGGGAAGTCTGATTTGATTCAACCAACTCGACCAACTTGATCCAGCATCAAACACAAACTACGTTATACTCGTACTGCAAGTATAGTCTGTGCAGGCGTTCTAACCTGGGGCGTATATTCCTGGTTGGATGTGCATCTTGCCAATGGTGCTGTCTGTGATGTCACGGGGAAAGGTCCACGTCTGCCCATTGTCAAAACTCTGGCATCCAGAAACAAAAGGTAATCCCAAAAAGTAGAACATTTAACTTAGCCGTTAAATTAGTATATTTTTATGTTTTATCGGGGGCAATCTGCTTGATGAGAAAGTTGTGGGCTTTCCAGTGCCTCAACAATATTTTTAGCCCCTGCAACTTGGAAACATCTGCAGGAATGTGTTTGCACAGTACTCTTTGTCATTTGAAATTCATGTGATCACATTCATAAATGTACATGTAATCACGTGAAATGATTTTCTTGAACAAAATCCGCAATGGGTTGAATTTCTTTATTCATTCATTCAGGAAAACGCAGGGCAGCCCCCTGTCCCTGCACCGGTCTACTTACCCTGGTAACCATGACCTGCTGTTGTATAAAGCCCATTTCGACCATGGTCCACTGGTTCAGGTGGGCGGGAATGGCAATGAAGACAACAACAATGGCTTCTAGGTCTCTGTCCACGATGGGACAGGGGTTCATCAGTCTGCGGGTTGGAGGAAAAGAATCAGGTTGTGATGACAAGGCTTTACTCTTCTTAACATTCTGCAGTGGCACAGAGAGTACAGTAGCATCTGCAGTCTTATAGTTCAGGTTCAGTTTTGAGCAGCAATTTTAACATTTGCAATGCGAATGGAGGTGAGAGAAGCTCACTGAACGGTTACAGTCACTGCTTCTGGTGCACTGAGTGATGTGGCCCAGCCATCAATTGAACCTGCTTATCATTTTAGCCTCATCTCAGAAGACACCACTAATAATGAAATGGTGCCATACTCGCATGCATTTTGCACACTTGGCAATAACAGCTCCTACTTCTTGGTGCTGGATTAGTTGACAGGGGTTTAGTTAAATTTCATCAGCCCTTATTCTTCACAAGAAAACACAGTTTCCCTCTCTCACTGACATTCGGATACCACCGCAGTCCCTTACCGCAATCATCCAACACAAATGTCCCATGGTCAAAGATGACCATCACTAAAACCAGCCCGTCAAGGTTCAAGTTGAGTCCTAAACCTCTTCCTACCTGTGGCCAGCTTTACTGGCGACCACGACGACTTGTTCCCACTTCACCTTCCAGCCGCTCTGCCTGCCTCGTCGGACCACCAGATCCATGCCTCCTATGTCCCTGTAGGTTTCCTTCCGGGCCTCACAGAATGCTAGGAAGTAGCCCTGATGATACACCAGGGCTGGTATTCTGGGTGAGGACAAAGACAAGATGAAAGTTTTAGGTCTTGACTTCAAGTTCCTCTTTCACATCATCTTTCCTGCAGTTTGTCTTTAAATCTCTCAGAATATACGGCTTTTTTTGGCTTTGAGAAAGATTCTGCAAGGATTAGAATTTAAGAACTTCTATCTTCAATTTTGGAAAATAGACTTCATTTTCTGTTACGATGAAAGTCTAGGAATATGGGCTAATTTTCTGGGAGCAATAACTAGGCACAACTACCAGTAATTTGATAAATTACGAACTGCTCACAGAACTAACTACAACAGAGTCATAAAAATGTGGTTATTGCTTTTGTTAATGATCTTTCAAAGAACAAAACTTTAGTTTACAGGTAATTTCTGAAAAACTATGCAAAGTGTGAAACTACAGGAATCAGTGATTGGTACACTCACCTCGATGTGTTGTATCCTAGAAATCCTTGCTTGTAAACAGCTGTGGGTGGACAAGTACACATGTCAGCAGGTGTCATGTAAAATACAAACTACACGTACCGGTACATGTATGTAGCATAAAAGATTGAATGTTAAGGTTTACAATCCAAACAGATGAAACTGATGCATTGAGATAGGGTCTTGGAGCCTGGAAGGATACATGCACATACATGTATATTGAGGCCCATTCATTCTTTAATAGAAGGAAAGCTGATGTGAACAATATTTTACATCATCACATGTACATACCATACCGTACACTTGTATAAATTACCAAAAGTTTGGAAACATTTCCAGTTTTAATAGCTATCTGTCTCAAAAGTTTTTTTGACCTTTTGTTTTTCTTTGGTTTTGCTACCCATTTTAGTGGCCAGATTAGTCTTCACGAGAGAGAAGATGCCACATCTTATTTCAAGCAATAAAACATTGGAAAAACTCAGTGGGAGGTCTGTACCGATGAAAATAAAACAGGTGATTAGAATTCATGCAGATCAAATGCTGGTGTACCTGTACATGTGCATGTAAGTAATTAATACACGAATGCATATATGCGCACACGTATATTTGCATGTTGATAAAGGCCTGCTGCAGCAGCAAGCTGCGTTATCACGCATATGAAACAAAATGATAACCACAGTTGCCTTTGGGATAGGCTAGCCTTACCCCCTCTAGTGACCCCCTCCATCTGTCCATAAAAAGAGTCATCACCACTACACTACTCACTTTCTATTTGTGTGTCATATGGGTTTGTGCGTGCATATTCCAAGGGCCTTGGCACTTCTATTTTCTCATTTTTGCTGGACACCATGGTATCTAGGGGCCTCTGTAGCAAAACCAGCACCCACACAACGAGGAGCACACTCAGGATGATCACGACCAGCTGGAAGCTTGGCCTGACACTGAATGCCACGCGTTTCAGCACCATCTTGATTTGCCGCAACAGCATCCTTACAGGGTGGGAAAGGACAAGGATGTCACTCGCCCAAAACTGGGTGCCGTACTATGGTGGAGGAAAAAGAGACAAAAATCCACATTAGATCACAGAAGTTCCGTTTTAGTCATCAATTTAAAATTAAAGCTGAAAACAGCTACATGTAGCAAAAAGCTGAAATGTAAAAAGTTCCCATACTTTTTTACAGACCAGGTGTACAAAAAAGCTGAAATTCTGGGTCAGCATCTGCTCAAAATAAGCTGAAATCAGCTAAAAAGCTGAATTCTCACACTCCTTTGTAGACCACTCAAGTATTGAACCACTATTCCTGCAGGTGTCAGAAACATTGGTGGGTGCACGATTTCTCAGAATTTTTCAGAAATTTTGTGATGCAAAAATTCATTTACCACCAGGTGTTTAAAGTTCATGTACAAGAACCAATAAAAAGTTGTATGTACACGTATGCAGAACCTACAAAAGAAGTAGGCCTACATGTACATGTACATGTATCTGCAGGTGTCTTCATTTATTAAGTGGATTTTGGGTATCCACATTTCATGGTAAAAATGTGCACATTTGTGTACCTGTACATTTACATGTACATGTAGATTATCTGAGTGTGACATTTGACATTCAGAAACATTCATACTTGTTCCACAGTTATAATACAAATGGAATACATGTGAACAAAAGAGATTGTACCAGTATGGTACACGTGTATATGGGTACATGTAGGCCTGCCCCTGGCAATGCATGATGATTGGCTGATGAAATCTAAGAGGCATGGAGCAAATAATGCCTTTGGCTCTCAGCTTCATTAATAATCAACAGAATTGTGACTATATATTGTACATGTACATATATATACATGTACTAATGCCTGTGCCGTACATGTACCTTGGTCTTTCTACATGAACATACATTTGACGGACAAAATTAACATGTACATGTATAATGTACATGATTATTTCATGAACAACCAACAATCACTAAGTTGTACAAGATATTGGTGATGTTATCGAGTATGTACTGTATCATAGATATCAGAAATACATGTAAAACGAAAACCATTGGTTGATGGGTTTATCATTCTCTTAACCCTAAAAATTGAGCCCCTTACAGAGTGTTAGATATTATGACATTTCCTGAGGAGCCGGAAACTGTTGCTTGTTCTCTGTTTCAGTCCGAGTATGAAGCTACATGTGTACCGGTATATTTGTGGCGTCTGAAGACTTGAGTTCCAACAAGACCACTGCAAGCTCCCTTCTGAATTCATGCCACCTGCTAGAAATGTGATTACCCAAGTAACTTTGTCCTTCAAAACATTACATTGCCACATCACAAAATTTAAGCCTTGTATCCCCCCTGCTTATGACTGTTTTATAGCCTTGTTATCTTGTATGCAAAAAATATCATAACAACAAATCTTCCCAAAGTCAGTTTTTCAAAATGCCCGATGACATCTCAGTTCCAACTTTCCATCAAATACTGTACATGTAGTTACGTGGGTAGGTGGGTAATTTCATCATTGCATGAAAGCTTAGAATTAGACAGATCCCTGGTTGACCTCTGGTACATGTACTCTCCACTAATGGACAAAGGTTTCTTACTCGATGTTTGGCAACAATCTTACCAACTTACCGACAGATGTTTCATGTTTAGCATTCTGTCACCCAAGTTACAATGTACCAGTATGTACTGTGGGTAATCATGTTAAGAGGGTAATTGTGTCAAGGACTACATGTACATGTAAGTCAAACATATCCTGACTATCATCACAGGCCTGATTTGATTCTGGTTGCAGGAAATAAGGGCGAATAACATCATACAGTGTCATGAACAATCTTACCAACGGTTTAGAATTAAATGTTTGAACTTTGTCAGATTTCCATTGTCCGTGTTTCATACATGTACCGGTAGCCTCAGTCTGTTTTAATGCTGAAGACCCGTTCTTGATGCAAGCCATTTTATACAGACAGACTTGACCAACAACAAACTACATGTAGGCAATACATTGTTCACAATTGGCGCAGTTACTGACATGACACACTTTGCGCATAAGTTGACATGCACTGTATTTCAGTGAAAAGATAAATGCATTGACCACGTGAAAACACAAGAAATTAGAAGGTCACTGGGGAATATTTTAGGCCTAAAGGGAAAACATACAGGTTGGTGATTTTCTGGGGCAATATTATCCACAGTGATCACTCACACTTGACACACACCACACCAACGTTTCTCAAATACTTGTACTACACCTTGCTTGACTGCTGGGACTACCAAGGAGTCTGTTCCCATTACATGTACATGTACGTACCGTACATACATGTACATGTAGGTACAGTGTAATACCCCTTAAAAGCAGCAGGCATATTAACCCTGAATTTTTTTATTCCAGAATAGAGAGTTTACATTAATCTTTTTGCTACTTTTTCTGAAAAGGTTATTGTACTGTCGTTTCAAGCGTGAGCATTTAAATCTTTTCCAAGCATTTTTAATTTTTAGGTTAGACTTGACAGGGACACGAAAAAACTTGGATCCCTAATTTATAGAATGACCTACATGTATGTGCATACAGGTACATGTACATGTATGTGCAGTACCCAAGCACAAGTCGTGAGAGGTGGATAAACATACACATGTACACGTAGGTACAGGTACATACATGTACAGGTGTATACACAATTTATAATTTAATTGCATACATGTGCAGCCACATGTACATGTACACTATGTAGGTACAATGGCAGTTAATCCTTGCATCATGTTTGCAGGATTGGCACTATGCAACTACTGACGAGTACATGTATATATGCACAGGGTACATGTACTGTACATTACATGTATGGCTTAACTGCCTAAAATGTACGGCCTAACTGCCAAAACATCATTTGGCACTGGCATGAAGTTGAACATGTACATGTACATGCTCACTCAACACGTACAGGTTCTGGGAGAGGGGAGGGGGATATATGCTTGAATTCTTCCCCAAGCCATTCCTGGCTTTGTAGTACATGTACATGTACATGTCCAAGGTACCGGTACCAGGTACGCACATGTGTGACTTGATAATGTACCAGCACATCAAGTATGCTCGTACATACATGTACATGTACATATACATGTACATGTACGCGTACCGTATGTACATGTCCATGTGCATACTTCCAGTTCTATCCCAATTACATGTACATGTACATGTATAATTTTTTTTTTATATGACTTAATGGTGATAAATTTTTGGAGAATTCAGGAAACCAAAAGAAATTACCTGGGGAGTGGAAAGGGTCACCCAACGAAGCCTGGAAAAGACAGTTTGACCATACATGTACATGTACATACACTGTACATGTGTAGGCAGCTGACATATACTGGTACACTATACGGGGATGTTTTCATACATGTGTACGTCACAAAGTGTCCACTTCCTAGTCTTGTACAGTAACGCTTGAATCTCTCTGAGGTCAGAGCCTGATTGGTTGCCATTATTCATCCATGGCAAATAAGCCTTTGTACCCTGGTAACAACTTGTCATTGGCATATCCTATAGGCTAATGACACCTGTACTATACATGTCCCTACCTTGTGCATATCAATACACAATATGCTTAGTGTATATTGTCCTAATATACAGAGTACATGTACTTGTACATGTACTGGTACAGTACTGTTTTAATTTGCTCCTGCATGCACATACATGTACATGTACTGTGTGTACAGAACATGTGTATGCATCTGCTCAAATAAACATTAGGACTATCAAAAAGGAAGTACAAGTTTCACGGTTAAATACATGAATCAGAATTTAGTAAATGTAAAATCCACTAGAAGCGGAAACAGGATTAATTTTTCATCTACCACTTCTGGTACATACATGTACATGTAGATGTATGTATATGTACATTGTGCATGTGAGGAAAACATTATCAGTACCATGCCTTGCACAAACATGTACAGTACATGTACACATACAGGACTAACAGAAATCTTCAAGCTGAATTTTGACTTTTCCAGGACTTTCCAGGACAACTTTTTGTCCAGGATTCTTCATGACTGTGGGAAACCTGACACACTATGTGTACATGTTTTCTGCCATGAGTACATGTACTTCTATCATGTCTATCTGTAAATGTACATGTAATAGATGGTTATACCGACCAGTACATACATACATACATACATGTATGTAAAATAAACTTAGAAATTCAACATGTGTCTGATCAACACACTCTGGAATGGGACAGATGGTTTCAAAATCAACAGCAGCATGTTGTACTAATTTTATGCAGATCAATTAAATCAAAGTCTGCAGGGAAAGGCTGGGTAATCAAATTACTGAATTCAGGTTTTTAATACAAATTCCAATTCTGCATGTGTAACGCAGTGATGTTGCTGCTATGACTGCCGAGAAACTGTACATGTACATGTATGTATACATGTAAAATGTACCAGTACCTACATGTAGTACAGTGTAGGTCTACGAGTATGTACATATCAAAAGAAAGTTAATGACCACTTTGGGGAGATATGCCAAGTACAAATTGTCCCATAAATTGTCCCGGGGAGGGGGGGAAAGGCAGTACCATGACCCAGTTTGTCCCCTCCCATACAATTTTTTTTAAAAATTACATACATGTACATGTAAGACTCTTTTGCAAAATTCAAGAACCACCCTTTTTGGAAACAAAGCAACATTACAGGGTTACCTACGGTATACATGTTATTTGAATAAGCCATTTGTGAGTTAAATTTGAATAAAATCTGGTGCACTGAGTTATCTGACTGCACATAAACATAAAAATTTGAATTTCGCAGACTAAAGACACCGTTGCTATACCTCGTGACTCGGGGCAAGCTTTCACATAGCGACCACCATCTCTGGAATGGACTGGTTCCTTTGTGCCCTTTCTTATCCATTGAGAACAGTGTATTATTGCATCTTCTATGTAACTAAGCATAGCGTGCCCCAAATCACGAGGCATACACTGTAGCAAAAGTGGTTTTAGTGAGGAGAATTCAAGTTTTTATGTTCAGGGGAAATTTAAAGAACTCAGTGTACCAGATTTGGGTCAAAGTTAACTCGCAAAAGGCTTATTAAGATTGCTGCAATCTGAGCATGCCTCAAGAATAATCTCCTGGTTCCAACGAATCTGTTTTTAGCACATCATACATGTATTCTACACAGTGCAAGTACAACGTGTACATGTGTATGTATGTGATAATGTCCAGTGTCAATTTCTTGTATTAAGAATGAATGGCACTGGACACATACCGGTACATGTACAGTACATGTACAAACGCCGGAACAACTGTGCAACTGTACAGTGTACGGTACATGACAAACACTTATATACGGAGATGGGAATTTATCAGTTTATGTGCACAGTGAAAGAGTGTGACATGTATCTTATATTTTTTTGCATGGTTCATACCAAACCCTGCGTGATGCGCTACAACTCTGTGCTGTTTTCAAGCGAAAAGCAATACGATTGTCAGCTGCAAGGTTTACTCTGCATGTTACACATTCAAACCTGTTGCTTTTGCATGCATAGGCCCCTTATAACATCTACACTGAATGTCAAGTTTGCTTGAAGATAAATTCGTTATCATGCTCGTGCTCGTGGTACACAGAACAACGTACATGTATGTCTGTGTCTCGTATGTTCGGCGTCATGGTATACGGGACACCGACGCACTTCCGGTACATTATTCTGTGTTCCACTCACACTCGTGTGATAACTAATATAGAAGGGTTCTTGTCAAAACCAATCGCTAAATTAACACTTGTACATGTCTACATGTACAATGTACATGTGCAATGTACATGTACATGCACAGTAATTTACAAGGAAAATACACAACTCTGTGGAAGGCTTTGAATTGATCAATGTTGTACTCACTTGAGCACTTGTCACTGAGAAACAAACCGCCTACAATTAGAATGTTTCTGCGAGTCAGTTTGGGTTTGTTTGCTCCTTTTGCACACTGCACACACTGTGCACAAACCGGTATAGTATGCATGTATGTACATGTACATGTACATGTATGTATGTATTATTCTTACATTAAACAGAATTCATTACAGCCTATCCGGTTATTTAGTGTAGATCAATGTACCGGTACATGTACTGTAGTGTAATATATTGTTGATTGTAATTTGTAGCCTTTAAACAGAGCCTGTGGGTGAACTAGACATTTACTTCAAGTAATAGAAAATTCACATGAAAAAACTGAAATCCATTCTTTTTTACTTATTTTCACCTTTATTTGAAGAAGTGAGGGGGAGTGATCCAACACATGCACATGTGCAATAAGTCCGTTCATACTGGTAAGTCTCTACAATAGGCCAGTCATAAGTAACAGGGTGAAGAATGACAAAAGAAACAGTTCATCTGAATACAGGTACATGTAGCTTGTGAATTGTCTCAAGACTGAATGACTTGTGCATGTGATGGGCTTCTGAGGGACTCGAACACAACACTGTTGTGGCTGTTCCCCCCCCGGTACGTACGGTATACATGTATGTACACCATGTACTTCAGATTACTTTTTTCCGAGATTGTACGGTATACTTGGGGACCCCCCCCAAGTTTTTTGTCATTTTAATCTTGCAAAACTGGTAAGTCCTCCCCCAAAAAACAAAGCTAACACTCTCTTTATTGCACTGACCCTATTTTTTGGAAATTTCAAATAGTCAATAGTGAGAAGATGTGACTTTCGTACTGATAAACTAGCCAAGCCATGCAAATTTGAATCCACCATGTGTCATGTGTTAAAACACTCAGTTTCCCCTCATAATTTCACTCAAAACCCAAAGCCCTGCCACTTTTTGACAACATCAACACTACAGTTATTGAGCATGACGTCAAATTCATCAAATTCATCTACTGTACTACTTAAGTTTTACACAAACCTTACAGATACCCATGTACATGTATTAACTCCCATTAACACATTTTGGCTGTTTTGAATGTGACAACTTACCCTTCCATCACAGCTACATTATCTGCAACCAAATGTCATGTTATGCCTTCCTGGTGAAGTTACATGTACATGTCACATGGGGAGGTTTATTCACCTTATCTGTATAAATCATTAAAATGATGAAATTCTTGAGTATTTTGTCCATCCACACTACAGAAAATCAGCAGCATCACTGAGCACGTACTCTCAATAACTTCAGCTGTTTGACAGCTTGTTGACAGCTTGACCAATCGCAACACAGCTCCGATCCTTTTGTTTTCCTGTCACCCACAGATGAAAACACACTTTGATTGGTCCAATTTGCTTCCATTCCAGTGACCAATCAAACATGTACACTGTACACTGTAGCTCAGCTTTCATTTGGATGGGGTCAGGAAAACAAGATGCTCAAGAATTTCCCCATTTTAATGAGGATATACATGTACATGTACACTGTAAGGTGAATAAACCTCCCCACCTGAAATCTAACTTCACCAAGAAGGCATTTATGAAATTTGGTTGCATAAATGTGATGGAAGGTTAGTCTGTCACAATCAAAACAGCCAAAATGTGTTTATGGGAGTTAGTGCTTGGCTATCTGTAAGGCTTACAGTTTTGGAAGTAGTCATCTACGAAGGTGAATTCAAAACTTAAAATGTAGCTCTCCCTTCTGTTACAGGAACAGGATCCCCAAATCTACAAGTGCAATTCCCTAGCCTAGTGTAAATTTGAACTTCACTTCAATTGACAAAAACAATCCTCTGAGCCATGTATCAGAAAAAGAAAGTAAAATGTCTTACAATTTACATGTATGTACATTACGAGATTTAATCTGAATAATTAACAATTGTTGTCAGTATGACTTTTTTGCATATCATGTTTGGCATATGATCAGGAAAAAACCTTGAAACTGAATGCAGATTAAAATCTGTGCCTTCATGTTCGGACGGACATGACAGAGCCAGCACCATGCACCTCATCCACCCAACCACCACCCACTTATACAAATTACAATGATAGGGAGTCTGGCACTTTTTAGGTTTTTTGGTTTGACCCCCCCACAAATATAATATCATTGGAAAGAGAATTTCAAAAGAAATTTAGCTCAATAGCTGTAAGTACATGTATAGTGAAGTTATGAATTTTTCTGTTATTAAAATTAGGTGTAATCAGTCCGTCACTTTTTGGGGGTGAACAAAAGTTTTATTTTCATCAATGTACGTATATGAACCACATGGAGTCATGGTCCTCATCGGTTCCACTTCCAGACATGCCAGAGTTGGACAAAGATCTGTAGTTAAGTCACAGAGGAAGTGTAAAGTAAACAGTATCTTTTTTTATGGATAACTTTATCAATAATAAACACAGGATACATATGTAGACAGTCACAGACAGGCGAGTTGGGCTTGAAATTTTTTGTGATGTGTGAAAGATCACTGAAGCATAGTTTTGATGTGATATTTTGTCATTAATAAACAGCTATAAAAATAGGGACTAAATCTATCAGGTGTCATAAGTTACTTTAAGTCTGTTCGTGTTTGACACGGTCTTTTGATAACATTTCATTGAAACAACATGTGTGGCTTATGCGCTTGTTACTTGCATCTTGCTCCCTGTGCACCATCCATCAATCTGATGCACATACCATATGGCAGGTTCCTCAAAATATGGACCATTAGATAATGTTCAGCTTTGGGGGTTCATTTTTCATGAAGTGAACAGCAGTGAATTAATTTCCAATGTTTGATGTAATGAGGGAAGTCATGGCTGATATCTGGAACAATGATGACCGTGTCAACCTTTCAACTTAATTGGAGTTAATTAATTAAAGTCTCGAACATTAGCAATTTTCAGGGACATGAACTCCCTGTTAAAATCCGAGCCAATAGAATTTACTGAGGAGTGATAATCCCCGAGGTTATTGAACACATTTATATGTGGTGAAAGGTGATAATACTTAAATGTATTAAAACCATAATCACGAAATTAAAAAGTACCTCTCACAATTAATCGGGTCCCGAAGTCAGCAGTCGCGAATGTCGTTCGATTCTGTCATTAGTGTCAAAAAAATCGACTGCAAAAAAGCGAGTAAAATACATACAGTATATCGATGTACAACACAAGCTTTAAAAAAGAATGCAAAAAGCACAGCCAAACCATCATTCTTTTACGACTGGACCGATCACATTTTCTTCAAGTATGTTCCCCAAAACCGCAGTCCAAATTACCGATCGTGGCGATTTTGTGGCTTCCATCAATCTCTCGCGGTGACGTTAGAGAAACATTTTGCTGCATCGTGGACTGTTTGACATCAACCCAGATAGTGCGCCCTCTTTCTTATTCGATATTCATGAGCCCCTCCACGGAATGGCGACGCACCGCGATTTTTCTCTTCAGAACAATTTCTATCAAAAGAAAATCCGTCATTCTGAATGATGTTTGCAAAAAAATGACGTTCGAGACAAAAAATACAATTCATGATGAAAATCTAATGCTCAGAGTTGTTCATTTTAATTTCATTTTCAGTGGAGTTATCTCCAAAATAACTGGCAAAAAGAAAACCGGGCATGGAATTTTTGAGCACTACATGTGACAGCATTTTCGGCATTCTCAAACGCCATGCAGTTTCTGTCATAATTCTCGAACGTCATCAAAATTCTGTCAAATATGACGTTCGCAACGAACATATTGTACTCATCATAAATTTTTGATGCAGTCAAACTTAAAGATAATTATTGGTGGTCAAAATGCACAAGACCTGGCAAATATGTTGGTATAGTGAGAGTGATTATAAATGGTAAGAGAATGAAGACAGCCAAACTTTTCTCATCATTTTCCGTCAATTTTGTGCTCTTTTTTTCGTGGCCTGTATTTTTTAAAAGTTATTTCTTAGGTGCTCTAAAATACATCAGTCGAAAAATATACTGAATTCTCCTTCTTGTTGAGAGAAGTTTTGAAATCAAGTCCTCAGGTGTAAACACTTTGACGTAAAACTTTAAATGAATTCAACTCCATTTGATTTGCACTGGTAGCCAACCAAATGTCCACCATAAGTACACATTTGCCTGATTATCCTCATATAATTGTTCTTATAAATCTGAAGGTGTTAATTTGTATTTTACATGATCAAAGTCACTCTTTTAGAAGTTTTGAAAAATGACATCTGGAGTTGCATTTTGGTCCATTTTATGAAGAACCATACGCCATATACATGTACAGCTGTACATGTATGCACAGTTGCGCGACAGCACCCCAACACAAAGGGCTGTTCGACATCCATTTTTGACAAAAAAGCAACTTCCTTTTCTTCCTGAAGTACCAAGCTTCCAAATAAACACTGTTTCATGTTTCATCAACTCCTTATACATGTTTTGGGGGGATTTTCAACAGAAAAATGTACATTTTTTGCTACATGTGTACCTTTTTGTAGTCTTCACAAACCAAAAAATAAGGCTTGATGGTGCTTTAGTCAAATGCCTTGAGTCATACGTCAAATGAAAGAGTATTTTAAGCTCTACAAGATGATAGCATCATCATTCCAAACCTGGTTGAGTCTCGCGAGATATTAGGCTTAGACAAGACTATGTCACACGACAACAAGCAAAGATGGCACACAGTTGTTGACGTACATGTAGTGTAAGTGGCTCCGATCTTACATTATTTTCATCATACATGTACTTTTCACCCCAAACTCGATGCAAACAGATATTGTCAGTTCTTTTCCAGCACCACTACCTTTTGAAACACAGAATTTGATGCACAAAAAGGGCAGAAATCATTGATTGAAAACAAACACTTTTACATACATGTACATGCTTTCAGATATAAAATTTAGAGGTGCCGTTTCGCTGCACTCCCTAACAATGATGTATAGGGCCTAAGTAAATTAAATTTTACGTCACTTGTCATCAGGTCATGCCTGTATGCATTAATCCATTAATTATAGGCCTAAACACGTATTTAAAAAAATGCATAAAACTAGTTTCCCTATTCAACATGTTCAACAACGCATAACATACGTCTTGACATTTGATAGGCCTCATGCCCACTGTGTAAAAACGCGCGTATGTATCTGGATATGAAATATCACCGTGATTAATACTAGTTAATTTACAAGGCATAACGTTACATGGTCAGATCATGGTGTGTTTTATTTCTCCATGGTCAGATGAGATAGTTAAGCCTTGCCATGCTTGCACAGAAAAAAAAAACCAAGCGCAACTGCAATTTTTCAGGTTTTCATTCACGACTTTAACACGAAAATGTGGCTAAGTATGAGAGATAGATCTAGCAAATAAATTAGCACACTTACTGTTTCCCGCTCCAAAATCTAACTTCTAATAATAATGATATGATATCGATGTCGTTTCAATCACCCAGCTCATCAGCTTTCGTGTACAAAACAATCCGTACCAGACAAGTTGTGTGTTGGCTACCAAACCCGTACATGTAGATAAGTAGAGAGGCATAATGTCATTTCCAGCCTAGCCACAGCCAGTTGGTTTGGGCGCAGCCAAACGCATGATAAGTCGGACTGGTTGCCTATGTGATTTACACACGGCTGAAAATAAGGACAGGATAGGAAAATGAAGCAATGACGTCTGGATGCTAGATTATGTCTAACATCCAAAATCTCTCTAAAAGAAATCAATGACAAAAGTTGTAAGTGTTCAGTTACCAGACTATTCCTTGATAAACAGAAAACATTCCGCTCGTACGATCGTTAGAATTTAGAAAATAGTGGAGCCTGGAGGATTTAGCGTGTCGTGTTTACTGAGTTGTTTGGAAGCTGTGAGTATGCACGAGAGACGTGTGAATGAAATATAGGGTTATTTTTTTTTCGATTATCTTAGTGATGGTGTCATCTTGACGTGGGTCCCAATCAGGCCAATTGCTCGGATACCGGACATGAATAATATTAAATAGGCCTAATCAGATAGGGCTACTTTACTGAGTCCTAGGCCAAATCATGCCACTAACACTATCTGTATTCTCATGTAACTATCACATCAGTGATGGATCCCAGGCTGCTGGCCTATATCATCTAAAAAGGCTATAATTAGGCATATTTGCTTTCCTTTAGCACTGTCAGACTGTAATGGTTACTGCACGTCCATGACGTCAGGAGAGACATGAGACATGTGAGAGAGGAAAAGATGGGGTAGAAAACAGAGAAGGGGGATTTAGACTCAGTCTTCATCTTAACAATAAGAACATGCTCGAGTCAAATGTGGTGCTTTTTCAAGTAGGCCTAAGCCTAACATTTTCTCATGCCCCATGACATGCTTGACTTAAATTTAAGTAGGTGGAGACCCTAATCAGTGGTTTACTTTTAGTTTTACCATCATCATGATCATCCGGGGTGTCCATTAGCCTTTACCATGGTTACTAGTTACTTGCAGATTTTGGGTCAGCTCGTACCCGAGTTAACTCATACCTCGGTCAACTCGTACTCTGGTCAACTCGTACCCTAGTACCCCAGTCAACTCGTACTTTTGATGAAAATACACATTTGTGACCCAAACTTTTATTACATCCCAAGCCACCGTGATTGATCAGAAAAGAACAAGGAAAATCTCTTTTTTAAAAAATTAATCACAAATTAAACAGCAGGCTGATCTTAATGCTTCGTGAAGCAGCATGTCGAACATGGCAAAATCATTTTGAGACATTTAAATGTCACAGTAAATGATTGCGATCTATCACATTGCTTAACCGATCAACATCCCCTCTCCCTGAACAGAACTGACAGAAGCATTCATTTTCGATCAGAGTTTATTTGACCTCTTTAAAGTCATAATAAACACGGTAGGCATATTTCAAAACTCTAACAAGAGGTGGTACATGTAGCAAGTTCATTTGCAAGTCAAGTACTGCGCCCATCCCTTCTCTCCAAAACAAGCTAACCTCAAACATACGCTTTCGATCAGAGTGTATTCACTGATTTTATTAATTCAAATTAAACAACCATACACACTTAGATGCGTAAAAATGGACAAAGGCATTGACTGGAGAGGGACTCAATAAATGGAGCATCAAACCCTATATTATGCTCCACATGTTCTCTGCTGACTGGGCCTGGGGAATATGAGTTGAGTCGGGTATGAGCCAACCTGGGTACGAATGAACTCGGGTGTGAGTTGACCTGAATGCGAGTTAACTTGGGTGCATATTTTGGAGTACGAATTGACCGGGGTAAGAGTTAACCTAGGTACGAGTTGACCCATTTACATGTGTACATGTTTTACATACTTGTTATGACATATACGATGTAACTTGAGCAGTTGAAACCCTTATGGCATGCTTCTGACATCTGCACAGCTGGAAATTCGTCAATGATAAGAGCTGAGTACATATACATGTACATGTACACGTACATGCCATTTACTGTACCGGTACAGCTCAGTCAGACTTCAGATGTCACTTTCAGGTCAGAGTCTTTTCTTCCCATATTTGGCATGTTTGGTGCTGCTGGTGCGGTTGTCCTTCACCTCCAAAGAAGATCACACTTTAGTTTCCCGTCTCAATCATTCTGAGTCCCAATCCTGGACTATCAGTGTTGTACAGTGCATGCATGTCAACTCATGCACTTACCAATTCGTTGGCCGACCAACTCGTATCTTCACCATTTCTTACATGTACATGTATACCAACCAACTTGTGCACTGCAACTCGAGGCATCATCGGTTTTTAGTCTGAGACGGACATTAAGGATGTTGAATGACAAGAAAATGGTGCTCCATCTTTTACTGAAGTACCTAAACCTGATGCATTTCTCTTCAAACAAACTGTTTCCATTTTCAAGGCGAATTGTCTTGGCAAGCTGGCAATATTCTTATATTGCCAGCTTGCCAAGACGATTTAATGTCAATTGATAATTGGAATTAGATACAGTAATTAGAATTAGATACTGTAGTCAAGAAATATCAATACTACACAGAGAATCTTATTTTACTAATGATTAGTTACATGTAAAAGTTAAAAGTTACGATTGAGGTGGATTTTTTTCATGAGGGGAAGCAGACATAACATCAGAGATTTCCTGCAGGATGGACGGATAGTGCAGTGGCAGATTGTGACCAACACTGTGTCTGTATATCACACACATTTTTCTTGGATAGGAATGGATTTGGCCATTCAAGGCAAATCAACACCGAGACCAAAGCCCCAACAAGGAGGCATGCCAGGCAAGTCTGCCACTGGCCTGAACCCCACCAGAACCTTTCCAGAATATAGCACCCCGGACGCACCCAGAGCAGGGCCAAAACCGGCCGCCTTGTGCAGCCTTTCTACTAACAATTCTAACAATAAGGTCAGTGTCTGTGTCTGACTCTACTAACAAATGCATACAATGAAAAAAAAATCAGTACTCAAATGATTGCTGGAACTTGTACGTAGGATTATAAAGTTGAACTGTTCAGTCTTCGGGTCACATCTGGCCTTATGCTTATTTCAGTTATTTTTCATATGTATTGTTAATTCTGTGATATGATTTGACAAAGAAACATTATACCACACAGTTTTGTCTGTCTTTGCAGGGATGTGTGATTACTCAGTCCAAGCTTGACAAGATTCAGCAAGTTGTTACCCCAAGACCACGTTCCAGGATGCAGTACCCCAAACCTAAAGGGTGAGCAAATATAAGTGAAGGAGAAGCATTTGAAAGATTACTACATGTAAATGGTAATGTAGGCTATTTAAAAATAAATATTTAAAGCCTTAAGCCAATAGATTCTATCACACCTGTTAAAATACAATGCAATATTTTTACTTCAAGTACCTTTCAAATCAGGTTCCCTCAGTCATTTACAAAAATATTAAAGCATTTTTGAAATGATAAAGGGTTGTTATATTGCCTTACAAAAAGTAAGCACACTTCAATGATTCCATGTGGCTTTTTATATGGTTAATGTTTATGTATCCCTGCAGAATTCCTTCACTGGACCTTGGACAACTCCAAGACAAAGACAACTCGTTACAGAACCCAGTCAAAAGCTATGAAGAGAAACTTGACCCACCAGACACAGCCAGCACCGTCAGGTACTCACGTTCCTATTCCCGGTCTATCACAGGAGCATGATTACTGAAGGGTTTGGGATGAGGTTTGATGGGGGAAAGAGTAGTGCTACCTCGACACATCCCAAAAATCCCTTCAATGAAATCTGCTGCGGACGTGGTACACGTCAGCCACCGTCGTTGAAAAGGGAGAAGGGAGTGTCGGTAGCCAAGTGGTTAAGGTTTGTGACTCTTGCCGGGGGGGTCAGAATCTAGCTGTTGACCCTAAGTTGTGACCTTAGACCAGACCAGAAGGTGAGGGTGGGGGGTTGGAATCCAGCTGTTGACCATAAGTTGTGTCCTCGGACCAGACTAGAAGGTCAGGGGGTTGGAATCCAGCTGTTGACCATAAGTTGTGACCTTGGGTAAGCCACTGAACCCCTGCTTGCCTCTCTACCCAGGAGTATACAGTGTAAATGGGTATCTTCGTGAGCAGGGGAGCAAGATGTGATGGACTGACATCCCTTCCTGGGGGAAATACATGTAGCATATTCTCAGTCGTGCCATGCCAAGGAAATCAGAAATAAACCCCAGCGTGATGAGCCTAATGGCTTGGAAGGGACTTGTATTTAGCTTTTAAGAAAAGGCGGATATAAAGAAGTTTATATGCATCTGAAAAGAACAAATTAATCCTGCCAATTTATAATTCATTCATTCGCATAATTTCTTGGTTCGTTGTATTTGATACACATGTATTAAGGTAATGCCTTAGGTATAAAGTGGGAGTGAATTCCTTCTCAGGAAACAATGGAATCAAAATGCTGTCTATTAACCCACGACGTTGGTTTTTTTCTTCCCTACAGTTGGGGATATCACGAGTACAGCCCTGCTGCCAGGTAGGATGCTGCCTCAATTCATGAAGGACTGAATATTATTTCTAAACAGCTCTGGGAGGTCAGGTCACACCGATTCGGTGTAGCAGTTGCACATGGTCTGGTGGTTTAATACTTGTGACTCCCGTCCGGATCAGAGGTCAGAGGTTTCAAATCCAGCAGCTGGCAGTATGTTGTGACTTGGGCAAGTCACTTTACCTTTATTACATCTACCTCTGTCCATCCAGGTGTAAAATTGGCACCTCTGAGGGCAGAGATAAGTATGCGTGCTGCTGACTGGTCTTGTGGTATGAACGCAAGACTAGTAGCTGTACTACAATTGATATTATTACAACTGTTATTGGAATGACCACAGTATTTCAGAAGAAACAAATTTTGGAGAACTTTTGGTGAGCAGATTCTTACATATCTGATAGCTGTACTGTATTTTATTCACTAGATCTCCAGCCATGAATGCCCCCTTTGCTCTTCACCACACCCCTACAGTGGGCCCACCCAGCAACCGCACCCAGCGACCAGGCAGTGTGCCACGCCTTGATCTGGAACGGAGGCAGAAGGTTTGTAGCCACGGCAGGATGGATTAGAGGACCTGCTGATCAAGCAGGCTTATTTGCTGTATGTTTTTACTGGTCTCAGCCAAATGTCACCTTTGCAAGAAATGTTCTAAGCAATACATTCTCTCATTCTCGTCCGAGAATGTGAACCTTTGTAAATTTTGTCTGTCTACTTTACTATCATTCTTTATATTGTGCACAGTCCACTCTTAATACAAAGTACTATTCTGACAGAATACTGTTAATCTGAGGAGAAGCCATAACTGGGACAGCACCGCACTCGCATGTACTTGAGCCTGATGCACATGTACATTTGGTGAATATAGACACCCTATTGGTTGTAGAGTCATGTAATTTGTGTGTACCATCTGTCTACGAGAGTGTGCCACTTTTGTAATGGCTTCTCATTCTGGTTGTCAAATTACCCTCTAAAATGTAAATTGACGTTTCAAGTTTGCTGTTTAGTGGTCCTTTTATAGCAGGGTTCTGGTTTCAAAACAAGTTGATTTAGATGGTGTCAGCAACCTTTTTTTAACTCCTTCGTGGCAGAATTTTTTTTACCGGACTGCTGCACTGCGGTAGGCCCAGTATGCAGAGCCCTATCCAGCAGCAGGCGCAATTTGAAACTGCAGGTGCATGATGAATGGAATGTGTGTGTGGTATGCACTAATTCTCCCACTGAGCCGCGGCATTTGCCGTCTCCTAGCACAAAGGGGTTTTAACAAGAGTTGCCTCAACCTGTGTTTTGATTAATAGTCTGCTTGGACTGAACCAGCTGTGCCAGAGAATCTACCCCCTCCCTCTGAGTGCCAGAAGCAGCAATTCAAGCAGATAGAGCAGGACAGGAAAGACGAGTTGAAGCAGTGGTCCCAGAGGGGTGGCCAACCAAAAAAGCACCTAAAGGCTCCATATAGGTAGAGAGATATTGCCTCTTTCAATGCATCATGACACTGTGTTGCATTATAAATGCCATTGCTACAGTGCTTTCATATAAAATTTGTCAGTATTGCTAAAAATTAGTGCAAGGTTGAAGAATGGATCCTCCGTGGGGCTGTATTTTAGAGAAATGCAATGCATCTATGTTAACAATTTAAAATAGCTCTGTTCTATATGGCATGCATATGTATCTTTTTATCATCTGTTGCCCCTCCTGACTAAAAGAGATTCCAAATGCTTCAAATTTAAATGATACACAGAACGGACAATGACTCTGATGATGATGCTGATGTGAACAGCAGTCGGGACCAGCACGACAAACGAGTTGATGCAGTGAGTACATTGGTTGGTCCCATTCACCACAGTACATTTCCTTGAGAATCAAACTGGGATCTGAAGAGAAAAACACCAGTGAAACAACCCAAGCCAACTTGACTCAGGTCTTGAATGCACAAACATGTGCTTTGCAAGCCAATGTTTAAGTCTCGATTCATGTTTTGTGTTTACTAGGTTTTTTTGGCCACTTGCAACCAGTTGGTGAACACAATTATTCAAATTTAGAGAGTAGACCTAGACCAGCACTTGTCAAATATTTTTAAGACACTGACCGTCTAGTGGGGTTTTGCAGGTTGTTTCATACATTTGGCACCCAGATGTTATATTTCTGCACTTGAATGACCACACACCAGTGTCTTATCTCATAGTCTGTCCACCTGTCACGGGGAGGGGCAAATATTATTTCGGATGAGCTGTTTTCGCGTGCTTATCAGAAGTTACCAACCGCCATCTTCTTCACAAACCTTTAAAACTGGTGAAGGAATCTTTTTGATTCTATCCAAAGCATTCGGCACATTAGAAACACAGCCTCAAATAGCACCAAGGTGTAACAGATAGAAAAGTTTGGTGACACTAGACAGGCAGTTTTTAATATTGAATGGGACAGGACAGGCTGATAGTTAAATCCTAGATGAAACCCTGTAATTACACACCAGCAAAGGTTAGTTTGTATCAGTGAGTTGTGGCACTTCATTCAAGACTGACTGATCAAAACTACAGTAGGTGCACTTTGGCTGGATAAAACAGGTAGTTAAACATCTCAAGATCAATTTCTTTTCTTTCAACTTGGCATTGACTTGAGATTCTTCTCCACATTTTTGTTCTGTTTAGGAAGCTTTGGCAGCGGAAAGAAGGAGGCAGGAGATTGAGCAGACTGTTTTAGTTGATCAGCTTTCGAGGTAAAGCACTTTCATTGTGTTTTGGTAAAGATCAGCAGTGTAAAAGAGAACAAAGTCACCGTTATTTAAAAAATAAGAATATTTTGAAAACTTGCAGTCAAAGTTGATTTTTTTCTGTACACAATTAACATGCCACAAGTCCACAGTTTATTTTGCATACTCTCATATGCCAGGTTTTTGATCAGCATAAAAATCATCAACATTTTCACATTTCTGTTCTCCTTCACCCTGCCTACATTAAAAAAAACTCCATCCCCACAAAAGAATTTATCGTGTTTGCGAGCCACCATTCCAAAATTGTAAGCTTTTATTTGCAAAACAATACACACATGAATGCACGTGAATGCCTATTCAAAAACTTGCATTGCCTGTAAATACCATAGCTTTCTGCACACCAACTGTTCTCTTTGAATCACATTAAAGCTTGAAAATTAACAGTTGGGAAGAGGAAGTACCTACTTCAGCCTTGTTTTGGAACGGTGGGTCCCAGTTTCTGTTTTTCAGAATTGTCAATGCAGATTTGCAGTGGTTGTGAAGTATTGAATTGTGTGCCATGTAGGAGTGTCATTTGCGACCCAGAACAAAATCAGCGAAGTGAAACACCACTTTCTGGAACTGCCACACCTTTGGGCCAACCAAGACCCAAAACAAGAACTCTGCATGAATCCAAGTAAGTACAAATCACCAAAAATTCAATATATAAGTTCACTTTGAAGTGGAACATGTGAACACTTATGCAACTCTTTTAAAAATGAGATTAACTGTTTTACTCAGAATGTACACAATGCTGTTTCTTGAACTGAATTGACTGATAGGTAAAGGCAGTTCCTGAACCCATTTGCCCAAATTATGGTTCTACGTTGTACCTTGTGGCCTGTCCTGCTTTGCTTTTAGAGTTCGGACAACGGGAACGGTCACCGAGAACCTCCTGGACAAACGCTTGACCTTCAACGCTCGGATTGTGACGAGGAGCGGCCACGATGCCTTACGGGAGCTGTGCGGCTTCTACTTTGACCTGGATAAGACCATGACCGTCTACGAGTATCGCCAATTTGGTTCCAAGTGAGTGTAACGATATTGGAGATCACTGATGTGATTGGGGCGCATCAAGTGACGAGAGCTTGACAAATAGGTGGGGAAAAATTTTAAAGCACTGACAGGGATATCAATAGGTTTTTTGGGGGGGGGCTTGATGTGCATATCAGTACTCTCCGCTCAGGAGCTACATTGGGCCTTATTAGGCTTGGATGAGAGAATGATTTGAGAATGAATAAATGCGTATTTTTTTGCGCTGAATAATGTAAAAAGTAATGAGAAATCATGTCCGGTTGCTTTGCAGATCAAAAGCCTTACCGTTCATCCAAAGAGGGAAATACAGTCATGTAACTGGCCGAAGAAAAGGCAGGCTGTATGTCGTGCAGGACATTTCAGCGGTAAGTAGATTTGTATTCCAATTCTTCAGTGAGCAGATTCAGTGTAACATGAAGCTTATTGAAGACAACCTTTGTCTGATAAAGTATCTTCACTGGCAACTTGGTTACTGTGTCACCATACTACATAAGAACAGCATTCCACAACTTGAGGTTGAGCTTCAAGTGAACAACCAGTTGCGCTACTAGTCCTTACGATCATGGGCAGAAATCCGGGGGGAGGGACAGATCCCTCCCATGAATTTGGCACGGGGGGACACAATGTCGAATGTCCCCTCCATGCTTTAAGCAAAAAATACTATAGAAATTGATGGGTTGAGGATTTTCCCTTTTGAGTTTTTATAAATGGAATAAGATAATAAACACGATGTGCACACAAAAGAGTTTTAATTGATTTCCCCCCACAACCGAGGAGAGATTTCCGCCCATGCTTACAACCTTCACTGTTTCTACACAGGGAGCCACCCTGACCTTTGACTCAGCAAACCAACCTTCAATCTCCTCTGCCTTGAAGGCCAAACCTGTACTGCTGATCAGGATCACGCACGTAGATGAGACTTCCAAAGAGAAGCTAATGTAAGCAAACTCGTGAGTTCTGACCAAAACAAAGTGGGATCCTGCGGAACTATCTCAACCCTATGAACTTTGTCAGGCTTTCTCTTCTAGCTTTGCCAAATACAACAAACTAACACATAGCAGAAAAGAAGGCCCTACTAAATGCAACAAAATTCAACACAGCTGAACAGGGCGCTCTGCTGAATGCTGGATATTGCAGCACTGCAGAGAAAAGCCTGCTATGCACTTAAGAATTCTGCATAAGTGAAACGAGAACCCTGCTGAATGCAACACATGGCTGATTGGAGTTGCCCAACCACCCTGCATTTGAGTCGCATTAGTCAAATTATTGTATAGGCATCACAGTTTAGTCTAGAACTTTCACTTCCAAAAGTAGTTTACTGGATAACTTTAGTACTAAAATGATTATGATAAAATTTACTTTTTGTGTTGGATTCAGATTTAAAAATGGGAGGATTCCATATGACCCAGAGGAGTATCACACTAAGATGGATCCACCAATTTCCAAGCAGGATGCTGCCGACAGTAAACTCATAACCCAAATACAAGGTAGGACATACAAACCCTGATCTTCCCAGATCCACCAAAACCCATCAGAAGGTTTTGAAGGATTTTGTGGTATTGAGGAAAGTTGAAGTCCAGTCACTCTGACTTTACGTTGGGCCTGATGCTTCTTGACAGTACCCATGCAAAGAAGGCACCATCAGCTTCCTGCTCAGTGGAGGAATTTTGGTTGTGCAGGGACATTCCGAGCAAGAATATGTAGGGATTAGAGTTAATCCTTTAGGTACTGTAAACTTCACTTACAGCGCATTCCATTACTCCTCTCATGCTTACCCTTGCTTCTGTCAAACGTTTGGCAGGCATGCATAATATGTGGTAATAAACGAATGATCTTGGGTTATTCAAAGAGCCCTGACTAGGTCATAAGGTCATACGTCAATTAAATTCGCAAAATGATCGCAATGATCAAAAGCAAGACATCCAAACGTCCATTTCTTGCCTTTGTTTCACAAAACGTGCCACCGTAGTCAACTACTCCTGAACTATTTATTGCGCTTTTAAGTTATTTTATTTATGTCTGTTCATCCAACAGCACATTTAGTAACAATTACAAGATGAAGTGATAATTGAGAAGACAATGCAGAAATGTTCAGTTTTAGAGGCGGGAGGAAAACCCAGGACTACTGTTCCAGGGAAAACCCATGGAATCAGGCAGGGACTGCAAACCCAATCCACATGCTGACCGAGGTGGGACTCGAACCTGGGTTGCAGAGGTGGAAGGCAAAGAAAGAGCCACTACACCAAGCTGACTTCCCATCTTTCCTTCGCAATGTGTGACTACGCTGCCATGCTTTCACATTGCATTGTGGGATACTTCTGCAATTAACTGGCTCGGTAGGTCGGTCACTGGGGCCAGGCCCGAGTGAGCATAAAAAGTCATGAGTGTCTAATTGAGCACAGTCACACTTGCACATGTAGCATGGGGGGAAGTAATCAAATACACTGTGCCCGTCATTCTCTAAATTCTCTTGTACATGTCGGTAAAATATCAAGAGTCCATGTGAAATATTTGAAGTCGTACGGTATTGGGACTCTTTCTTTTTAATTGAATCCTGCCCTCTAGAATCTGTCAGAAGTCAGATTCGCAAACGAGCTTGCAAGACGTTAACTGGCCTGGGCCGTCACTTCAGGCAGCTTGACAAATCAGGAGATGGCGTCTTGAACAAAGAGGAGCTGCGACAAGCACTAGACACATACCACATTAAAGTGGACAAAAATGTGAGTAACAGTCACTTAGTGTGCGACAGTGTGCTCACATATGACTTGAATGAAGCTCTATCCAGAGCAGTGGAGCTGTCAGATTTATCCAATGGGCTTTGTTGGTAACTAAGGAAGCTCTTTACCTGTAGGTATTGGCACAAGCACGGCTAAGCCATGAATAGACCTTTTTCCGTGATGTCATGATCATGCTGGACCTATGATGTGTTGTGATGGTAATGACGAATAGTGTTGTGATGGTAATCTACTTATTCAAGATAATCTAGTCAAGCATGCAGTATTTGAAGCTACACTTGCACGTGGTTGAAGCTGTCCGTAGGAATATATGCGATCACCGTGGCCAAGGCGGCCCACTCATGCTGATATTGTTTACATTTAGTCACATGGGTGAAAAAGGTCTGCGAGCTTCCAAGGTGACTACCCATGGGTTTGGCACAAGCACGGCTAAGTTATTACACGAATAAGCTTCCAACGTGAAGACCCATGGGTTTGTGTGTTTTTTTCACCAAAATTTCTCAGTCTACTTCGCACCATGGGTAAATGTGCATTCGGGATCCGCATGTGAATATCTTCCTGTCGTTGTTGATTCAGAAAAGAGAAATCATGTTGCTTTTTTTTCCCCGTCTCAGTTATTTGAGTCGCTGTGGTTGGTTCTGGACCAGAATGAGGATGGTGCGATAGATTACGGTGAATTCCACAGAGCGTTCATTGGTGAGATGAACGAAAGGAGGAAAACATTTGTGAGGAAGGTCAGGACCAGTGGTACAGTAATTGTTTGTGCTCAGTGATGATTTGATTACAGCTTCATTGTTTTTAAGTGTCTGATTCAAATCTAAGAGTATACATTGTTGCACAGACATACATTTCTGTACAGTGTAACATCGTCAGTGTGGCAGCACATTGTCTACCATATCTATAGATATCACAGAATGGAATTTTCTCATTGGTTTCAATTTGTTTCTTACAGGCATTCCAGAAAATCGATGCCAATAAGTCGGGAACAGTGAGCATTGATGAGTTGAAGAAATTCTTCAATTTGCAAAAGCATCCACATGTAGCACAAGGTATCTTTTAACTTGGGAATGTAATTCTGTGGCATGACAATTTTTAGAACAAGATATAAATCTTTGATTTTTTTTCTTACTGAGAATTCTAATTAGAGTATTTTGCTTTGGCAACTCTTACACTTCAAAAGTCATAATAGAAAAAGGAAATCCAGTGCCACTGACCGTGAAAAACTGTGTATAAGATAATTCTTGGTGGATTGTTGACAACATTTTATCATCTGCAAACTATTGAGCAAAAAGTGTTATAAATTGTACAATATGCATGTATTTTTCCCCCAGGTCTGGTCACGGCCTCGGAGGTAATGAACAGTTTTCTGGAGCTCTTTGATCGGCGTGCAAAGGAGATCACGTACGGAGAATTTGAGGATTACTACGAGGGTGTCAGTGTCTCGATCAGCAGCGACGATGAATTCATCGGCATGGTGTCAGCATGCTGGACATTGTGAAAAAGGTTGGAAACTGAACAGTAATAATGCAAAGCAAGCAGAGTAAAGTGTAAACTTACGGCAAACACCAGTACATGTACTATGTCAATGAGCTGGTTCATATGCGTACATATCATGCATTCAAGGCAGCATTATTAGATTCACGTTGAGTGGAATTGGACTGCTTTTGGATTCCCTGGCAGTTTCTCAGCTCTGACGCATCTCAGACAATGGCAAAATAGTGGGGGAGAGAAGATTTTTTAAGGAATTGAAAGCAAATGTATTCTTTTATCAGGCATGTAACTTTTCCTCGGATCGGCTGATTTCCTTGTTTTTCACTCCACACTCATGCCAATGAAGATTGAAAAACACTGAACAGTTTTGTAAAGATTGGACTACCTCATTTTTTGTCCAAGTCCAGGTTGCATATCTGTTTTATGGGTGAATAAAAATAGGACGGTCGTTTTTTGGGGGGAAGAAACCACCTTGCCCCCCCATGCCTAAATAGGCCACTGAACTCGAGAAATCTCTGACGGTCTTTCTCTTTTGTCTCTATTAAGCAGTGCATATTGTTTGCATCAGTCTGAAAATTCAAGAAACCCTTGTTGAATTTTGCACATGGGTAAAAAAACCCCAAAAGCTTCTGACCCAAAGCAACTTAAGACCAGTAATCCAGATTGGTTAATGCACAGACAGCACAGATTTCTTTCTATCTCTCTTGTAAACTTGTAATAAAACCTCATGTGTTTGGCAATCAGACCTTTTGGTTCAACTTATCCTATTTAAAGTCAGATTTTCTTTTTCACTGCCATAAAACTATCTCTGTGTATTCATTATGAACTGTGTATTTTGACAAAACCATCCATGTATTTCTCATTGAATAAGCAAGCCTATCTTTGATTGCTGCGAGTGTGTGGAGTACATTGCTGCAAATAAAAAAACATGTATAAAAGTACTTGGAGCACTACAACACTTTCGTTATAGTTGAGTAAATTCTGTGAGCACAAGCGTGACGGGGAAAACTTCTCAAGTAACGAGCAGTGCAACAATGTTCAATTTATATGAGTTTGAGGTCCGCGACAGCGATCAATTATGAGTAGTGCAACAATGGCTGTTCTTAAGTGTTAACGTATAAATCATATTTCAAATGTAAGCTTTATGAACAAATATAAAATGATGAAATACCATTCTAGCATAATTTATATTTAGGTTTAATTAATATGTTGCTGTACAGTGTCCTTTATGTACAACTTGAATATTGCAAAATAAAGATCACAGTTTTAAACATGACAAATCAATTGTAGCATTGTCCTGAAGATTTCAGGGTTTTTCCTGCTGTTTGCACTAGCCATGTGCATAACACATGCAAATTACAGCGTAAAATTTAGAGAATACTTTGTTGAACCAGCATGTTTTGGAAATGGCACCATTTTGCTTTCAGGGGTACAACATTTGATGTCAACATCATTTTTGGACATTTACAAAGTATGCATGTAATGGTATATTCTCGACCAGTTGTGAGTATGTCCTAATTCACTGGATCAAAACAGGTTTCAGTTTACAAAATATCTGAATGTACTCTTTAAACACTGCTGGCTAAAGAATGGCATTAAAAGCCTTGGACAAGTTTGAGTGCCACTGAATAAAAATCAACTAATTACTGGCAGAATGTATTAAAAAATATATATTTACTTTGTAAATACACAGCATTTTCAAACAAAACAGGTTTTTTTGATGTTTAGAGAGCCCACATGTATCTCCGTGCATCATTTTTTACTCATTTGAAGAATCTGGCGGTGGATTTGAACGATCTTGTATCAGTAATCTCTGAGTTCTTCTTGTTCCTGGGGCCACCATGATGGAATTGATGCTGATAGTTCCGTTCGGCTTCCGTCTTCACCAATGACCAAAAGTTTCTTGTCTTGGCTGCCAACGGCAAAACATACCAAGACAGGGCAGTTGGTTAGCGAATATAAATTGATCAATCAAGGAAAAACTTCTTTGAAATTCTTGGGATGGGGGCTCTCATTTCTTTGTTTTCATGAAGTAACAAGTAAAACACTGACAAAGGCAGACCACCATCAGATTGGGACATGGGGAGCACAAGCCATGGGGGTGGGGGGAGAACTCTTGTTTTTGTTATTCATCATTCTCCATGGCTTTTAAATTTTGGTATAAGATTGACCCCTTCTCTTCAAGTCTTACCACTGCGCAACTCGCAGCAATGCCAGGCCACTGTTGCCAAGGTAACCGCGCAATTTGCCAAGGTTCTTCCCAGCTTCAGATATGATCTTAGCTCCGACCTCTGGAGGAGACCTCCCATGACTACAAAGTAAGAAATATTAAAGTGACCTTGCAGCTTGCGATCGCTGAATGAAAGCCTACAATTATGCAAGAATAAAATTACTCTGAATGAGGGTAACCCCTTGCTCCACAATGTTCTGGAAATTTTCAAAGCAGGCTCATCATCGCATGATTTGGTGATAATCCCCTTCAAAATCGATTGGCATGGAAGCTGTCATCTAGAAATGGGAGTGGTCACAGACCTCTCCCTCTAAGACCACACCCACCCCACTCACCACCTCTGACCTGAGTATCTGGATGGGCATGATTCGTTTCCTGGTCACCCCAGTGTGGTGGGTACGGGCTGTGAGCTCTTGCCCCAAGTAGCAGCCCTTGCTGAAACTCACTGGATACAGACAAAAGTATGTCAAAGCGAACTGATTCAAGAAGTAAAAATAACCAGTGTTATGCTGTGTTGAGCCACATACATGTATGAATACAATTTCTTTTAGGGGTGTAATGATACATCAATGTCTCAATGCCACTTTGCAAGACATGTGGCGTACATGTACATTACACCCTTAGAACTTTAAATTTCTATCAGGAAAAAAATTTTTGAACAGGTACAAAGAATTGACAACACAGCAAAACAAGAAAAAACTTTCAGATACAACATAACCATATAAAAAACACTAGTGAACATGGTTACTCTGGCTTCATTACTATACATGTACATCTAGTAATTCAGAAATAAAGATGCTATATACTTTTTAAAGTAAAAAAAAATCAATTTATAAAGAGGAAATAGTCAGAAAATTGTAATGGGTCCTGATCAGATAGAACTCTAGATCTCTAGAACTGAAAACCCAAAGTTTGCCTCACTCACCTCCATTCATGTAAGCTAGATTGGATTCCAGGGGTAGGGCTTCCCCCTGGGGGAGGTCCATCACTCCTTCTGGCACTCCCCACCGGTATCGGTGCAGTGTGTACTCCTCTGGGTCTGCTTCAGTAGAGTCTGGGATGAGGTGGGTCACTGTCGAAGGACAAAGAAAGCAGCAACATTCGTTTTATCTACACGCAGTCTGAAATTACCCCAATTACTGGGGGTTTCCAAAAATCTCTTTCTCTGTCTGGGGCTTCAGGCTTCAAATTTTTAGAATTAAGTCTCAGAGTTCAGCATGTACTGTACATGCACAGACCGACATAAAAAAGAAGCCAATTTTCAACTGAAGGTGGATACATAAACTCATCATGAGGATATTTGCATGAGCGTAACATAACTCTGCATGGCCACAACGAAAATGACGCTGACGTGCCCTCACCCGACAAAAACTCTCACATTTTCAAGGCTAAGAATGCAATGATGCACACAACCCCTAGATAACGCCTAAATGATCTCCCCTGTCATACAAAATGCCACAGTGGTGTCCACTCCGAGCAGGAACAAAATAGGGCGTTTTGAAAGGAAATTGAGTCATTTGGTACGCACTCACTACATAGGCGCATAAGTTTATGCACGTTTGATGCGGAGCACGCCGAGTATGAGCAGCAAAGTTAGTCTTTGTGTGCACGCTGAATGCATTCAAGAAGCCGGTTGGAAAACTTTGTACCATCTGTCTTTCTTTCACCAGTGAGGGTGCACTGCAGCTCAGGGTAGACTATAACCTTGTTTTGTCAAAGGAGGCCAAGTCATTAAATCCTGTATTAACAGGCTGCAGGGGGTATATTATGATCTACTGCACTGCGTGTCTTCATTAAGCTCTGAAATAAAGCATCACTGACTCTGAACCACCAAACACAGGGTACATGTGTCAAGTTTACGACCTCACTGCAATTCTTCCCCCTTCACTCAATACAAAGTTGATTTTCTAGAGGCTACCCAGCAAACTCACACGCCTCCTCCCTCGGAAGAATGGCCCGCCTCCCAAACCCTTCCACCCTTGGGTCCTTCACATCTGTCGGGCATCTGCCACAGTTTGTGGCCTGCATCTTTGGGATGGCCAAGGGGGACATGTCTCCGTCATCCTTACTGAAGACAGCCCACGTCTGGAGTTGCTCATCTGCGCTAGACACTTCAGCCTGTGGGGAAAAACAACAACCAGTTTTCTTCTTCAACTGCAGAGTGCAAGGGAAATTCATGTCAACCCCTTGCTCTATGTGCTACATCCTCCAATTTGTTTCAATAAACACTTCCTGGCTGCAATACATTTGCAGTAGAGACACTCATCATGTAGCAGTCAGTGCCACACTCTTAGGAATTGTCAAGCTAATCCTTTGATGTGCAAGTGGCACCGCCCAACTCCCCCATTTGCTAGTGTAGCAAAACCTCAAAACCTAACAGGCCAAGCTAGAAGCAGTTTAAAGTGGGCCTACATGTGTACATCAATACGCCTTTGGTGAGTTAACTTTGGCCAAAATCTGGTACACTGAGTTCTTTAAATTCACAAAGGAACCAGTCCATTCCAAAGATGGTAGTCACTATGCAAAAGCTTTCCCCGAATCACAAGGTTAGCAACAGTGTCTTTAGCCTGGGGCATTCAAATTGTTATGCTTATGTGCACTCAGATAACTCAATGTACCAGATTTTATTCAAGTATAACTCGCAAATGGCTTATTGGGAGCTATGTTCATGCAGTGGTACCTTCCCTGCCTTTGAAATGCAATCCCAACCTGATTCTGTGGTTTCCCCGGAATGTTAATCCAGGGTTTTTTGCCACCTCTAAAACTGAACATTCTTCACTGTCTACACTTCCTATGTGGAACCACACTGGCAATAAGTCCAAATGCTTTTGTGAGCTATTGTAGTCGGATGCCAAATAAAAATCCATCATTTAGAACTGGCTTCAGTCAGTTGAGATGGATGCAAGGGCAGATAGCTACAATACAAAATTTTACAGAGAAACCAAACAAGTTCTTTTTATGGAGGGGAGACCTAAAAATGTTTGAAATTTTTAAAGCCACCTTTCATGGCCTTCCTGAAAGGTAGAGCTACATGTATACATACATGTACATGTACACCTTGGGCTGTCTACGTGCTTCTGGTCGAAAAAGAAATGAAAAAGACCCTAAAATAGCATTTCTCTAATTACCCCCCACCAAAAGTTATTGGCTCCTTTTGGAGGGGGCATGGCCCAGTTGCCTCCCCTTCAAATTGCCCCTGGCTGGATGTCTGTAAGCGTTGCTGTGCATCGAAAATATGCAGCATACATGTACATGTAGCTACACTGTACTATATGGATGTTTATTGTCAATCCAGTTCGTACCGATAAGTGTGATGTCACTTCAGCTAAAACCTTGCCCACTGCACATGCACTGCACATAGAGTTAAATGCATTGATCACCATTAACATGGAACCATGGTACCGGAAATTAATGCGCAAGTTCAGCGATCATCCAATGGGAGCCTGAAAATCGTGGCGCGTCCACCTTTGTGACGAAGTCAATAACATGCACGAATCGGATAATGTGCCCATGCTCTTGCAACCAGCAAAAACACCTAAACCTAACTTTAGGCAAACGACTTGGACACAGCCCATGCACTGTACAGCACCTGCTAACTTTGAATGAGCCACCATGGGGGGGGGGCACTGTTATTTTTTAACATGTAGTCCGATCAGATTACTTTCACACCATTACATGTACCTTCTTCCTGACTCTGTACATCTTGAGGTGTTTAACCAATTTGTCCTGGACCTCCGCGTCACACTCTAGTAAAAAGCTGGGCTCTTTAGAAGCATCATCCGACACACGGTAGCACATGACATCAAATAAGATTCTTCCCTGAGAAAACAAACAAATATTTTATCTTGCACTGTTTGTACATGTACTTACACACCTTTTAGCTTTTACTTCAGTATGGAAGGTTTTTGTTTACATCCCGGAAGCTAATCTCTTTTCTGGCTTGTGTGGTTCTGAATAGAACCAGTTGTTTAAACTTGACATTTTATACCAAGTACTCTGTCACTGGAACACAGACACATGCAGGTGAACAAGCTTACATGTACATGTATTAAGTAAGTGTTTCTCTCACAACCACACAACTCATACAGGAGCTTAACTTCCATAAAATTGGGGAAAAAAGGGGGCAGTAAGGGAAAAGGAAGTCAGGCAAGAGACTTTTATCGGGCCAATTTTGAAAATTATTTTCCCCCGAAGGGCAATTGGCCTGGTCTGTTACCATGTCCTGGTGATTACACGTGTGCAAGTACCTGGGTGTTTAGGAACATGGCGTACATGGCTCTATTTGCACCCCACATCACTCCAGTATCGTTGGTGACCAACCCTTGGAGGAGCTCAGTCGCGTCAGGCCCAACCACTCTAACCAGCCCCCTCCCTTCGAGCTTGACACACCTCACTCCCCAACCAGAGGTAGCTGCCCGGCTGTGGCTAACATGTCCGGTGCTCACTCCTCGGTGTGGCCCAAGACCAGGTTTGCACAAAGTCTGCTTCATGGCCAGTGGAAGTTGCAAACGTTTGGTAAAGGGGATGCTCTGCATGGAGCATGCCGATGCCCTCAGAAGGAAGGTATTCACGTTTCTTGCAAGAGAGGGCGCAGCCATTGTGCACTCTGGAAAGAAAAATGTTTAAGTTCATTAATTAAGCATGGGAAAAAAGAGATCTGAAGCAAGATTAAACACTTCAGTCATAAAAAAAGATGCATGTCTCAAACAAGGCCATTATTATTCAAAGTATGGTAGACCAGACTGGGTCAGTGACCGTATGAATGCAAACAGCTTGGATTAATCAGCATTTAGTCTTAGGGAAATCCCTAATTTACAAGGTAGGACACCTTAACCTGTTTGAGGTGCTCAATGTTTAATATGATTAAACTGCTCACACTAGCCTACTACATGGATATGTCTTTCACTCTTTACAGTTTGTGAAGATGTGTATCACAGAGTAAAGTCCAAGAGCATTGCTGCTGCCTGAGTTGGCCTAGTCTTCGTTTCTAATTGGTACTGCATTTAATCATTTGGCACAGGACATGAAGAGGAAATGTGAAGTTCTTGCTAGCTGAGCAGTGAATAGGGCTAGCTGAAAAGTTCTGTAATGACAGGTGGGGTCCTAGAATGCTTGTGCAACTGTACATGTAAGGGTATGTGTTACTAGACACGAACGCTTGACAATGTTTGTGTCATCATTCAATCTTATTGCACAGTTCCACCAATAATAATAATAATAATAATAATGGAGATTTGTAAAGAAAAATTAATGAAATACTAATTAAATGCCTGAGCCACGAGATGGATCTTCAGGGATGTCTAGAATTAATGAATGGAGTCAGAACTTCGAATATGTCATGGTAATTGGTTCCATAGGCGAGGAGCTGCTACTGAAAATGATTTATCCCCCCATGAGCTATGTGACCTGGGTTCTGAAAGTAGATATTTGTGACATGATCGAAGCATGCAAGATTGTTTGTAAGGTGTGAGGAGATCCATGACGTAAGAAAGGGCTTTGCCATTAAGATTCTTATAGACAATTAATAGAAGCTTGTAGATTATCCGGTACAAGACTGATAACCAGTGAAGATCTTTCAGAATGGGTGTGATGTGAGCAGACTTTCTGGTTAATGTGACGAGACGCACAGCTGTGTTCTGAGTACACTTGAGTCGATTCAGCTGTTCCTGTAGAAGGCCAAAGAGGAATGAATTTCCCATGTCAAGGCGGGATGTGACAAAAGAATGGACGATTTGTTGAGTGGAGTTGCGGGTAAGATATAACAATCATCTTTTCTTATAGAGGTTATGCATAGTTTATGATTAAGGCAGAACTGGATGGAGGGCAAGGGCTTTATAGAGCATGTATAGCATGACTGGGACTAAGGGAAGACTCATGTAAACCTTTTGTGAATTCATTGCAAGTACATGTACCTGCAGGCCAAATTACAATTTACAAGAGTAGCCTCTAAGGCACTAGTACATGTATTTGCACATGTAAGTTGTAACCTAGCCGGGATGGCAGTTATGGAAGATTGTTTGAAAGGAATGTAGCAGTTAGGCCTAACAACATGAACAAGTAACATGACAAACCTAGGTCTACCGGTACATGTAAATAACTTAACGTCTGACACGATAATGTCTGAGATTTCATGCAGCATCCAAAGTGATAACGCAATGTACTGGAGCTGATTGACTGATTAATCTCGCCAAACATGCCGACCATCGTTTAGGCCTGGATCTAGATAAACACTCTGAAAAGCTCAAAATGAGCATCACACAGAACAGAACTGGGGAGTTGTTCATTCGAACTGAAGATGGTTTTGCAGTGCTGTTTTGAAGCTACATGTAACTTCTCCACAGAAGTTAGAAGTCAAGTGTTTTGGCAGCTTACATGTATTCCAATCTTTTGCCATCTTAGCTAAGAAAGAATGAATGAAGATGGGATTGTGACACAGACAGTGGGATGACAAGTTGATTTGTCTTGCAGCTCCTGGACTTCATTCGTGTGCGAGTTGATGGAGGTTCTTGCAAATCAAGGAAATCTCTTATGTCCAGGTCAACACTGTGATGAATGATTTTGTGCAACATGACAAAGCTGTACCCCCAGAACTGTGGGGGGGGCCGGGGGTAAGTAAACTAAGCTGCTATGTACATGTAGGCCTACCATCTTCTCTGTTGTAGGCATGGTAGGAGGGGAAGTTGGAGCTTTTCAAAGTAGAATTGTTGTAACAGAGCTGGTCCTACTTTGTCTTCAGTGATAGTACGCACTGTACATCCTGATCAATCATGTCATTTATTTGTCAATGCAACTGCAAACATGATGTAAATGTAGGCATAGGCCAAGGCCTACATGTACCTATGCACAGTACACATTGGTAATCATGCCCATCTGGATCTGTTCATTATTGATATCCAAGTGGCTATCTTTACAGTAGTCGTAACGCATTTCTCATTTTCTATCGTTATGGCACTGAGCTGCGCAAGTTCGATGACGTAGTTGATCATCACGATGGTTTATGCATTTTAAAATTACCTCCATCACTGAACGCTTGTGTCCGGGTGGTCAAGGTGGAACCACTGGAACCACTGGTGTGTGAGTTCGAATCCACGCTTGGACTATTTTTTTTTTTTTTTGCCTAAATTTTATGTTTTATACCACAATTGTTTTTTTTATGTTGGTTTCTAAATGTATAGCCCAGGCCTACGCAGGAATCTTTTTTTTTTCTCATCGGAGGCTTTGGAGGATTTCTTTTAAAGGGAAATACATGTAAAGTCCGAAATCTGCTCTGAAGTTGGCGTGCTTGCGCAGTTACAGTGCCATACCGATAGAAAATAGGAGATGCGTTACGGCTGCCATAACAACAGCCACTGCGCACTGATACACCGTCACTTACATCCATACATGTATCAGGAGTCAGAGTCTGTGCTACATACACTAGTGGGGCTAGGCCATAACCTTATCGCAAATACTGCATGGGTGATTTTACACAATGGTAGAAAGACATTGTGGGAAGGAAAAACGAGCAAACATTGCCCCCTCTTCCTTCCCACAATGCCTTTCTACCATTGTGCAAAATCACCCATGAAGTACTGTACATGTACTGTATTTGCGATAACATGGATAAGGCTATGCAGTATGCTTATGGGGTACTGACTACTGTAGGAAGATGATTATACCAATGTTACCGTCGCTGCTAATGCTTACCCCTTACCTTTTAGTCGTCCAGAAGGCCTCAATTATGAACAAGTCACCACAAAAACTAGCAAATGCAAATTGTTCATGAGACTCATGTTATTGCCGTTTTAACAAAAATCAAACTTGCTGGGGCATGGGCACCGGCACATTTACAATGTATTTTTGTTGGCATTGCCAAACTGGAGAGGGCGCTATATTAAAACAATGTTTTGGGGGGCGGGGCAGTGATCGACAACATAGGCTACAAAAATAGCTCCACGGGCAAGGACCACGTTTTATTGGTATCATTGAAGTCAGGAGAATTTTTTCTTTAAAATTTTCTTATAAAATAATGGTATCAAATATGGCATATTTATTTTTTTTTCAGAATGTAATACAAATGAGTAAAGTTCTGTTTAAAATTTCGGCTTTTCTTGAAATACACTCTAAAAAATCAGTGTTAATTCCTAGCTGGATTATTGGTTGGAAAGCACAGGAAAGTTACTTTGTGAATAGCTCTATAAAAGTAATGATCCACTATTCAAACTGTGGCTGTAGCAATTAAAAACCAAAAATTTCTGTGTAAGTCAGTGTTTATTTGAAAAATGCGTCAATGCAGCCGAATAATACTGAATCTATTTTCAGCGGTGCTGCATTGTTTATTAAACGATTTTACCTGTTTTCAAGAGGCTTTCCTGTGCTCAGCAGCATAGCTAGGGGGGATGGGGGTGTATGTCCCCCATGAAAAATCGTCGCCCCACTTGCATATCATGTGATTACGATTATGTACATGTATAAATTATGTCCAACATCCAGTCAGCCCCCCCCCACACACTTTGGCGTGAAGCCCCCGCTTGCCCACCCCGTGCTCGGAATCCTGGGTACGCCATTGCCTGTGCTGCATTTCGTAAGGAATTAAACATTCTCTGTTTGACATCATCAGCAATAAACGCAAATCAACGCTTTGTGAAAATATATGATCCAGCTATTACGTCTAACAAGTATTCATTTGTTTTCGTTAATTTAAGCCAACACCACATTTCCGAAAACATAACGTAAAATTAATGAAACTTCAGCAGAATTGTCTAGCATAATATGTATTCTTTGAATTTTTTAAAAAGTGCAGAAAAGAGATTGCGGATTCTGACAAAAAGCCAATACACGTATTACTCAATTTCAGTTTTCCCTCAAGTTATCCAACAAAATCAACTTATCCAACAAAATGGATCACTTGTATGTGATCAGGCTTGCAGCCAAGACTATTTACAATGCCCCAAAGATATGACAAGTCACAAGCAAGTTATGATCAGTTTCAAAATACGTATATTCGGAAAAAGGCTATATGATATGAGTATTTTCTGAAAAAGAAATGTACACACAATGGAAAAGGATTCAGAAAAATGAATATGATTAGTCTCTGTGCATGCTGCGATGCATCTATTTCATTCTTAAAGGTCCATCCTATAGGACTGCGAAAGATCCGGTCCTAAATTTCCGGAGTGGCATATGCGTAGTCGTCTGCTGGATTTGACCTGGATTTAATTCAAAACAAAAATAAACTATGATTGTCGTAAAAATTCGAACGAGCTATGTAACCCATCTTTAATATCAAGAAAAGTGGACAAATAATTATCCTAGCAAAATCAACACTGGCCCATTGGTCCGAAATGGAAATTAGTGCCTGCAGCCATTCATTTAACGATAACATGCATCTCTGATGAAACATCTGCAGCCGCATAGAGCAAACCACTCATTCTGGAATTTCTTCGAGCAACATTTTGTGTACGCAAGTTGACAGGCACAATTTCTTACGGCATTCTACTTAGCCTAAAGAGCAAAACCGAAATTATACGGTTTGTTTTGAAGTCTCTCTATTCCTCTCACATCTCAAAGCAAATTACCCGTTCTTATATAGCTTGGGTGATACAATGTAATATCGGCTTCTTTATAGTATATATGCTCAAAGAATTACCTTCCAACCCCACTCAACCCTTACCTTTCTCCCTTCCTCAACCCAATCCCCGCAGGCTACCACATCCCTCCGCCCCGCCCCCCTCCCAACAGAGCTGACCGTACCTTGAGACCGGAAGTAAGGGCACAGGGGTCGGATTCTGCTTCTTTCCACTCAGTATCTTGTCAGCCATCATGTCAGCGATGGCAGCATTTTCATACGGACTAGCCTCGGTGCTTGACCGGCCTGGCACCTCTGCCGGTTTGTCCCGTATCGCCGTCTCATACCCTGTAGTGGTATTCATGTCAGCCTATGCAGGGAGCAAAATTAAGCATAAAGAGGTACTGGGCGTCGCACGCGATCTCGCATGCATGCCTGCAGGTTAATGCCGTGGGCCAAGGTTTCTCTGCCTGCGAATGTGATAAAAGCAGGCTTGAAAAAGACAAAGCATAACAGCTAACACACCCATCACGCTTGCATCAAGTAATAGACACTGGAGTGGAAATCTCAATCTCGCGATTTTAAAATGGGAATGCACTTTTAAAGAGCCCTTATTATTTATGCCAAAACAGTTTATATTCTCGCGCTATTATGATAAAATCTGAAAGATGTCAGCATTTTGAGTCGGGATCTCGGTAATCCTTATGCTTTCTCTATGGGCTATTTCACGCGTCAGATTGTAGCATTTCAGCGGGTCCTGATGAGGCCAATTCTAAGTCACAAGCCAAGTCTTGGGTCGTTGCCTACCTTCAGTCGCCGAAATTTTCGGCATGTGATGACAAGGGCAATGATGAGAAGTAATGCAACCACGCCCAGTGCCACGCCCACAGCTAACGCAATGATATTAACTACGGATCAACAAAATTGAATAAACCGTATGAATTGGCTTTTGGAAAAAGGAACGCTTTCAAAATATTATTTTTGCGCACTTTTTCTACATCTATGACCCCCCGTTAATTTCCTTTACAAAAATCGAAAAGTATTAAATGAACACATCAAAGGGTACACTGTTAAAAAGTTGTGTGAACTGTTAGTAAATAGAGAGAAATAGACAGTAGAATGTGCTGTCTCAAAACAGCAACTTCTGTATTAATGCCATTTGACAACAGAATCTGCTGTTATTTAAGAGACAATTTTATAATTTTAATAGTGTAACAAGGTACTTGAGGGGGCAGAGATGGTGATTATGTGTGAAATGTGGAGCCTTGTTCTCGCATAAAGACCGGTTCATACTTGACACGATAGCGAAAGCATGCGACATAGTGACGTCAGACCAAATAATTCGTGCTGCGAATTTGCAGAAGTTGAGTGCATTTGAACGAATTTCGCTGCAACTATTTCGCGGTGAAGCATTTGCTTTCACACTCGTCTAAATTATTATGAAGCAGCCTTTTCGAAGTAGTTTTTAATTGCCTAGTGAGCTTATCGTTTTAGTAAGCTAAAATACCAGGATGAAGTATGCCCTACGCCACGGTTTACAAATAGTGGCTGCCGAAAAAGGAGTGAGTTTCCGATGGCTGCAGGTTGAAAACATGTTTCTCATAAATACATATAGCCTACTGATGCAAAGTTTCATGCTTTTATAGTGCTAATCAACAACCAGAATTAGAAGCCATAACTGCAGTGTCTAAACGCTTGAGCACAGGTGATACGCGCGCGTTACATGCCTCTTTGACCAATAGGGTATCTCGATTTCAGGGGGGTTCACGCCTGCGAAGAATGTGCGTGTGGTGCCGCCGCAGTAATGATTTGATTATTCCATAACAGCCAATAGTGTCACCGTACGGGGAGGAGCAGGTGCTGGTTTGGTTACTCCGGTCGTCACCATCAGCGTCACGGGGAGGCTCTTCCGGCCATCGTAGACAGACACAACTTCGAAGAAGTACGCGGTCCTTGCAGTCAGGGACTGCGATGTGTGGCTGATTTCAATGTAAATGAAAGAAGCATAGAACTTAGATCTCACCAAAATTGAGAGTTTAAAGACATCTGTGCTAGTTTTAAAGATGATGCAAAATACGATTTTTGTTTGCACCAACGTGGAAATTAGTTGATGCTGCCAAGCAAAATAGAAAAAAAAACATATTACGGAGGAATGTCAGTGAACGTTTCAAATAAGTTTGCCAGTTAATTGTCCCCATACCTGGTTCCCGACACCTCCGCGGGCTCGTTGCTGTCCCCCGGGGACATATACACTTCATAGAAGGTGACGTCTCCTTCTGCTGGTGGGTCCCACTGCAGGGTGATGGAATCATCCTGTACGTCTGTAGGGCGCAAATTGACCACACGTCCCGGCCCTGCGCGATGCACATTCAAATAAGAGCTGCTTTCAATTCTTATCACTGCCTGTTGTTTGTGCACTCTTTTTTCATACTTTTTATTTTAGAGGCAGGGAAGACGGATTGGACTTAGCGTTTCTTAAAACCAGACTGTTCCATTTAGAGAAATTCAAAATGAATTGTGCTAAATAAATTCATATTTTTTCAATTTCCTTTTTGGGGACGGTGTCAGGCAAAATGCAAAATATCAATCAGCCTAAGAAAAAAAACCCCGTGATTTTAGCACTTCACGACACTGAAGGAACTAGCTGCATATGGCATTGCATGGCGTGGTCGATGCACCATTATTTTTCCGACTACGTACACCTAGTAGAAAAGGATGAAAATTCTCACCGGGGAGGAGACACTCACTAATACCAAACTGACAAATCCATCAATTGTGGAAAGGGGCATTTGAAGGTACATGTACTCTCAAGAGTGGTTTTTATCCCTTTCTTCATCCCCCTATTTCTTTCCTTATAGTGTTTTCTTTTTTTCCTTTTCATGTTTTCATTTTTTCTCAGAGACGAACCATCTTATGCTGGTCGTACATACACAGTAGCTTGAGCCATGCATTCGAGATTGGTATCTGTGGTCATTTTGGCTTTAGGAAAACTAGGTCTTGCGCATACAGTTTGAACTCACTGGTTTTCTGCGATGCACTGAGCCACAAGCCCAGGTTACTGACGAGTCTGATACTGTACTCCGTGTTCGGCTTCAGTCCCACGAACTGCGCTCTGGCGGGATTCCCTGGGTTGAAGACGGGCAGATAGTTCTCCTCCGCATCCTCCGGTTCGATGTATAGCATGTACGGTTCATTGTCATTCTTGGTATCAGACGTTGCTATCCACGTGATTTCAATAGTTGACTCAGAGCTTCTTGTATAGAGTTTCGACTCCTCCAAAGAAGCTTGAATAAGACATAAAATGTTTCAATTTCGTGGCACGATATGCACAGGTCAGCTTTTGTAAACATTGGACAGAGGAATCATGATATTAACATCTGAGACTAACAAATGCGACACAAACACAAATATGTGGGGTTAGACCAAACATTCGCGTTGCGAATTCCAAAAAGTTGAATACATCTCTACTCAAGAGGATTTCGCGCAGAAATTGTGTGTCTTTGTTTTTTTTTTGGTGTCGTCACTCGCTTTGCGTTTGCCTTCGTCGGAAGAGTGAATCGTGCGATGATATGTTCATACCGAGAAGATTTAATGCCAACAGTGGCGCTTCTTTATGTCTTGATTTATATCCGTAATAACATGTAGAAAATCACAATTGAAATATCAAAATGCTGATAATTTATACACACCTGTCGCAAAATCCTTTGAAATACCATCACCGAACAGGCGCATGTCTCCCGACCCTACAACAGCATTCACCAGAATGAGGTGGGAAACGCCCGGCATGAGACCGCCCACAGTCATCCTGTTCGTCCCGTTGGTAACATACCGGTACTGGTACCCCTCAGCGCCTGTTAGCTGTACCCTGTACTGTTGCACGTTCTGTAAGGTCACTCGTGGCCACGACAATTCGAAGGAGGAGGTGGACCTGGTGCCTGGAATCAGTTTCAACTCTCCATCTGGACTATCCGGTTCTAAAACATAATAACATCGGATCACGTGGGAAAATGAGCACAATAAAGACAAAGAGTGGGCTGAGATTTATCCGGATAAACAGGGGTGGATCCGGTGTTTTCCAAATGGGGGGGGGCGTGATCCAGGATCTTCCAAGGGGGAAGGGGCATGAACTAAAGCAGCAATGGTAAAATGCCTGCGAGCGCTTAGCACAGTGCCCTCACGGCGTGGCGTCCGGGGTCCGTTTAAGGGATTCTAGGATTGGACTGGATTCTTGACGATCAGACAGTATGGCCTTTTTTTTCTTCTCCATCCCTCTTTTTCATTTTTTAAAAAATTTATCCATTTATTTTTTTGGTGAAAGGGGGGGGGGGTGCGCCCCCACGCCCCGTGCCTCGATCCACTACTGATAAAACACACGCTCTTCGGAAGAAATCAGATTTATTCGCAGAGCTGTCGAAATTATAACCAGCTAGCCAACTGAATTCTGTAAAAATTTTGCCATCTCTGCACCAGTAATAACGATTCTATGACTCACCTGTCCACTGTTGCGTTGTACCAAGCGTATTGCCGCTCTTGGTTTCAACTGTAATCGTGTACAGCTCACCAGGAAAAAACCGTTCGCAGATTTGTTTGGTGTTGTAGGTGCTGTCTTCACCTTGCACAGTAACGCTATGGGTTTCAGATTCACCCTATGTAGTTCAAAACGTAATCTAACATTAGTCATAATGGGAACTATTTCTTATGCCATTTTGTCATGCACAATGATGCTAAATTGTTTTCCTGTTTTTATTACTATCTGGATATCAACCCTTAAGAAGAAAGAGTGCTCTTTCATGAAATCATGTAAATTGCCATTGACGATAAATACACAAAAGTTGGGCCAGCAGGTACACATTTTCATGCGTATGCAATCTAAAGGAAATTTCCATAAAACAGTCCAGAAATGGTAGTGGCAGTTTTGTTTATTTCTTGGTCGGAAGGTAAAATGAAAACGCAGTGTGCAATCTGGACTCTATAACGGTCCATTTGGCTCAATGTGGCAGAACAGGTGAACAGCACGACGACAGTAAGTTTGCAAAAGGGAGGGTAGAAATCCATATTTGGTAAAAGTAGACAAAATTTCACCTGGTCAGAGTTTTAAATGATAGTGCTTATGAGGGGTTGCGAAGTATGGGATATAGCAGTCACAAACCTGGCTTGCTTTCCACGATATAGTGTACTCCTGAACTGTTTGGTTTAGTGGCCTTGTCCAAGTAACATCAAAGCAGGTTTGGTAATTCCGCTCACTAAAATCTCCGGTAACAGACACTTTCAATGGGGGTTGGACTGTGGGAAAGAATGGAGAACCGTTGTAGATATAAACATCCACTTCTATCATAGTGTCAGCTTTCCATACAGAGCTTAATCGGTCAAAACTGTGCAACATACGTTTTGCAAAGGAATTTTTGAAGCAGCCTTCCAGTTGCCAGTTTAAGGGCATGGAGGTTTGCGTCCTTCCTCTATGGTTTAAGGTTGTTTTTGATCCGTTTTTGAAGACGTAAGCTTTAACGTTGAAGCAAAAAAATAAACCGTTTGTTCTGTTTTTCAGTTTTAGGCGATTTGTGTTTGTGTTGCAGAGGACGGGCTACATGTAGCCACTTTCGTATCCTACCACAACCAGCAGAGGGCGTGCCAACATTTGCAATAATTCCTTTCGGTTTAGAAAATGCCGTCTCAAGATAGTAATTAACTGACCTAGCTAGAATGAAAAGTAACAGCGTCTCTGACGAGATTTCATGTAGTATGGACCCTGTCACAGGACATATTTCCAAAACAAAACATACCAACCAATACAGGCTGCACTTACATAACACCACAACGGAGAAGGAACATCCAGTGCTATTTGTATTACCAGCCTCGTCAGTTGCATTATAAGTCACCTCCGTCTCTCCCAGGGGAAACTCATCCCCGGACTGGTGGGAGGACGTCAGCACCTGCGTACCAACGCCGTCGATGTTCCTGGCTGTGGGTTCATTCCAGGTGACTTGAGCCGAGAGGGCCTGTAGCTCCCACCGTACACTGTCGACGTTGATAACCTTGAGTATTGGCCCCTTGGGGCAGGAGGTGAAATACGGGGGGTTTCCGTCTGAGAAAACGAATTATTTTTGGTCCTGATGTAATTCACATTGTGTCTCCAAGGAAATGGGGTTACGCTTAGCTCTACGTACTCCGCACACACGTGACGTGAATTTATTGCATCTAGTTAGTGTGGTTCCCAACATTACGCGGTTTTATAATCAGTTTTCTCCGTTGGTCTCGGAGAACTGTAATTGGGGTAAATTAATTTTGTGTTTGAATTTTTAAACTAGTATTGAAAATGCAGCCTTTTGTACACGTGGAAAAGTCAGATATTGGTACAAATAAAAATAACATCACTGTCTTTCAATTAAAATTTTATTGTAGGTTGATTTCCACACATGTCGGGATCAGTTTACTTTATATCGCAGTTATTTTGTGTGTTTGAAATGAGAGCAGTTAGTGGTTTTGCTAATTTAATAGAGGGACGCATAACAGCAGAATGCATGTTTGATCTTGATTACGTACCGGCAATGGTCACTCGAAACGAGCACTGCCTCGTGTTTCCTGAAGTATCTGTAGCAGTGCAGGCCACGTCAGTGGGGCCTATCTGGAAGGCGGTGCCGCTCATTGGGTCGCACCTTGAGCTTGAAATTTGCACGTTATCATTCGAATTGATTTGCAAGTTGACCACGTGCGTTAGTTCTCCAGGATTGGTACTGTCGCGTATATCAGATGGGCATGAAATTGTTGGTAGCACATCGTCTGTGGTGAAGAAATAATTACAATCAACTGGTTGCATGTTTCAGTGGCGGATAGGGACAGCCGTGCCCCCTCCCACTAGAAAATTCTTTCATTGAGAGAAACGCAACTTTTTTGGTCTTTTCCACTTTCCTTCCGTCCACAAGCGCATATAGGCCTAAAGTCCCAAAGTGTGGCACCACTCTCAGAATGGCATACAAGGTTACATGAAAAGGTTCCCATCTGTTGCCCCCTATAAACTTTAGCCTCCTCCAGAATTGGTTCTGGATCCGCCCTTACCTTGGCTGCATTTACTGGTCAAAGTAATGACCGCCCTCTGAAGTTAAAATGCAGACATAATTATTTCTAACACTCCTATCCATAAAGCACGCCTATTGCATTCCGAATTCAAATGGCGTTAGCTCAGAATTCTATATGCTGACCGCAAGCACAGAACGCTGGCTTTCAAACGCAGTGCCGAGGGGCTAAACAGAAAGGCGTGGTATTGGGTCGTTGTTTAGAACGAAGTTACAAGGAAGGGGGGTGTAGTAACGTGAACGAAAACAAGTTAGCCAAGTCGTCTCCTGCCGGCACTGAGTCTGACACACCGTCGGTGGTAACTGTAGCCGTCACGTGCATGGCTCATGGCCGCTTCTTTATTTCATGAAATGAGCCATTTTGAATAAAGACCTCTTTTTTTAGCTTCGTGTCTAGTTGGTCAATCAAAACATTTGCAAGCAAGGACCATCGGCTTTTAAAGAATCTTTTACACGAGTGCACAAACCCTGAGCCTAGGGACGAATTTAGGGTAAACCTTTTTACACAGCATACTGAGCATTCTCGAGATCAGTGAACGGGGTTCAAGAGAAAAGACTTGTTTCTGTACACCCTTGAGAGTCGTGGGGAAATTGACAGGTCCCTTGTAGAACTTGACAAGATAAATTTCAAATTCTGACGCTTTTATTTTAATAGATCCACGAAGAATAGACAAAACGGCTCTTAAACAGCCCCTGCTGAATTACATACCTTTGACGGTAACAAAGAACGTGCAAGAATTTACGTTGCCAGACACATCGTCCACCATGCACGTTACCGGAGTCGCGCCAAGCGTGAACGCTGAGCCGCTCGTTGGGGTGCAACTGGGTTCGTTGTTGACACCAACATTGTCGTTGATCACTATTTCCAACCTATTCCAACTCGACACAGCAGGCTCACCAGCACTCAGTGGTCGAGTTCTATTACTGGGACACATAATCGAGGGTTTCTCGTTGTCTAAATAAGAGAAAGAAGGGGCGACATACCAAACATTTCATTGCCATGAAGCATACATTTTCAATAACAGAGGATCGTATTGGTTTTTTTTTCAAGCTCGTTTATATGAGATGTGTTTACAAAGTTCCTTTTTACGAGATGTATAAATAAAACAAACCTTGAAAAAAATTCCTCAAAGTGAAATTTTAGATGTATCTCCTGAAAAGATTCTTTTTGAAAATAGAACTCTTGTGTTTGAAACGAGACTCTTAAAAGCGAACGCGAAAATATCAATCAGTTACTTTTTTTCAAAACAGAAACAATGTTTCGAAAACGTTAGAACCTGTAACGGCGATTCTTTACATACATTTACTTCACGTTTTGAAAATGTACATTTCACATAAGAAAAAATACATACTTCATGGTACTAGTGGGCTTTCGTTAAATTGAGAAGTGATTCACACCAAACACCTTGTAAATAAGAATATAACAAACCCACAAAAAGGAAACTTGTGTTACATTATTCAAACATTTTGCTCGTATCTCTTCTGTTACGCACTGATTTTATAACCCATTAGCCACATAATTTATCTCAATAACATTCATTCCGCGTGTGTATGCTAAAATATTCCACTGAAGTAACAATTATTCCATTCTGTGCTGTTCCAATATTAAATGAACCAGCAGCAAGTTTCTGTTGCATATTACGCACTAAATTACATTATATACCCACTTAATTACAATGTAAGGACTGTTGGTTACAGCAAAGTACAAGTACGGTCTAAAAGGCCGTTTCACACGTCAGGCTAACACAAAAGCAAAGCAAATTTTTTAGGCCTACATCGTGGAATGTTTGCAGCGGAATTTGCTTCAGTTAAATTGTGTTCAACATTTACGAATTCACAGCGTGAATATCTTGATCTGACGTCACAAAGTCTGTCATGAATCGGACACTGCACCAAAGTCCTGCTTCACTGCAGTGAGGTCTGGTCGATGGTGGCAGCCGTGGACAGGAAACTCGTACGACGTCATGACCAATTAGGAAATCTACGGTCGGGCCAGCAACCACCAGTCCGCGGAGTACGACCATCCCCGGAGGAGGGGATTTCAACTCCGCGGCCACATCGCCACGTCTTTCTGACAGAGTTCCAGCACATCTTGCTCGCTGCTAGCTGTAAAAGGTCCCTATCACACGACTAGGGCGCCGCCTTCGTGGCCACCCCGACTTACCTCAATGCAGCAGGTCGCACAGGTCTGCGATGTCACGTCAAGTCACAAAATCGCATTAATTCTGTTCGCCCTCAGTATGAATATTACCGGCCTATTGGTTGTGCATAGATTAATTTAAGATTTTACTGTTAAATACGACATAGCACATACCTGTTACAAGAACAGTGAATGTACAGTTTGTGTTATCTGTTTCATTGTGGCAAGACACGACATTCTCTCCCACCGGAAAGCTACGGAGCAAAGTAAAGAGAAAAATCAATTCCTGTGTATATTTTTGATTCATTTTGATGACCGAAACTAGGTCCTCCGCCATTGTTCAATTTATCAAAATGCATGTGATCTTTGGTGTTAAGTCCGTACCCTTTAAAGGCATGTGAATAATTCAGAAAAAATTATTAAAACATCGCAAACTTGCAACGATTTCCGAAATCTGTTATTGTACAGGCAATTTATCAAAATGCGAGCAAAATGAATATGTTACCATTTAAATCTTAAGCTTTGGAGTGCAGGTGTGTAGTTGGGACAAACAGTTTGCAAGATTTAGGGGAAAAATTGATATGATTTCCATTCTTGGGCTTATTTCGTGTTGTCTTTCGAAATCCGGATACTTCAAGTTGGGGAATAAGGATTGAAACTTAATATTCAGCCAATTAAAATTTGAAGGAAGAAAACATCACTTACTTATTGGTACCAGTAATGTTACACGAAAAGTTTTGGGAATCCGCAGGCAGAATAACAGTGGCGAAAGACTGTCCCGTGTTTGTGTTCTTTGATATGTCTGCCATACACGTAGCAGCCTCAACTACCAAAAAAGCACAATGCGTCATTCTTTCAGGAACCACCGCTGATTCATTAGATCTTTCCTTATCTGAACTGAGAAGTAAAGAGTGCTTATTCCTCTTCTGGAGCTCTGTAATTCTGTAATCCTTAAATCCTCAAATGCCACAGATAAACCGTCATATTGATAAAGGTGATTATTAGAAATCTTCAGGCTGATCCACAGAAATCGAAATACCATTTGGTGCCTTTGATAACGAACAACAACCAATTTATATGCACAAATCAATTAGTGGTTACACAAGACAGCTCTTCGACAATCTTGGATCAGTGAAAACACTAGTTGTGTAAGTCAGGGATAAAATTGATGAACAAAATTTACTACAACAACATCTAGTACATTTTTATCAATCTCTAACGACTGTTTTTCGTTTTGTCAACATTTGCTTAAAAGTATTAACTCACCTTGGCAAATCGGAACCGTCACCACAAAAGAAAAAGCTATTAAGAGATCGAACGACCTCATTGACATCCCAACGGCCATCTTATATCTGTGTCTTGTCAAACATGTAACAGAAATGGAATAGAAAATGTTCTTGGTTATTTTCAGACCAGAGCCACCGTTCAGAAGCAATAAGTCAGTCCAAGTCTGCTGAATTTCATACATATACGTTAGTGCTATCTGTACTTAAACTAAGTTGCATTAATATTGGTATACACAATCCATGAGGAGAGTCCTTATGCATGATTTCCCACTGTATTGCATTTTCGTGTAATCAGTCACATTGTACCGCGAATGTTGTAATTTTTAATTTTTTAAAATAGTTACTACGAACGACGTTTCCTGGGACTAAAGACATAATAATTTCCCAATTTTGTCTAAATTTTCTGAAGTGTATATTTTTCATTTTGATTTAGAACAATGTTTCGAGGATCCCCAAACACTAAATGTCCCAAATAACGCTTTGTTGCATATTCAATTTTCGCCATCATCCCCTCTCCCAAACAAAGTCTGTAAAAGGAAGTTATATGAAAAATTTGAAAATGAACGATTGATTTCATTTCTGTCCAGCAAATCTCATCTTTTTGTTCAGATGTAATTAGACCAGCTAGTTAGAGCAAACATTCCATCCAGTGGACCCCTATTTAAATATCAAGGCCTGCATAGCCCGGAAATCACCTTCCTGCACCCAATTTTCTTCATGCAGTCATGCTTACATCAAACATTATTTGTGCCGTAATAGCGGCACACATGCAAATGTGGAATACTGTTGGCCAAAGGAGAGTGCACACAATACCCGCACGTGGGTGTACACTACGCTTGAACGCCATTCCTAACATCGTTAGAATGCTGCACTAATAACAAAACGTCCGAATAAGTTGATTTATTTGATGGGTTTTCTTTCCTACATGTGTCTTATTGTTTGCTTCTCTCTTTTGTCACTTTATTTCCTGACGCAAAATATCCAAGAAATAGGAAGGACAGGTAGAAGCTATAATTAAAGGCCGCCTACAAACCGTGGGGAAAGTTGCACTAGAAATATGGGTGCCAAAATTCGAAAAGTTTGCTTGGAATTCACATCGATGTTCATATAACCTCACAAAATATGCACATCAATGAATCACATATTCTTTGTAACAAGGGCAGAAGAACCAACAATATAAAACAAATACCGGTGGCAAATCCTTGGTTCACTGAAGAAAACAAATAAAACTACTGCATATAATCATTAAAGCAAAGGATGGGCCTACTAAGGCACTGCGCAGTATGGAGTACTTTGTCAATATACGTTCACGTTGCACGTTGTTGAATCGGGAAACTGTCTGAGATATTATGAATCATTGATAAAAATCAGTTTGGAGAGTTAAATTATTGGAGAAAATAAGAGAGAAACCCACAGAGCTAAGCTTAAAGTTTAATATCGTGCTCCCTTGGTCCCACGTAGTTCTTATCCCAACACTACGGTGGCCCACAACTGTCACGGCAAAAACAAAAGGGTCACGGCAAAAGCAAAAGCGCCACGGCAAAAGCAAATTTCTCACGACAAAAGGAAAAGTGCACTGGCACACGCATACACGGATTGCAGGGAACCATGGAGTGGAATGCTATTAAGTGTACTGGTCAGTACACCGGTGAGGTGAAGTTGATTATTATTGCATGAACACCACACGTAACAGTAAACCATGTTTTGCAGCAACTGCGGACACGACAGAAATGTGGGCAATTTCTGCTCCAACTGTGGACAAGGTTAGCTTTTCGTCGTCTTCGTTTGTTGTGCTTGATATCTATCTATCTAAGAAGACTAAAGCAATATGGGCTTTGTAGAAGGAACCCCGATGCATTAAATCACTTAAATGACGTTCCGGAACGTATAACAAGAAATTATTAAAGTGATATTTTTCATGCATGTACATGTGCGTTAGTGCACCCCCACCCATAAACAGAAATGCTTACGTAAAGGGATCAATGTGTAATTTTTCATACAGGCAAATGTGTGATATTTCATGTAAATGTACGTCACTGCTAAATATAGTACAAATAGTTCGTCGGAAGTCAGAAGAAAACTGTGTGGCGTCGTTTTTTGCCTCTTTCTTAGCATAGTTATTAATTAGTACAAAATTATTTAAAAAAAAATTAAAAATGGCTACAGATGGCTTACAACCATTCAGAAAGATATGGAAAATGATAAAAGGTGTACTGGCAGTCATTTACCGCTACCATGCACAATAATGAGAGATACGTTTTTATGATACTGCTCCTGAGTCCGTGCTTTGTAATGTATCAGTGTACCCGCGAGGGTTTTAAATGTTAGGTCGAGTGAACATGTACTGCACTGTCTACCGGTAACGCAGTGCACACTCGCGCTTCATTACATAATAGGCCTACATGTACAGTACTAGACTGAGTCCTAGCCATTTGTTCGGTATGTAGTGGCGTTTGCTTTTCAGTTGCCCTGATGCTTTGCTTTTACCGTGGCGCTTTTGCATTTGCTGTGGCCCTTTTGCTTTTGCCACTACCCTTTTGCTTTTGCCGTGAGGGATTTGCTTTTTGCCGTGGGGCTTTTCCTTTTGCCGTGACCCTGTTGATTTTGCCGTGACCCTTTTGCCTTGACAGTTGTGGGCCACCGTACAACACGGATCTGTAACTTGATCTTAACAGTCAGCATCAAGCCAAGAAAGAACGCACCATTGTCATGTACGCCGTTGCATACCACACCGACATTCTGACCTTGGCTGTTGGTTTTCTTATCCTTCCAATGAATAAGGCTTACACTGGAAAACGGAAGGGTCGGTTAGGATGAGGGAGGTCAAGGGATTTGGATATGGGGCGAGACGTGGTGAACAATGCGTGAAATTTACCGATTTTCTTTGGAATCTTGAATAGTTCCAACAAGTGAACTTACCATTACAATATGTCGACACACTTGTCACAGGAATTAAGCAACCGGACACAAAAGAGCAAACAATAACATGTATACCAACAACACATTCTGATTAAACTACTGAGGTGTTTGTTGTCATTAGGAACGTCCATCGACGGCTATTACAGACTTAAAAATATGGCACAGAAATTTGGAAGATAAAGATAACTCACCAAAGAATACTCCAGACCGTCCAAACTCGAATCCGTAGCTAGTCTTCGCTGTGTATGACAGCGAAGCCAACTGAAATTACACAACCACTGCCACTTGGTTAGAAATTGGACTTGTTAAACTTCCTCATCCACTGCATTACGTGAGCAGTTACTGCAATAAGTTCTCAGTGAGTGATTCCAGTCTGTCATGTACCGTCCGTAGCTCGAAAACAGAGTATTGTTATTCAAACTTTGTCGCGAACTGAAAGGTCACATTCACGGGTGGCTGATCAGACGCTTTTTAGACAGAAAATGGAGTTGTTAAACTTCCTCATAGAACGCATTGCATTAGCAGCTCCTGCATTCTCAGTTAGCCATTTCAGTCAGTTATTACACCGTGCGCAACTCGAAAACAGAGTATTTGTTTACTATGCAAACTGCGTCGCACACTGAAAGTTCACACTCAGAGGCTTTTTAGATACTGAAACGGACTTGGTAAACTTCCTCAGACAATGAATTGCAGTACCAGTTCCTGCATTCGTAGTTAGTCATTTCGCTAATAGTCTGAAATGACTTGCTAACAACGAATCGCTCTCTGATTTCTTTCTGTAAAGTCTCTGGTCAGCCACACGTGAGTATAGGGACTTTCAGTGTGCGACGCGGTTTGAATAACAAATAATCTTTTTCGAGTTGCCAGCGCGGACAACTTTTACAGGAAATGGACGGTACTATGAATGAAAATTTCGCGTTCGGTTATCAAAACCACGTGGGTCTATAGTTTGCCGTGGAGTTGGAGTCTTCTTCGTGATCGATGTTTACCAAGTGAACTGTTGGATTTCTAGCAAAAAAACCTTTTCTTTGTGTTATCCATTGTTATCACTCTAAATTATTGGTTTAATCTCACTGGGTTTACAGCGACTTTGGGATGTTGTAACATCACAGGTTATCTAAGCAATTTAATCGTCACATAATGTACTTCTTCAGCCTGTACAAAACTGACTTATCTCTTGCAAGGAAACTGTGTAAGGAATAGCAATTATGCTGATTTCACAAGTCAGTGTATTTATAACATAAGCAAATACGGGACAGAATTCGTCAAGTGAAAAGCGGCACATTTTTTCTAGTTTCTAGGAAGAGTATTCGTCAATCTGATGCTAGAGTTGTTGACACCTGCAGCATACGTAGCACAGAAACGACGTGTGAATAGTATCCGGTATTGGGCGCGCGGCGTTTTAAGAACTATTACTTTGTGCGGGTTCACAACACGGGTTTATTACTATACCTCACGTTTGAACCATGACTGAATGATATGAACACAAATGATCCAAAGAGGTGGTCTCACAGAGGAAACGTCCGGATTTGGTCTTCAAAAACCTAAACAGGCTTTTCTGAACACTATGCAACAAGGTGCTAAATCAAGACGCGCCCAGCCTGCTTATTGAACAAACTCTTAATTTCACAGCACACAGTGGGCATTTACCCTCCTAACACAAAACACAATAGCACTGTTTGGTTGTAATTTCACGCAAAAAGTACGGTGTGATGTCCTGTCAGGTCTATGAAGATGGAGATCACGGATGCACCGCAGTAACAGCGTCTATATGCTTGCATAAATCTGTTTTTTTTTACATACTTGATTTAAGCGTTCCTATTCCGTTTGTCTAGAATCTGATAAAAAGGGGGAAAATGAAAAACCCCGTCATAATCGTCATTACGAAACTTTAAAATGCAAATATTAACAAAATGTAGTGTGCATTTGAAAATTTTACGAGTGTCATCGCTAGGTTTGAGAATATTTCAATTGTCAACACAATTCTAGTTTGATAGTTCAAGCAAAACATGGGAAGGGAAAATAACATGTACAAAATTTACTAAACAAACTTTTTTTTTTCGAATAAACTCTTTCCTCATGTTAGGACTTGATCTACTTGTCTCTTACATCCGTTTTTTGCTTACAGCCAAAAAGAATTTAACGATACCCAATCTAAAATTTAAGTACTGAAATTACGATTACGCTAATTATTGAAGCACACTTAATACTACATGTAGGCCTATATGTTGTCGAGTTCTCAGTAAGTCAACGACCAGCAGAAAGCACTGCTGTATATCATTTCGTTCAATAATGTCTACATATTTGCTTCTGGCAACCTGACGAATGAAAAATGCAGCAAGACACAGAAGCCTTGGCCTATTATTTTTGTCAATAAAGTGCAATGGCGTAGCACAGCCGTCTTTTCAATCCGGTGGCACACTTATCGTGCGTTCGTATAGGTTCCACAGCGAATCTTGTGTCTTCTTGGAAGGCATGTGACTATTACTACAAGTGTAAAACAGTAACATTTAAGCTTTCCGTGTAACCAATTACTTCAGCATTTAAGGAGCAATTGTAAGCAAGTGTAAAACAGTAACATTTAAGCTTTCCGTGTAACGAATTACTTCAGTATTTAAGGAGCAATTACGTATGTGAGGCATTTCTTTCAGAGGTCAAGAGGTAGCACCTCGCTTGCCCTGTTCCTGCAAAAGAAAAAAAAATGAAAGGAAATTAACATGTAAATTTCAGTACAATTAATGATAAATAATAATACCGGTTTCGTAGTGTCAAAAACAGTCCATTTGTCGTAGTTGCGTTTTTATTCCACAGACTTTCTCAGGAGGCTACGGCGGTTGGAAAAATATCTTGTGGGTCAGAATTTGTTACCGGTGCTCAGAACATTACAGTAGGCCTGATTAGATTTGCGTGAGTCCATCTATGGTGGAGTAATATCACTGACAATTCTAACAGCTTTTAATTTACTCGACAAATTTCCTGAGGGACACTAATTAAAGATTGTTTGATTTCTGACTGATCAGCATTTATATGTAGCGATGCATTAAAGAAAGACTGGGTTTAATTAGGTGTGGTATCAGCGGCGTATCCAGCTTTTGGTGTGGGGGGGGGGTAAATTCAAAAGCGAAGGCGTCTTCGGGCTCCCCAACATGATGTTGGGGAGAAACAATATCAAAAGCCTTACTCGCCGTCCCGAAATCCTTGCTTTTACTTCACCTTTACTTCGGTTTTCTTAGAGTTTGGGTGATAACATTAGATAAATAAATACACCAATTACTTTCTCACCTATGAAGTATTCTTAGTAAAAAAAAAATGAGGGGGGGGGCGAGTTGAACCCCCTCCCCCGCTGGATACGCTACTGTGAGATATTATATAACCGACATTCCCCGAAATATTCTCTGAAACAGATATGGACGCTTTTTTTCCCCTTTCCTCACACTTCCGACTGGACGGCACCGGGAGGGCGACTTTGTTCCTGCTCTTTGGTAGCGGTTTGAGTTCGTGGCCCATCACAGCGTTCTGGTAGGCCGGGGCGGTGGGAGCAAGAGGGTTCGGGAGGGTGCTTGGCGAAGCGTTTTCATACACGTCATCGCTGTCTTCCGTTGTCATCTACAAAATTATTCAGACAAAGAGGAGACAGTCACAGCTGTTAATACCAGACGCAATTGCTAAACAGGACAGAGCCACTTTTAACTCAATGGAGGGTGCAAACAGAGCCACCAAATCAAAGGGCATTTTTGACAAAGAGAGGCGAACATATCTTACCTATTACACCATTTTCTCTTCCTCCCGACTTAAAGACAGTAAAAATCCACCCCAAAAACAGTACACGGACGGAACCATCTAAAACACACATTGTTATGGATCCTCCCTTGAGTGGCGCTTCCCAGGCACATAGTATGGGGCAATAACATTCTTTCATCAGGAGAATCACAGCACACAAAAATTACTGATACGAAAGTTGCTTAACCGTTTTGGTTACATGCAGGCAAGTGCCAGAGAGGACCTAAAGTGCCTGTGCCCCCAAAATGCACAATTTACATGCCCTGAATTCCTGTCGTTGAAGGTTTATAAAATTGAAGGGTTGTGAGCTTCAACTTGGAACGTGTCCTCGTCTTTCTGAGACATTTTTGGTGAAATTGGAACTTAAAATGGTTCTGTTATGCAATGAAATGCAGAACACATTTCTGAAACCGTCCAAAATTATAACTGAACTTCCTTAATTTGGCTGACTGCTGAAATACGACTTTAGGATGATTTGTTATAGGTAGTGGCTATTTTGTACCATTGAACGCAACAGCATTTTAGAATTACATTATTACCACCTTGCATTGAGAAGGAAGGGGTGACAGTTCTTTTGCTACTAAAAGTGGACTGTTGTTTCAGGGAAAAAACATGCCCAGGCCCCAGGCTTTGATACACCTTCATTCATAGGGTCTTAGTTAAAGTACAGCAAACAGATGGATATTGAATGGGCGTTGATGCTTTTTTATTGTGAAGGTGGCAAGTTACGGTAAACCTTTTACTTAAGATGAAAATTCCCAGACGTTAACATTATAAAATGCAGCGAATGGTTACCTGGTAGCGGCGAGTGTCTTGGTCCTGAATAGTTGCGTTCGAAATCTTCTTCTTTACTCTGGAACTACCAGCAACTGAAGTTGTTTCCCCTTTGCCTTTCTAAAATGCAGAACATTGTCGATTTCTCTCTATTGGCTGTTTGAACTTTCAGATACTGATGATGGTGCGAATGGTTGGCAATAATTAAATGCTTTTTTGTAGGGGGGGGTGATGCCAGAACTGATGTTCATAGAGAAAAAACAATCTACTGGTGAGGAAGAAGACAAGAAGTAAACTATACACTTGATTTTGGTTACAGGGGTAATTATGCACATAAGGCAGACAATTGATTACAATAACGATAGCGTGTATGACTACAATGACACCGGTGATGAGAATGACCTCGACGGTGTGGACCGGGGTTGTCGTCAAGTCTATCACAAGTCAACGTTTAAGACCTCTTACAGGACGAATCACAAGATCAATAACACGGAAACTGAAAGAGCTGCAACAGAAGAGTCCTGTTGTCACAGTTTATTTGAAAAGCTTGTGGCTTGGCATCAGACTGTAATTTAATAAGTCTTGCACAGATGCCAAGGATGGCCAACGTGACAACCACGCAGTAGTCAATCTCCCCGCCTCTTTTCCTCCTGTTTCTTACCTTCAGCCTTCGGTACTTGAGGTACAGGATGACCAAGCCGATGGTTAAGACAATGGAGAGGAGACCCAACACAGCAGAAAAGACTATCGCCGGAATGTTAACTGTGTTCGATCCAAACAGAAACAATTATTGCCCATCTTATCGAATTGCGTAACATTTACACCGCAATCTGAAATTATCGAGACTGTCTCCAAGATTTTAAAAAGACAACAAATTTCACTGGACGCTACAGTCTTTGTTAATTAAAGAATGATGCAACGCAAACCTCACATGACGAAACTTCGGGAAAAATTATGCCCCATCTGCCAAATTCCACTTTTAAATTTTACATTTAAGGAGAGACGACGAAAAGGTTGAAATACGTTGATTTGAAAGGGCGAGGGAAGCGTTCAAGTCATTTGTATCAAAGAATCTCCACCTGTTTCTCCGACTTAAACCACGTCCCTTCCTCCAATACTGTCTGTACTGCACAAAGGGAAAAACGTTTTCGGGATTAAAAGTCCGAGCACAGGCGAGGGCATTATTAGCATTCAGTCTCTCGAACAAGACCAGCCAAGCACATATTTATTCCCGTTCAAAAATGCCTTTTTTAGTCCGAGAGTTAAAAGAAGTCAAAATAAAAATTAATCGACCATCAACGTCTACAATGTCTAAAACATTGTACTTAAGAGCGTTTCTTACTGTGTTTGACGGTGTAATTCAATGTCACAAGCTCTTTTTCTGTGTCTGTCAAGTCAAGTTTCTAAGAATGTCCAAACTGTACATTTTTAAAACAATTTTTAAAAATTAAAGTTTTATTTTCTTTAATCATTTCAAGAGTGTACAGTTTATCTGTACATTATTATGAATAACAGACACTTTTTGAAATAGATTGACGTCACAGGAGTGGTTTAAATTGAAATACCAGTAACCCAGGTTAGCCAACTTAGTCGCTTCTTAAATTACAGCTTTGTAAACTAAATAGCAAAGCTACAAAGGAGACATTGTGATTCTTTGTTATCATACCAAGATTAGAAGCTTCTGCCTTTGTCACTCCAGCTGTAACATGCAGCGTCTGAGGAACGCTCTTCGCGTTATCGTAGACAGACACAACCTTGAAGAAGTACTCAGTCTTAGCTCTCAGCGATGAGAAATGACAGCTGAAATAAGACGAAAGTATCAATAACATCTTCATTTCTGGTTTTTGAAAAAGACTTAATCACTGAAATGTTAATAAATGACACTCATTTAAGTTTCCTTTTAGACAAGTACCAAAACCCTGTAGAATTCACCTTCATTTGCAGGATACGCACGTTAAAAAAGACGATTCATATTTTTCTAAAAGTATTTACGATTTTTTAAATTTTCCTCGTCTGTGCGCTCATCGAAGAAATTAGAGCTCAGGTATACCCCCCTTTGATGCAGAGAATCACAGATTGGTGTCTTCAATTTCACTTCGCATACTACACTTTGACTCTTAATTTGTGTATGAAGAACGAGCCTGAGAATTCGCTGTTCCCTGGCTATGAACGTTTCCTCTATATTATAATGTAAGAACAACCTGGACTGCGAGAGCTAAGTTAGGCCTGTCTCCGACTTAACGCAATTGGGCTAACTAATATTGTTGGGACAAAACAAGGGCCCTGGTCATGGTACCTGGTACTCGACACTGTGGTGGGATCATTATCCTCTCCCGGGGAGATGTGTACCTCGTAAGAATCGACGACGCCCTCTGCTGGAGCATCCCACTCCAGGGTGATGGCGTCATCTCTCACTAGCGTGGGGCGGAGGTTAGCCACACGCCCTGGCCCTGAACGGGACACAGATCCGTGGAGCGATTATGTATAAAATGTCATCAAATGATATGTTATCACTCCTGATGATTCTGTTGAAACATTTTTTCATGATTGCGAAGGACTACAAAATCATAATCTAGCCGCACTACTAGCTTGACATTTTTGTGTCATAGGAATTATTTTAGGTCAGCTCGCACGATCTTGGCCAGAGAGCACAGGCTCAAAAGGTCTGTGAAGCACATCATTTAAGCAGTACCTATATATTGCAAATTTTTTCACTGATTGTATCCCAAAGCCAGGCTCTGGAGTTCTTATCTGTAAACCTTTGACCTACCCTCAGGTGTTCCCAGATATGGAACACAAGGATTGATCGTCTGGGTATACCGTGATTGACTTTGAAAGTATTTGCAAAGTTCTAAAAATCTTTCGTCAGGGGATTGTGGGACGTGGAGCCTGGGCCAATTCCTCCTGATAACACATTTTTGATTGATCAAACGTCTTGTAAATACCCCACGGATGGAAACACTCACTGGTTTTCTGCGACGCACTGAGTGACAAGCCCAAATTACTGATGAGTCTAATCTTGTACTCAGTGTTCGGCTTTAGCCCCACGAACTCTGCCCAGGCGGGATCCCCCGGACTGAAGACAGTCAGGTAGTTTTCATCCGCGTCCTCCGGTTCGATGTACAGCATGTACGGGTCCTTGCCATTATAGGTATTGACCTGACGGTGCCATGCCACCGCAATGGTGGACTCAGTGAAGTTGTACGCCAAGAACTCGCGATCGCTTAACGACGCTGGAAAGAAGGGTACCGTTCAAATTTTTACACAGTGTATTTTCATTCCATGACCAAAGCTTGCCAGATCATTTTCCTGATAGAGAGTGTGCCCCCTTTCGTGATTTGATTTTGATTAGGATCACAGATATGGGTTATATCTGGATCACAGATAATGGAATACATGTAATGCCTAGATATGGGTGGAGTTGGGGGATGGGTTGGGGAGGATAGGTTGGCGGGGGTCAGGGAGGATGGTTGTTGATTCTGTGTTTTTCAGTAACGCAGAATATATTCAGTTTTGGCCTGCATGTGACCCCATAAGCGGTACGAACGAGACAATCTCTTTCAAGCGAATAGTACCGATTGTTACAGCCAGGCTTCTCCTTTGACTTTCAAGGCGTTCGTCTCTTGAACCAACTACTGCATATACGGATGCGACAATGCTAGTGCCGGGACGGAGACTGTCCACCATCAGCCGATCTGTTGTCTTCGACATGTAGCCCAGATCTAGAGTTGAGGTGTACCCTATATACAAAGACACCCTGTATTGTTCTAAGTTCTGCAGGCTCACTCTCTCCCATGTCAGCTCCACGGAAGTTGATGATAAGGTGCCAGGTACCACGCTTATATGATTTGGGGCACTCGGTCCTGTAGAGAAACGGCATAAATGAAAGAGACTGTAACTAAGTTGGCACTAACAATGTCCCTCCTCCACTGACCAAAGTGGTGTCATTAAATTTCCACGTTCTATTTTTTCCACTACAAAATGAGTAAAAAACAGTGCCAACGTTAGACACTGTCCAGGCGGGGGTCTGCAAAGGTAATTTTCCGACAGTCACCGATACACAAACTGCAAGAAGGTTTTTTGAGTGAATCAAACGAGTGTCCTGAAAAGCAAGGATTGCCATTTACTCGACCACTGGTTCATCGAGGAGATCTTTCCTCCTGATTCCTCTTCCATCTCCACCGTGTAAAGTTCCCCTGGGGACAGGTTGCAAATCGTGTATCTGTTGTACGTGTATGTGATGCTACCTTGCTGAGGTGTGATGACAATTCGTTGACTGGGATCCGGTTTGGACATCCCCTGTTATCAAACATGTGGTCGTATTAACATTTGCACATACACAAACGGGGAAAATCTCGCAAACGGTCCCTATACTGCCACTGTGTAAAATAAAATAAGTTCCACCCCACCCCACTCCCCAGAAAGCATGGGGGGAGCTTGTGCATAATCAGAAGGCCCACTAAGAAAATAGGCCAATGTTGTGTTGTCATCACGGGAACTTGACGCTATTCTGATTATGGGTGCCGTTCATGCTGTTCGGAGTTGATGGGTTCTATCAAACAGTATCGGCTGAGACTGCTGTGTAAATAGTTGAAAAGTCATCACTTGCCTGTGTCCAGTGGTAAAGGGCATACTCCTCTATTGCTCCATCCTTCGACTCTGGCCACACGACCGTCATACACGAGTCGGTATTGCCTGTTATCACGTTTTCGGCGAAGATGTCAACGGGAGGTTGAACTGTGGAACGTTTAGATTGTAAAAACAGATGTGCCCATTATAATGATATGGAAAGCTGTAAAGCGGGCTCAAATTGACTGTCAAAAACGACAAGAATTCCCAATGCCAAACTGACAGGTTTTAAAATTGTTTTCAATGGTTCTTTTGCAATTTTTCATGGCGTGGGAGATACTTTTGTTGACCGACATAGAATGTGCAACTCATTACCAACTACTTGGACAAAAAACGTGCAGTCGTTGTTTTCATTGCCCGACTCATCTCTGGCTGTGTACGTCACTGAAGTCACGCCCAGCTCAAACTCCTCCCCTGGCTCGTGCGTAGAAGTGAGCGTCACACCTCGTCCCGAATTATCATTTGCGGAGGGCAAGTCCCACGTGACCTGGATTGCGGCTGGCGGGCGGAGTGGGTCAAAGTCTGGTATGGTCTGTCGGATGGGCTTGTTGGGACACTTGGAAAAAACCGGGTCCTCGTTATCTGAAAGTCAGAAGAGAACGTCACTTGCTTTGATTCGCCATTACCAAAACAGTGACTATAAGACATGACACGTGGGCAATTTCCACACTTCGAACTACCTCAGAGCATTTTTGAGTAGATTAAATCGCTATATGGGATATTCTTGAAGAACATTCATATTTTGGCAAGCCGTTCCATAAATTTTGTTTTGTTGAATCAAGGGAATTTTTCGTTGATAGTGACGATGGCTATTACACTGCAAGAACCCAGCCCTTTGGCCAAGATTTGTGATTCAAGAAGCTCTTCCCAATGGGAGTGCACTTTACACAACCTCAACGCCGGTGCCAAAATATAAATTGTAGGTCTTTTCTCAAATTTTGGTTTTGCCTTCGTCTCGGGCTTTTTTTTTGAGCTCCACAACCGAGGTCACACATTTATTGGTGTAAATAATTTGAACGCTGAAATTGTCGGTCTCATGACCAGACGACCTTTAAGGTTGCTGCATTATAATCCACTGGGTTTCTAAGGTTTCTTAAGTACCGGATTAAGATCAAGATATCTGCTTGAAGCCGAAGACGGGATGAGGCTAATATTTTGGAAGCCACTGTATGGCTGCTCACCTTGGATGGTCACCTGAATCGTGCACATCGCCTCGTTTCCAGACGTATCTTGCACCCTACAGGTCACACGGCTTGTGCCCAGAGGAAATGTTGAACCGCTGGTTGCGTCACATCTTATGGGATTTACACCAACGTTATCGCTGCCTTGTGGGTTGTTCCAGGTTGCTTGGCCCGTGCTTTTTCCATAATCAGTATTGGCAGTAACTGAAGTGCCACAAGTTAGTTTAGGACTCTCATCGTCTATCAAAGAAAAAAATCACACGCAAGATAGCACTATTGCTTATCCCCAAACAATTTTTGTGTACACTCTACGAAAATTTGTATAAGCGAAGAATGGGGATGCCATTACTTGGGAGCAGCAGCAGAAGTTAAGTCTAGAATAAAGACTACATAACAGTAAATTCATGCTTACCAGTGACATTGACCGTAAATGCGCACCTGCTGCCATCGTCTTCGTCGATGCACTCAGCAAGTGTATTTCCTGTGGAAAAACTACTCAAAAGAATGTTGTACGTGGTTTGAAAACTTGGACAACTAGGATAGGTGGGCTGGGGGAGCTAGCCTGCCATTTTCTGTGACCCATAACACACTCTAAAGTATGTACTACCGTGCATGTTTATGTCGTCTTAGGAAATGCAGTCCCTAAAAAGAATGGCAACCATCTGCATTTTACGACGATGAAAGATGCTCGCCAAATAATATAGACCTTCTTTAAAGATCATCACAGTTTCAAAAGGAGAAAATTAACGATTACAAAATCAACGTCTTTTGACGTTAACGTTTTATATGAAAACCAGAGGTGTGAGCTTTTACAGGCAAGGACGAGCCAAACAGTGTTGACGTCCAGTTCAGAATCGGTGACTGGCGATAGGAAACTATTTCTCCCTTTTAAAAGCCAATCTGACTCCTTCAAATATTGAGTGGAAGTTGACAATTAATGATCTGTAACTGCATAGACCGTATCTGAGTCATGGGCTTTGAGACCCTCCGTGAGATTACTTTAGCCATTTGTTTCATCGTCTGTGCTTTAATCAGCGTGCTTCGAGCAAGAGAACAAGAAGATAGTAGCTCACCCATAGTCTGGCTCCAAGAGCAAAAGATACCTACTATTTTGAAAGATCTTTAAGTATGATAACCACCACTGCCATTTCCAGAATGTCTGACTCCACTGATTTTATGGGTATTGTCGTCAGTTGCATGTTGTCTTGTTTGTTTCTTGTAATGGCATGCCTGACATAAGCTTTGCTTTTAAGGTTTGCCATCTCATACATTGTTAGTACCTGTGTTTTGCTATGAGGAGGAAATAAATGTAATGTAATTGAATTACTATCTGGAATTATCTGACGTGTATAAGTCGCTTTTCTTTGTAGATTTCCCCAAATGCATCACAATTCTTTACAAAATTCATAAATTTCTCTTAGTAAATTGCTTTTTGATCTCCACTTTTGCACAACTTTGGTTACGCTGACTGCTTAGAAATAATTGGAAGCGCAAGCGCCTTATCTAATATAGAAGGCACGTTGTTCTCATTATTTTAGTAGACGATGGCTTCGTGTGATACGGCAAGAAACCAGCTGAAATTAAAGCTCACCTAGACCCTGACTCTGGACTGCAGGTGTGGTTCGTTTCGGTGGTCCAACTAACTACTGCTGTTGGCTGCCCTGGGTCGGTGCTCTGATGGATGTTATCGGGACAAACTGCGGCACTGACTGCTAGCAAATGAACACCAGAATGGATATATTGAATAATAAAAATGATGCACGGATGTGCCACAACCTATGGGTCAAAAAGATATCCTGACACGGTGAGTTCCAGGAGGCGGTCAAGTGATTCAGAGTTTGGACATTTTCTTGATCTTAGGCCACTGTCACTATATCTCGGGTTCGGCCTCATGCCAACGTCTCCTGCAGTACTATTTCAAACTTCGCTATTGGAGTTACAAAAAGAAGGAAATTACTATATTACTTCGATCTCAGGTCACATATCAGGCATTCTGAAGATTTACTTCTTTTAAACGGAGCAGCCCTACATTCGGGAGAATGGGTAGATCACTTTCTACAGGGACAATTGACATTTTGCATTTTTGTAAGGAACTAAACAACATTCTCGCACGGTATACAGAAAAAAATGAAGAAAAAAAATGTTCACCTTCCCGGACTCAAAATCTGGACAAAGCATTGCAACATGTTTAATGGATTATCAACCTTTAAATAGAGCATTTTTCGTTGAACGGAGCTCACCTCGATTAGCGGCAATTATTAGCATCACAATAGACAGCATCGTGCCCCAAGGGAAACAAACCGTGGCCAGTCTTAACTCGTTTACCTGACATAGAGAGGGGTAGACAGTAATCTGTTAAAGGGTCTGCCTTTTACACATCAGTTGAGGGCTCCATAATAAAAGAAGGTTGACATAGATTCTGATGCCACGCCTAATCAGATTTCATAATGTCTGTGCAAAATGAGAGGATTTAGCAAAATTGTTACCAGGAATCTGGGGTATATTTTTCTTTCTTTCTTTTTAAATGCGTATTTTGTTTTTAATATTTTTTTGGTTTCAAAATGATAGTTTTTCTTACAGTGGAGCTTATCCCTCTAATTAAGCCCCTCTCTCAATTTGATCACTTTCAGTGCAAACGTATAACTGACCGAAATGCCGAAAGACGCCTTCTTCTGAGTTCAAAATGGGCTTAGTTCAGTTAATTACTCAGGAGCGTGTGGTTTAGTTGGGGAATGAGTACATCTTCAACGGTCAGCTCACCCGAGCAAGATTTAAAGCTTATGTCATGTTCGATCCAGGACACCGTAGAGTTATTTAATCTGCACAACTGTAAGGCTTTCACCTGGCTCTTTACCAGAAGATTGATAGTTTTTTATCAATCACATGTATACAAAAGTCGCAAGCAACTGTAGTAGTCTAGTTAAAGACTAAAAAAAGGCTTTGCATAAAGATTGAAGAAGACCTCTGAAACGACCTGCCAACAAAAATCGAGTCATATTTGTCACAATCACGCGAATTTCCTATTTCAAGTTGTTTCATTTCAAGCGTACACATCAAGTCTTCACGTGCTTATTAAATTCAGATTAAGTTCAGATTGATATAATAGGCACACTGACGTGATTTCCACTTAATAGATGAGTTCATTTTATGTTAGTTTCGAGTCTCGAAGCTGTATTGTTCGTTCATGTCCTGTGTTGAGAATTGTTATTTGCTGGCATCAATAACAGTTCCAAAAGTGCTTAAGAACCAGGAAATAACAACGCAACGTACACCCAGCAGAAGTGAGGTATTATTGCAAATCAAAATAGCTACACGATTCATTGCAGTTTCAAGGTGATTCATTGTGGCTGACAACAACTTTTATTACTGTATCAAAAAGTGTATATTGCATGTACATAGAGCTATTATATGAGCGCTCACTCGCCGTACACGTTGAGGACACCTGGACGCATTCACGTCTGTGCACAAATCTATGGTTCACACCCATGCCCTTGTGCACCACTTTGTTGAGAGTTAGCACATGCGCACTCAATCATTTTACAGTGGATTTCGAGGCAGGTGACGTCGGACATCCTTCTGACGTTGACACTTCTCTCCGCGGATGGAGACCATTATTTATAAATAAATAAAGTTCACTGATAACTAAAAATTGATTAGACAACATTAAACCATCGTATTGTATGAACGCTGTTGCACAAAGTTGGAAAAATTCTTAAAGTGATTAAAAAGTTAACACGATCAGATTTGAAAAAAATACGTGCACGGTCTTTCCCAGTCTAAAACAACTTCCCAAATTTATCCAAATAAACGAAATAAAGTGCTGTGTGTATTAAGCCCGATAAAAATACCAAGGGCAATTCGTAACAGCTTTTCTCCCAAGTGTCACTTATAATTAACAAGAAACACATCACAAAATGAAATCGGAAGCCTGGTTATATTTCTCTGGTATCATGAATTCAGAAAACTTTTACACAATGCTGAAGATATCCGCAGATGGACTTTGGTATGGTCGTTTGCTGGCTGGTGTCGCCATTTTAACCAGCAACAGAAAGTGACCACGACTAGAATTTTAGCACATGCGCACAAACTAAGTGGAAGGTAGGGATGAACATACCTGCCGATAAGCCAAAAACCTAATTGCACAATCAGTAAAATGAGCGTTGAAGTCGTGTTCGATGCAAACAAACGCGTGCTTGTACTCTGCAGATCCTAAAGTAAATAACAGGAAATGGGTAAAGACTACACGATTCGGAAGTCGTGCAATCTTAGTTTAGTATGTTCTACAAAATTCAAAATGTCTGCTCCCAGGAGGAGTAAAAAGTTCTCTGCGCGGGGAATGACGAGTTTGTTTCATGTAGCTCTCTGTGCGTAGGCAACATTTGACATAATTTTTAGGTGTGCACGCCCACCTGGGACTAATACCCCCTCTCAGTTCCACCTGCCGCTATCATCCAAATCAGACCTTTGACCGGATCGAGTACGATTGAACGTGGTTCGGTCGATGTCGGATTGATACTCAGTAATGTCGGATTGGATCAGATGAAATCGATTATCTTATTCATAATTCTTCAATAAAATTTTTATACTTTTGACTGGTTTAAAAAACTTACTTTGTCTGTCATGGCTTGCAATTTTTTAAAATGTGGCTGAGGTAAAGTTAATGTCGAAATTTTTCGTTTTTGTCTCTCCCATATCTCTGTGCTCACGATAAGCAAAATCATCCCAAATGTTCCCTAGTATATGTTTAGGCATGTATTTGGTAATCCTTTGAGAGAGGCATTTAGAAAGGCATTGCCCAACCCATTGTTCATGTTTAGACTCCCAGACTTAGTGCAGCCAAGGACAAGCCTGCCATGTATTTTCTATTTTACTTGAGTTTACACAAGCAGGATATATTGGCACGCATAATTGTTTATAAATTCCTATCAAAGTTTTCGTCGGTATTTTTGCCCGTATTTTTGCTAAGGCAACACTAAGACTAAAAACAAAAATCTGATGCTGTCTCAAACCTGCCTAATTTTCAGCGACAGTTTAAGATTCCATGTCGTTAACAATTTCGTACAGTTTGTTCATTTTATAATAAAGTTGAGCCTCGCAAAATTGGCTCCAAGCTCTAATTAATCTAAGTTCAAATTTGGGCTGATTTCGATCGGGTTCAATAAATATTATTTGATTCGAATCCTACTGTCCCAGCTGTACTTCCATTTTGTCAATTCGTTTCTTGTTTCCGAACAGATTCTGCAAGTAGGCTTTAAAATGATAAACAACTGCGTACTCACCAACTATACCAGAAAACACAATCTCCCTGCTTGCATTACGCGACACGCAGCTCCAAATGGGCTGTATTAAAACCAGGATGTTCAGGAAAGAAAAACAGAACAAAACAATTTGTGACTTCAAAAGCAGGAACATTTCCGGATAAAATGAGAATTTGTGACGAGGTTTCCTCGTTCCGTGCTCTGCTGCTTTCGATTTGGGTCCGCTCTTCTGTTCTAATCTGCTCTACCAAACCACGTTTCAGGCAAAAATCACTTTAACACAAATCGTAATCGAATCCATCCCTTCATACGGAGGCCTTCAGAAGTGACACTGTGTTTATGCAGGAGGCGTAGTGTACAGTATTTTACTTTGTACTTGAATGAATGAATGTTTTCGCAGGAAGTCCTTCCCAAGCCGACACATTATGGCAGACTTGTTAGCCATAAAGTGGCGATATGTATTTGAACAAATATCTGTTAGGGGTCGATCGAATTAAGGACTGTTATAATGAGGTTTCACGCACCAGTCAATTTTCCTTGTAAAAAGAGGTAGTTCCTAGTTATAAATGGGATGGACAACAAAGGGGAGCAAAAGAATTAAACAGATTGAGACCTTCAAAATTCAGATTTCAAACTTTGTCGGCAAGTGGTGCACATAGATAGTACCCAAATAAAACTATATCGGCCTCCAGTGCAAACGTGCTTTTCGCATTGAGCAGAATATATCATTTTGCAATGACACTGCGCTGAAATGCTTGGGGCAACGTGTATGGAATCATCTGAGCTTGAATTCCATGAAGATGATTTCATTTAAGTAAACGTTTTATGTGAACAATGAAGAAAATTAATAAAAAGGATCATTATATGATTAATTATTCCATATTATTATCATGAATACACAGCTATTCGTCCCTTACAATTCCGACCAGACTTTCAGTATGATAGTTCAGCTGGGAAAGTCACTGGTCCATCCAGAGAAATGCGAATCGTGCGCTAGTCTTTTCTCAAACGTTATGCGTGCCTCGCCTAGGCTCACACTTATAAAATTAAAGGGCCCAAGACCTCCGTGGACAGACCGTTATTTAATTGTGTAAAATATTCATTAGTGCAAATGACACGATGAGGGATGTAAAAATGGAATAAAACTCCCTTTGTGTTGGTTAATTTCACAGACACTTCAAATGAATGTTTCAATCCTGACAAATGATGGCATTATGTGTGACGTACTTTAGAGAACCCATAATAGCAGCAGAATTATAGTCAGGCACACAAGTATACTGGGTGGAATAACCCGGGCTGATTTGGAAGCATTTCTTATCCTTTGTCATTCGTGTTTCATGAAAGCTCAGCTTCGTCTTTGTTCACAGACTTTCTTTGATTTCCCAAAGATCGAAGGCGTGGCGCCTGGCTCCAGCAATCGTTTAAATCTAATCCCAAACGAGACTTAAATGTTCGGAAGAAAGAACTATTGTTCGAATTGTGCACAGCAGGAGGTCGCTGTCAGGCCTGACGATTTGGCACTGGTCGGCCTGACCTCTGATCTCCAAATTCACCTAAATTCGCTTTGGTTGGAAAGTTATGCAGGATTGTCCCATTTTTATAGGTGTTGCTACAGGGCAACGCATCTGGTCGGAATAATTTCTTAAACACCCCCAAAATTGGACATTTTCTGAACTCGACCCAAGACCAGCATAGACGCGTCAGTGGCGCCCGACGACGTCTTCTCAAATGTACGTCACAGATATGCAAATTTTAAAAGTAAATTACATACCTCTTGGAGGTGAGGTCGCTTCGTCATGAACTTAAATATTCTCCCATTTATTCACCAAAACAGCAACTTTTACATTCTGGATATCTTTATAAAAACTACCGATTTTCACTTAAAACTAAAAAAAGCACTTTTCGTGGGCCCTTTTAGGTATCATAAACTGAATAAATTATGAGAACACTGATATAAGCTTAGCCTTAAATTCTGCACACTACATGTGCGTCAGTAATACGGAAGTAATGATCAGAAAACAGCTAGACTCGGCTCGTCTGTCCTGTCATTCCTGTCTAAATACTGAAACATGCCATCGACGGTCAACCAGAATAACACAGTGACACAGTCAGCGACCATCGGAGAGTACACCGTCGCAGGGGCAGCACTGTGCAGTAAACAGTGAGTGCATGCATTTTTCATGAGCAGTAAATTATTATGGACATACGCACAATATTTTTTATGAACAGCCATCCGCCTTGAACAGTAGACTCGTCCTCGTCCTGCACGTAGTCTCCAGGTGTCTCATAGACGTCCTCCGAACGTGGTTTGACCTAATTATTCGGGGAATCCTGCCGATTTTATGTTAATGGCATGAATGTAAAATTTCCACAATGCAATACTTTTACGTGACGAGACGCTGGAAGACTTTCTAGTTGCATGGATGCGTGATGAATATTATGCGTCCGGAAATGGAGTATCTGATTAGGCCCCACTTCGAAGCTGTCTTTGGCAAAATGTCAATGCCGACTGAAATACAGAGCATTGTTGTTTTAACCAAAGCAGGCATTGTGTCTTAAGAATGCTCTCAGAGGCAATACTGTGTTCGGCTGTTAGGGCTATGAAAGGTTAACGTTGCATGCAGACATCATCTCTCTAAATAAAAAAAAAGCAATTGGGCAGAACTAAACCAACCTCGGACCCCAGCCAGCTAGCGGTTTTTATTTCATAGGTATGGGGCCAGTCCACCTTGAGCAGAAGCACCCCCTCAACGGTTGAAAAGAGCCATGTTGGTCGGAGTGCTTATTCAGTGTTGGTATCGATGCGACAGTAGCACGTGCATTTCCTAGTTGTTGGTGAACCAGCGAAGTGCAGTTCCTATCCCTTTCGTAAGTGTGACGTCACTTCAGTTTAAACAACGCCCACTGCACATAAAGTTAGACCTACATGGAACCATGGACCGGAGTCAACGTGCAACTTCAGTGTTTGTACAATGGGAGCTTGCAATGCGTCCGCGTGTATGACCAAGTCAGTATCGAACCGGATACCAAGGGAGCCTGCGATGCTAGGAAAATAATTTGTGTTAAAATGACAGACAAAATTTGGATACAAACAGCCGATTTTGCATTCCTTTTTTTTTTAATCTTTTTGTTTCATCTTTGCTTTTGATTGCTTTTCAGTTTTCTTTGTGGCCTGCACAGGCTTTCACTGTCGTGAATATACAGGGTATTTCGGAAATCTTTGGGAATCGCATGATATGTAAGGAACTTCAAATAGACGCAGTGTGTCGTGCATAAACCTTGCATGACGAAAACATATTGGATCGTTACTTAACAAAAACCTTGGGAAGAAGTCAAGTATTGAAGTTAAATAAAATTTAAAAAGAAAGATTCATAGGTCACGTGGATTTGAGCGCTGTAATTGAAAGACATGAACAACGATAGTGAATATATCTTCTATGCAGAGTATTTATTTTAACGGATTCTGTTAAAATAAATCCTCTGCATAAAAGATATACCGGTACGCACTATCATTGTTCCTGCCATATAATTTGTCTTTTTCACTCATCTGTACTGTACCTACTTTCAGAGCCCTTTACAACTGAAGAATTTTTCTGAATATTTCAAACTACCACTCCATCCCTTAAAACTAGCCAAGAAAGACTTAACCATACATACATACATATTCAGAGTATCTTATTTGCTGAGCAGTTGCTGTTGCGTGCATATATTGATGGAAGTGAAGTTCAAGCTCAAACAAGTATGCAAAAAGTCGGATTGAAACATCTACATTTTCCTAAATATTTTTGAATCAGAGAAAACAAGCCAGGAGTGTAATCAATTTTCTTTCATTGTGATGGGTATTTGAAATGTCTTATACAGGAAACAGTGAATCCTACAAAGCAGACAATCAATTTCCAGAAGTCCTGAGAAAACGTTCTACGGATTCGCAAATGTTGAAGGTTTTTTTTTTCAATTTTTGACAATGTCGCTGCATATACATGGGGGAAATTTGCATAAATCATAGCGCCAACGGGCCCTATGAATAGAATATTTTCTTAGAAAGTTTTTAGAGGACAAACTTCCCCATTTGTTAGGCTTAAGAAGTAATCGTAAATTACACTACTTATGTTATTTAGTTCAGCTTATTCCAACAGATTCCCACATTTACATGTAGAAGACCGACACGTTGTATAATCCCCGTATATTACTTGTTACTATTATAAATGAGAAGGTGGATCTTGTAACAGTTGCCATGTTTCTTCCAAATCCTCAAGTCCCTGTGAAGAAATGAAATTATTATAGGAAATGTATACTAAAGTGCTATAAGGGGTCAACCCATCCCTGTGGCTACGATTGGCTGTTGGTGAATAAGCCTTTTGAGAGATAAATTTGAGTAGAATCTGATGGTACACCGAGTTCTTTAAATTCATGTGAAGATAACAATTTGAATTCTCAATACTGAACTCACTAATGCTGTACCTTGTAATTTGAGGGCAAGCTTTTGCTTTATATAAGAGATGACTTGCACCAACACACTGTTTTCAGTGGTTAAGAAGAGCACAAAGGACCTAGTCTATTCCAGAGATGGTGGTTGCTGTGCAAAAGCTTGCACCGAATCAAGAAGTACGGTATAGCAACAGTGTGTTTAGTCTGGGAAATTCAAATTGTTACGTTTATGTGCAACCAGATAAAGCAGTGTACCAGATTTTATTCAAATTTAACTCGCACAAGGCTTATTACCACCACTGATCTCCCTTTACAAACGGACATGTTTCGCCAGTGTCGCCCAGTTTCCATTACAAATTTCGAATTCCGACAATAACGAATTTCAATAACTCAGTTGCGTCTCTCCCCCCCCCCCACGGATGCTAATGCTCCTCGGGTGCCCCCCTTTTCGAAGCTCCGCGGAATATATACAGCTATATACAGCTGCACCTTATTTGCTTGTTGTTCCCCTCTTGAAAACAATGGGTGCACCCCTGGGTGCCTGCGGACATTTAATACCCTCCGATACGCCACTGTCAATGCTACGTTTTGAACAATCGCTTACTTTCCATAATATGTGGACCCGTCCAAGTGTGTCGCAACAATTTCCAAGCGTTGATAGACGTAGGAGGCTTCGTCGTCAAGTGGCACTATTTCTTGACTTGTCATTGAAGCTGTCTTCACCCCATTCATTACAGGGAAAATGAACTGCTCTGCAACTATACAGAGATGAAATGTTATGTTATGAAAAATAAATGATAAAAGAGGGGAAAAGGTGCAAGAAGGAAATCTTTGTTTTGATCTAGTGCATCTGAAATTAAAAAAAATACAGTTTGACCCCTGAGCAATGTCACTGCCTATTTGGTTATTCAAACATTCAAAAATATATATAGTTTATGAAAATATTTACGGGAAACTCACGTGTTTTCCCGATGATAGTTTGGCTGCCTGCCGGCATGAAAATAAAATCATCTTCGAAAATTCCCATGAGCCTATCGCCGTCATGTTGAATAAAAGCATCAGTGTACTGAGCGGCCAAATCCTCTATCGTTTCCTGCACTGTATACCAAACAGGAGTGGTAAAAATGTATACTTTTAGACACTTTGGAGGCCGCTTTAGAAATTTTACCCAATACCCAATTCGTCAAATTAGTGGCCAAGAGTAAACCTGCCGCAGTCCATTTCAAGTGTGAAAAAATTAAGGACTTTCAAAAGTGTATTGTAATACCTACAGAGGATTATTCGATTATTAAATTTCATTCCTGAAAACCAAAACGAACTCGTAAACACGATACTTCTACTTGCCTTGCCTTGTAATTCTACATGCCTTCTGATTCTGAAATAGTATGCATTTAAATTCAACCGTGGAATCCTTTAGATGTAATCACTGAAGCCAGTAAGCAGTTTGCGGCAGCTTTTGCACTTTACATGTTCGGGAAAAAGACGTTATTAAACCATAAAATCTTTTAAAGGTTTTATTACAATTTCATAATTGTATGTCATGATAAAGTTCTAAACAGCACTTTATTTTCAACAGTGTCATTGAAAAATGCAGAGAGGCGACAGTGTTTGGATTCACTTTTTGGTCTTTCTCCTAGGCAGCCTTTCACTGTCTTTTTCTTCGGATACTGTCTGTGTATTTATTTTAAGATTTATTGTCTTTTATTGCGTAACATGTTAAACCTTTTGTGTGTATTTCTTATCTCTATGTGTTCATACTTCATTAATTGCCTGAAGAAACTATCTTAAAAGAAAAAAAGAAGAAGAAATTTTACATATAGTTGAAAATGTATGTGTGATCATCATCAAATACAAGTACATGAACCAAAGTCTTCATAAAATCTCAAGTGAGTCAAAACAGAGTTTATCAATACATAATCTTCTATCATGCATATGCACGAAAAGCATTTTGAAGAACTTTCCTGGGAATTCCTACGTTATGGGGACTCTTTCTTTAATTTTCATGGTTTGATTTTACTTGCTGACTTTACTGATTCCATGTAATGTCCATAACAAAAAGAATAAATCCTCAAAAGAGGGAAACAACTGTATTATTACCATTTTATTAAATATTTGTAAACGAGTGAATTTTTTTCTTTGCACTGCTACAGCGTACATTTCTCAATCTATTTGAAATAGGAAAGTATCTAATCGAATTGGTAAAATATAAGTATGGCACTTATTTAATTTGGAAAATGAGGGACCGGACCACATTCTTGATGTATTAGCAAATGTAATTTGATTCCTTTAGGTCCCTATAGGTAAGGACGGAAAATACATGTTAGCCTGCTCCTCGACAGTGAGTGAATGATTTAACCAAGCAAAATAGATCAAAATATTTACAAAGCACTAACGAGAAATGAAGAGAGTTCTAATTAAATTAGCTTGATTTCTTTACAAATGTCCTAGACAAGGACAGTTTCGATGTTTCTAACACGCTGCTTTACATCTCTCGCCCGAAAACTTTCGCAGGCTCTGTCATATTGGATTTAAGCAATTCTAAATAAATCCAAGTTTACACACTAATAAATTAAATAGATGCATCAAATAAACTGCATCTAGAAGTTGGAAAATACAACTATCGTGATCTTTTAAGTAACGTGAAAACATGAAAAAAGTATTCATGAAGAAAGGATACAAGCAGTCGAACGAATCTTTAGATTAAAAATAACATGGACTTAAACATGACAATTACCTGTAGAGGCGAAGACGGAAACTATTACCCTGGCATATTAGCCTGGTCTTCGGCATTGAGTGAATGATTTAAAGAAATCACAGACTGCCCGAAAACGTAACTGACGATGATAAGGCGGTCAATTAATTTGAATTTAAATAGCCTGAAAAGATCACAGACAAACAAAATAGGGATGAGAGGGAGGATAGTTTTATACTCGTCACATACGGTAAGATAATGAGCCAGCTGAAGATATTCTCCCAACAACACATGACTTTTTGAATACATACTTTTGCAGTAATTATTTACACAAAATCAACTTCAAACTTGACTGCTTGAGTGAAACTGTACAAACCTCCGGCATCGGTGCAGAGGGGCAATGATACCAACGACAGAGCCAGCAGAAAGACACCCAGGCGGGCCGGAGGAGACATGATGAACTGGTAAAGTCGACAACTAAAAATTCGGACTAAAAAGACACGGAGGTCTGCGTGGCTGCAACTACATGCGTCAGGTCGGCGACTGCCAAACGGAAGAGACTGCGGCCCCTTAAACACAACCTGAGCACATATTGATGAACCTGTCGCGTGGTTATGAATTATCAATTTTTTTTTGGAAGGGGGGGGGGGTTATAATAGGTGATGTATAACGGACAGCATGGGATGTATAAAAAATAACCTCCCCCAAAGAAATAACCCAAACTAAACAGTTTTTTCCAAAATAAGTGTTCCAAGCTTTTTGGGGTATTATATCAAATCTCTTATCTTTCAGAACGGAAGATTTATTCAAATATGACGTTGCGTTGCGGAGATATATTCAATTACAAAGCACATACAACTAATTTTGTTTTCTATCCAATGGAAGTTTACCTTACAAGTGCATGCAGTTACTGAATCCAGTTCCTAGAGTATTGCACAAATCTAAATTTGAGGAAACTAATGCTTGTTTCAGAAGGCAATGGTAATTCGTAACACTGAATAAGACTGTATTTGTAACACAAACAACTTCATGGATAAGCCCACATTGCCTTCATTGGAAAGCTTGAAAACAAACGGCATTTAGAGGAGTTTACATTGTAATTGCCGGTTTCTTGCACACCTTCTCAAATTTGTTAATTACTTTAGTGCATTTAGTGTTATCGCACTGCGACAGTGTACATTGCCAGATATATTGACATCAGAAATAAAAACAAAACAAAAAAGAAACAAGTTAATGCTCTAACTGGCGTGCGCCATAAAAGCAAATTGATATACTCAACAGGTGGTATAACAGATGGCATAGCATATATAACTAATGAAAACCCTAGAAGCATCCTAGGGTCATTGTTTATTTTCTCTCGAAATAAATGTCAGAAAGAGTTGTTTTGGCATCATAATTTTAAACGAAGGTTATTCTTAAAGAAAATAAAGACTTCATTTAATAGGACCCTGTCAGTTCAGTATTTTTATTATGTAGGCCGTTCTAATGATCCCAGTGGTGTATCCAGATGGGGGGGGGGCCCGCAGGGGGCAGCCCCCCACGGTCTCTGGTTTGAAAGAATACTTAATAGGTGAGTAGGAAAAGAAAGTAATCGGTACAAGCATATTGAGTTAACAAAAACCAAAAAACCAAAGAAAACAACACCATGAAATAAAAGTCAGGATGTCGGGACGCGTGTGGCTCTTGATTTTTTCTCCATTGAGCATTGAGCACCGCAGAGTAAAATGCATACATTTTTGGCTGAAACGTCTCAGAAAAAAACGCGCTGCGCGAGATCTGTGTTCGATTTTTGCAAAAATTGTGTCACAATGACCGCAAAGAGTAACTCTAAAAACTCCTACAGCCTCAACTCCTGAAAAAATGTACTGGAGCGACATCAGACAAAAATGTCGGGGGGGGGGTGGTTCCGCCCTCGGCTCTTTCAGGGTTAAATGAAATTATTCGTTGTGTTTCAGCATTTTGACAAGGCTTTAGTTCCTTTGTAACCATACTTGTCATTATTCTAAACCTTATCTTGGAAATGTCATTGCTAATGCATGAGAATTACCGGTAGCGTCGTCTGAAGAGCTTAGAAATCGGAATGCATTTTTAAGAATAAAAAAATCACCACCAACAACACAAACAAAACAAAATAAAAAAGAGAAATAAAGAAATACATAAATAAATAAATTAATAAAAGAGTCTTAAGTCAATAGCAGGGTAACACATGATTCAATATGTAAATACTCACATGCTGGTGGCCATGTACCCTCGAGTTTAATTTTGCAGTAAGAGTAATCCTTAATATGATTTATATAATTGGCTATATAATTTGATATGAACAATAAAAAAACGGTGTATTTTTGGTTGAACAGACCTTTGATCATGCGACTGGAATATTTTTTCTTACTAGTGCAAAGACTTCAGCTTTTGTCTAAATCTTATGTGTGTCCTATTTTGGAACATTGGCCACTCACAATGAACGTCGAGCACTTCATGTTTAGAAAACTGACTCGTCGTGAGGTTTTAGATGAACAAACATTATTCTCTTCTTCGTTTGTGTTTTTATGGTTTTGGCCCCATGATTCGTCACTTTAAGGTTTTTTCCATGCATGCACGTGCCCTTCAAGCCTTTAATGAAAGCTTTGTACATAGGCATGAATTTATTCGCTCATAATGGCTGGCGTTTCCTCATTGATCGAAACAATAAACACGTTGATGGACAGTATTCCACATATCTACCTAATAGTTTAACAAAAACGATAGTGTATGTTGCCATGTTTAAGATTCTCAAAAATTTCAGATTCAATACTTTGAAATGCTGCGGAACCTTGTGAAACGCATGACTAAATGTTTGAAATAGTCATTCAAGGCGTGAATTCCAAACAAAATTAACCTTATCAGTAATTCAAAACGGTTTTTGAGGATTCATTCCACACAAAAGGAACCTCAGTAATTGAAAACGACTTATGATGATGTTTTTTTTTATACACAGGAACACTAAACAGAACACTGTCGGTAGATCTAAGCACACCCTGCTGCCATTAATTTAACAAGCAAATTTCCGATCCCACAGTTCCTTGTATGTCAACGTCTATAAGCAGTCATTGTTGATAGTGTTCATCTGGTATCCTATACAGTTGCTAGGTGTTTCACATAGCTAGTTGACGTACGCTTCTGTCAACACAACTGCCAGATGAAACAACTGTTTGTCCCGTTATATATCGATAAACCTGTCGGCTCAGAATGGAGCTAGGGTTCAGACAGTAATCAGTTTAGACGAGAAAACCATGGCACCACTTGCAAAAATGTAATACGTAGAAGTGCTTGTCATTTGGGGTCAGTAGAAGAACTAAAATAGTTTATCACTTTTTTAATCCCACTCTGAGCAACTATCAGTAAACAGCCTTCCATCTGTAACATTGGAACTGTAAAATAAAAACAACTAAATAATATGAAAATTCATACTTGGCCGACTTCTAAAAAAAATACGAACCAAAACGTTTTCGAATTGAAAATACGAGTAACTTCTCTCCTAATATTCTTACTTTGTATCGCGGTAGAATGATCAAGTCTGGATGAGATCGTCACGTATGCAAAAATTATCTGTTGCAATTTGAGATTCATGTTTACTTCATGTGCAAACAAAAGTGGTTGGGCGATATCAGGTTGATGACATTGCAAAAATTTGACATACGCTTGAAAGCCTTTTGTGGAAAATAACATCTGTTATACAAACTTGGTGTGATCCATGTCGTAATTCTTTAGTCCTGGCTACGAAGAGTGCACCATTTAGGCATTATCCTCTTACACATGAAGGCATCAACACAACGCATGCAAACACATCCCTACCCTAAAAAACCGAATTACATTGCACATTTGCTACAGTATTTGGGACAGAGGGGAATTCCCCCTTCTTGTCATCTGCTGTGATGTGGGTCATTTTATAAATATGGGGTCCAAACGTGTGACATTTCTGTGTCCCTGTTGCATCTGACTTTTGTTATTTGACATGGAAGTATCACTGAAATTTATTTCAAACTGTAATTTGCATTAATTCATCACTATTGGAAATTAGAAAATGTGTTCTGAACTTACAAAATCACACGTCAGATGTGACAGGTACACACAAAAAATGGACCCATCATTTGTAGAATGACCTTTGTAGGAATCTTAGAATATTCGTTCATATTGTCAGGGAAAGCAATGGGCACAACAGCCTGGGGCACCCAGCTTATGCATCACATTGGGGGCTTCCCCTCTGTTCCGTATTTGGCTGGGATAACATTGCACTTTCAGTATAATTGTTGTTCTCTACTTAGAAGCCAGTCGAGAGTGCGCCTTGAAGTTAAGGTCACGTGACAATAGACTGCATCAACAATATGCCAATAACAGTTTGGTACCAGCAAACTTATATAGATGTACTCTAATCGCATTTGTACTTGTGCAGATAACGACCTTTATACTATATAGCATGACCCTTGAATTTATGTCTCGTGAGTGCCATAACAAGAGCATTTGCTGCTATTTTTCAGCTATAATATGTTTTCATTTGTGCCATTCTGAAGACTATTAGTAAGTTATCCAGCAAGTCTCTTGACCCCTTGGAACAAAAAAAATGTATGTTGATGACGTGATTATAATGCCACGGAATTTTAAAAGCAACGGTCAAAAAAGTGTTCTAAAGGGACAATCTTTGTGAGACAATTCTAAAAACCATTAAAAAACCCTAATCGCCATGCTATCGTAACGTTGCATATATGAGCACTTTGAGACCAGGACTGATGTTCTTGGGAAGTCTCGAACTCATAAGTTGTATCCTCTTGAACTTAGTAGAGACGCAGAAAGTTATCATTGAGAAAAAAGACGGACAATAAGAGGGGAAATGAATTCCTACAAAAGAAATAGGTGGTGCGGGATTAACCCGACCACGTACAGATACTGACGCTGTTCAGTAATCTGTCGAATAAAAAACTATTATGATCAACAGTTTTAGAGGGACTCCTTGCTGACTGTGTAAATAATTTATGACACAACTACGACCTGTATGATATGACAAGGAAATATGAGTAAAATTGATGATTCACATGCTCAGCCTTGGACCTACGCTGTTAAAGAAAATCGACAGTAGTACATAAAAGGTATGGTATGAGTGTAACATTGCTAATTTCCAACCATCTGTGTATCATCTCTTGGATAATGTGCCTGTTTCCTACGATGGGTCAAGGGTCATGAACGACTTTAAATAAACCCTTGGTTTTGCAGAATCCCGTTCCACGAGCGATGTACATGTACATAGCTCTGAATGTGACGTCATGTACGTGACGTCATGAAAATTTGTGTGATTTTGTTTCGTGAGAATAATTAAAAATGTAATTGGTTAACCCACAAAAAATTGAAAAGAAATTGAAAGACATGCAGCCAGACAAGAATTTCATTTGTGTTTCAGAAATCTCAGGGATGTTGGCATGCACGCTATTGGGCCCTGAACAGTGCTGATTTGACTCTGTTTTCAATGGGGCTTGAATTAGTGGACTGTACCCTGGTATTATACCTGACAGTCGCGATGCCCAAGTCGAACTCGGCCCCCGGCACTTGCGTG